TAGCACGCGGTGCGTGTCAGTGTCGCTAACAATAAACCATCATCTCGTTTAAAAACGCGAGATTTCGTCAATTCACCATGGCCGGTGTTGTGAGGAATGTCCCCCTTGTGCAAAATTTAAAAATGTAAGGGTTTTCCTAATCGACAGCCCGACGATTAGGAATGTCTGCACGCGTGACTTCGAAGGTTGCACGCGGAGATTGAGCGCTTGGTGTACATTTTGATAAACTTTATGAAGAATTAGACTTACAACACTTTCTTAGATAAAAATCACGGAAAAAGACGCGGGCAGTGGATAATCCGAAAATTTAATTAGGCTTCGATATTTGTAATAAATAGTCAGCGATTTAAGACAACATAACGTCTTGTGTATGCAATGGATTCCCCTCCGACTTCGTTTGCGTTGCTAGGTACTGGGAGAGGTAAGTCACGTGACACAAACATGACTTTTTTGATCGATTTGTTATAGCCAGGGTATTCCCCGACAATTGCAATGTTTTGAGATGGACTTGAAGCAAAATTATGATAAATTAATTCGTTTGAATATGTTTTTAGTCCAAATATATCATCAAATCACCCAGTTTGTACCCGGGAATGTATCTTTAATGAACCCCAAATATTAACTTTTTTCCTCCGACAAATTAAATTCTAAAACATTTTTTTTTATGTATTAGAAAAATAAATAAAGACGTTTGAAGAATTTGTAGGTAAAAATTATTTCCTATTTTAGTGTAAATGTGTATTAAAATGAGTAAAAGGCGCCATTCTCCTCGAATCAGTAAAGTCTTATGTAAACAATGCACGCGCCATTGAGCCATGCAATGATTGACGCCGCGTGATATGACGTCACGTACGTGTTGAAGGCAGTCATCTTTTATTAGATTTTCGTAATACTCTGTGAAACAGATTGGGAACCCGGAGAAAACCCACGTTCAAGCGGGGAATCGGAACCACGCCACATGAATCAATGATAGATTTTATTGTGCAACGCACACGCGTTAAACTTTCGTTTCGTTGAATATTGTCGAATTAACTCGATTTTTATAAGTATTAAACACGGATTTCACGTTCAAGCGGGGAATCGGAACCACGCCACATGAATCAATGATAGATTTTATTGTGCAACGCACACGCGTTAAACTTTCGTTTCGTTGAATATTGTCGAATTAACTCGATTTTTATAAGTGTTAAACACGGATTTCGGTCAGTACTGGTCGGTTCCAGTACTCTGAAACAAACAGTGTATAATTGTTGACAGCAACCGATCTGGTTTTAAACGTAAATTAATATAATACGCATGTTGTACCAGTGCCAAATCTTCAATTAAATATGTGAAATATAACACTACAGCAGGCCTATTCTTCGTAACAAAATTCAGGACGACAAAATATACAGACAAAAACATTGTATGTGTGATGAATTTGTTCATTTGTTGTGTGACAGGCAACAAAATAACTGTCAACAATTGGTTAGCTGTTAGATAACAAACCTTATCTCTCAACCCTCCGTGTTTCGAAATAAGAAATGGTGCTATTAACTTCAACGTAGCACATGGGGGAGCGATTCGCACCCGGCATTGGTCAACAAAATTGACAATATTTTTAATCAAAACAACGATTGATTATTGTTATTTTTAATATTTCTGCCACACCCAACTACAATTATACTGTCTGAACCATCGTAAATTTTAAACGCATTTCTTTGATTATGAACAAACTACTTAACTTTCGTTATTATAAACTTAACCTGTGTGTTTGAAATCAACTCTCGTTCGATAAAATCCATTGCACAACTAAATATCCCAACGTATAAAAAATTTCTCTCTTGACAAATTTGACTATTTACTTGTATTTTCGACTGAGTAGACGACAACAATGCTTTAGTTACGTGTTGGACGACCCCATTGCAGCTGTTGCAGGGGTGGTTTAATTTTGACAGATAGTTTGATAACCACGTGTTTCAAGGAAAACAAAGCGCGATCATTACGATCGTTTGAGTTTGGGCGACGGAAAATATCAACTGAAGATTCATATTGAAACCATGGACTGTATATTCCCGTTGGTTGGATTCTCTCCGCTCGCTCGAGACATGACGAGATCTCAATTATTGTCAACGGCAAATCAAGCGATGTGATATTTGACATAGCTGGATTTTATACAGATTAATTTCTCGAACTTACAGTATTCTTATAGTTAGGCTACATGGTACTTTTTTTTAACCCAATAAGTATTCCTATCCGGTAGTGACGAATTTCTCCAGTTTAGAACTTTGAAATTTCCAAATGCAGCAGTTTAAAATTGTGGAATGATCGATTTCAATATTTTCGTAGTTTTTGTAAGCATTTTGGTTTTGCTAAATACTCCAAATTCCCGCATGTACGAAGGATTTTAAAATGATGAAAATAAAGTTCAGGTATAATACTATCCGGAATGATGATTAATTGTGCAGAAGTAAAAATTAAAAGAATGTTTTAGTAGGTTTGTTTTAAAACTCGAGATGTTTTTTTCGAATTCACACGGGCGCGTCCGAAGAAAACAAAGACGATGTGTTGATACATTTACTACATTTATAGTAGTCTATCTATGTATGGGTTGCACAGGAAAAAAGAGTAGCAAGATTAATAAAAAATATCATGAATTGATTTATGTTTCTTTGCTTTTAAACTTAAAGGCTCAATACCACTCTTGTTGTAACTGAATAATATGTCCCAATCTTTATTCTGGTCAACAAATTGTACTATTTTACAATATTCCAATTAATTGATGATACAAATTTCATCTTAACACACCTAATTTAAAAAAATTGGAAAAATTCAACTAAATGATTTGAAAAGCCTAATGTAAACCTTTTCAAATGTGACTTGGATTTAAAAATATTTTCGAACCCTCTGGACAAGTAAAATAGGATGTAATGGATAATTTACACAACAGGTAGGACACTTAAACATCTAATACTTAGAATAAAGCTATTATTTATTTTCTGGAGCTGTCAAGCCAGCAAAGAGTGTTATTGTCCCTTTAATACTGGTAATTGGGCGAGGGGAGGTAATTTTATTTTAGTCACGATTGTCCGGTCTATTTTTTGTTGCGGCACAGAATTCTAAAGGCTTCGTGGACGTTTCCTGTGTATCTATATACACGGTCCATGTTGAAACCATTGATCGCCAGTCTATCAAATATTGGAAACAAGTGAAAAAATTTTTTTATTTCATCTACTTGACCAAATAAAGTGCCCGAAATCTAATAAAACACTAATTTTACGAGCTGGAATAGCAGTAAAACGCTTTTGCGGCCGTCAAATCTTCCAAAATTTTCTTGAGGAGTGGGGGTGTGTGTCCATTCATCGCCTCATGAAGAAAACCAGCGCCGCTGTCTGTAAACCTGAAATTTTGGGGGGGCATTTCTAGTTTTGCTTCCCTAACTGTCATCGAGCCCTGATAAAACACTAATTTTACTTTTATTTTAATTGAATACCACGAATTTGTACTGCAGTGGTTTAAAACATTTTGTCTGGGGCCACTCTACTTTGTGCAACATTTTTCAGGCATCGATTATTATTGTGAATGCAGCTGCAACAGTCTAATTGGATACTTTTGGAGTTGCTTACACGGGCTAAAATAGCAGAAAACGCATTTGCGCCGGTTAAATTTTCTCCCAACGGTCCCGTCTCCGTGGACTGTAAACGATTGATCTTTTGATTGGAATTCGAGCCATTAGACCACTTTGAAGTTGCTTTGTTCACGGGCTGAAATAGCAGGAAAACGTGTTTGCAGCCGTCAGATATTCCAAAATTTTCTTGAGGGAGGGGGGGGGGAGATCCACACAAGGTAAGCTCCGATTCTTCGCCTCTCGAGGAAGACCGCGCCGCTGTCTGTAAACCCGAAATTGTTTCGGGCAATTCGGGTTCCTGCCCCCGTAACTGTCATCGACCCCTTTACGCCTACGTATATTATTATAATAAAACATAATTGAGGGAATTGGTTACTTAAAGATGCTATTCCGCGTACAAACTAGGTAATTTGATTCTAAAAACATATTCAAATTAATTTTCTATCAAACGTTTGATTCAAACTAACACATGCCGCTAAAATTCTTGTTAATAATCCTTGTTTATCACTTGACGAAGAATCCATGTTAAGCTATTGATTTACCACCACAGGCTATAGACAACATATCGAAAACAAAGGAAATTCTTGGATTAACCACTGTCAACTGCTTTTAGAGCAGCAGTCCAGCGGAGTCAACCTAGCTGAAAAGCGTACCAAGTTTCACCTATATGGTATCAATGCACTGATATCTGGTATCATCAGAATATAAGTCTGCCGGGTATCTGGTGGTGGTGTGGCTGGAAGGGCTGGGGTTATGGGCATTAATTCTTGAGCTAGATTAGCTCAAAAGTGTACCACTTGAAAATGGTACAGCAGTATACCTTACATCATCAAGTATTACAAAAACACTTTGACAGACATTTCTAGTGGTGGGGTCGTTCTCACATCTGATTAGATCATCACATAAGAAGATAATTACAATTATTTGAGTCCAAGTAAGCGAGAATATGATAAACATCAATGTAACTGAGAGTCTGCATTCTATCAATAGTCAATAATCAGCAAAAAAGCAACCAATTAAATATTTCTGATGAGGTCTTCACATGTGTTTAGATGTATACATCTTGAACTGCTTGCTTTTAGTTGTGATAAAACATGCTAAAAATTCTTAAAAAACACCATTCCGTTGATTCGATTTCTGATTTTAGACACAATATTAATCTAGCCTACTTTCTACGACAATACATGTATGTTCTGCCAGTGATAGTTCATCTAATCACACTCTTCTATCTGACTTTCACTTACCAATAGCTTTTCAGGATGTTATAATCAACCTAATTAACCCCAACGGACTGATATTAAATCACCTTTCCTTTTAAAAAAAACAGAAAATGTTATAATTTAAAACGACTAATTAACCCTAAGGTATCCTCTCTTTTACATTTGAATTAAAGGGCATCTGGATTCCAGTAACGAAATAGAAAATGTTGTTAATGATAGCGATAATATTTTCACTTAGTCAAGTATCTGCTGTAGGTAAGGTTGGTTTTAATTATTTTGTTAAATATGTCTACATTATATTGTCTCATGCATCCACCTTCCGTATGCACCCCCCCCCCCCGGTGGCTGCAAACTTTATGAACGCAATTTAGGCTACACTTTTCGACGTATGCTTTTCAAATTTGGTATGAAGCATTGTGGTTATGAGAGGACAAACCACATCAATACTTGGTATTCTCAAACCTTGTGCAACAGATTGTTTTCAAATTTGCTGCGAAGCATTGAAGCCAGGAGAAGACGAACGCCATCGATATTAAGCGTTCTGTAACTTCGCGTTCAGACTTCCCCCCTTTGACAATTTTTAAGGGATTTTTTTTTTCAAATTTGGTGTGAACCATTGTGGTCATGACAGACCCTATCAATATTCAGTGTACTATGACTTTCTCTTCCGGATTTATCTCCCCTCCCCCTTTGTCTAAAACCTTGTGAAAACCATAAAGGCTGTAGAGTTTTTTTTCAATTTGATGTAAAGCATTGAGAGGATGAACCTCTCATTATTCTGAGACATCTCGTTACAGAGCTATCCTCCTTTTCCGAAAGCATTGTGAACGCAATAGAGGCTATATATTTTAACGGTGGGTGAACCCTACGGCATTAAGCGTTCTGCGACTTTCCGTTCTGAAGTTACCCCAACCCACTGAAACTCCTTGATTCGGAGTTACATATTTATGCCCAGATTGTACTTAATGACATTGTTCATTCGTTCGTTCGTCCTTAAGGCTTAACGCCCGCTTCCACCTGGGGTGATTTCGCAGACATGTGTTTCCTGAGAAACTTATTGCCAGAGATGCCAAATAATATAGGTAGCAGACAAGAGATCGATTAGGAAGGCCTCCTAATCGATTCCGTTTCCTTATGTAAAGACACAATGTCTTTTGCAGGGTAGTGTCCAAGGCAAGTTCACCCAAAAGAAAGGGCTAATAAAGACGGGAGAGTTGCTCCCGGAAATATTGTCATTAATGATAGGATACATGGCAAATTCTCAAGTATGACCGCCTTATAGGACATATTGCTAATTCTCAAGTATGGCCATTTGGTATAAGGACATATTGCTGATGTATTGACCTCTGATGGATATATCACTAATGCTACAGTAGGGCCCTCTGATAGAATAAATCTTTAATACGGTACTACAATAAGGCCCTCTGATAGGATAGATTATTCTCAAGTTCGGTTTATTTGTTTGGTACTCATGGTTGGAGAAGCGGCCTCGGTCATTTGATATAGACATCTAATATTGGTGTGATATATGAATATGTTATAATAAGATTTGATTGTAGATGTTTGTTCAAGTCAAACATTAAAGATCTGGTATGAAGTGTTCACCATACCGGAGACGGCAGTTGGGGAGACATATAAACTAATATACCAGTGTAAATATCCAGGTGGGTAACCATTATACTGTAACTTAGTAACCCTATTAGTCGGAAATGTTGAAATCTTTTCTTGGATATTAAAATTTATGCATCCACATTCCAGTGTGGGCGTATTATGTCGGCGTCATAATGCGATGGTGATCATTAAAGTAGATCAGAACCCCAGAGAAATATTCATATCATCGGAGTAAATTCACGGCAGAATGCTCCCCTTTCACATGGGCTACGAATGCCATGAATTGCCCCGTATCCCAACTTCCTTCCTTTTCGTAGATAAATTGAATCGTAAGTGATTTTTGAAACAAGATCTTTCGAGGCCGGCTTTCACGTGGGCTATGAATCCAAAATCAGAGGCGATTATTGAAGTTCGTAAGTGATTCTTATTTGGTTCTTACACATTCGCATTGTACGCAGCAGTTCGTAGTTTGGCCACGAAAGTATTCGTAGACGTATCGTGAACCCATCGTAGTCCTTTCGTATTATCTGTAACAGCTTCCTATTCAATTCTTAGACAAATAGTGGAAAATATCTTAAACTTCGTAACTTTATCGGCATCATTCGTGGAGAGCGAAGCGTATATTCGGCATATTCCTTAGCAATTCGGCATATTTCTAAGCAATTTGGCTCATTCATAACAGAATTCGTACCTTTATCGTAATCCTACCTTGACATTCAGCATATTTTTCACCCGATTACCCACAAATTATCGTAACTCTTCCTAGCAACTATTCGTAACTGCTTCGTAACTGGTCCGTAGCTACTCCCGATTCTCTACGATATTTTTTTATTTTTTTGCCGAATCGGCACACATTTTGATTAATCTTGATTCGCCACTATTCGGGGCGATTCGTGGCATTCGTAGCCCACGTGAACGCAAGACATAACAGTGCTGATGTTTTGTGTGATGCAAATCTTACACACTTGCGTTATTGGTCGGTAGAGATACAACAATTTAATTGTTTACCAGATATCAACAGACTTTATTGTGAGCAAAAATGTGGTTCAAACGACCTTCAGCTTTCCCAAAATATTTCATCAAAACCTTAAAATAATGTTTTAAACCCTGTTTATGCGCAGCCATATATTTAACCAAAGCCCTATCAATATTGGAGAGGTGGATAAGCTGAATGGTTAGCACGTGCGCTGCCCGTATCATAAGGTCTGTTATTGAGTGAACTGGCATGGTTTCGAATCCCTGGTTGTACGTGACAAGGAGTAGGGTCGCCTGTCCAACCTCGTGGGTTTTCTCCGGGTCCTCCGGTTTCCTCCCACTGCTAAAGACCCCTACGAGCAAGCGAATTATTGAAATAAAATTAAAAACCAATGTTAGTCACGAAATAACCTGGTTTTTGTCGAGTGGACGTTAAACCCCATTTCTCTATCTCTCTCTACCAACATTGATAACATTCATTATTTTACAATCATAACTTTTATTAAATGTGGGTCTATAATGCTATAAGACAGAAATATGTGTATTCAAAAGTTCTAAGCTGCAATGAAAAGATTCTATAACAACCACATTTGTACAGACTGAATCGTCACCCTACGGACCCTATACTTTCTCTATATAGTATACATATATTTCAGATAAGTTACAGTTTGCGGTGGGTGAAATAATGTGTATGGGCAATGATGGTGGTCAAGCTTTTTGGGGCACTTTTCAAATGAACATCAAATGTCATCCAACTAGAACTGACACGTCTACAGTAACGCATGAACTCGGCACTATTGTTAAGGTAGGCAGAATAATAGATATTTTTATACGCCCACATTTTCATGTGGACGTATATTGTCGTCGCCCCTGTCCGTCCACAACTGTTTGTGAACAGTCTACAGGTCACAATTTTTATCCGATTTCAATGAAATGAAATGAAATGAAATGGAGTTTAACGTCCTACTGTTCTGCTCCTAACCTGGGCTAATGAAGAAGGGATTTCAATGAAACTTGAAATATAGGTTTATCACCCTAAGATCTCGGTTCCTTTCGATATTGGCATGTATCGGACTGTAACTTCATGGATTATGGTCCCTGATTGTATGAAAAATCACGTTTTTAGCTTGTGAACACTGTAGAGGTCACAATTTTTATCCGATTTTGTTGAAACTTGAAATGTATGCTTATAACCCAAAGATCTGGGTTCCTTTCGATATTCGTGCATATCGGAACGTAACTTCCTGAATTATGGCCCCTGATTGTACTAAAAATCGCGTTTTTTGGCTTGTGGACCCTATGGAGGTCATAATCTTTTATCCGATTTAAAAAAAAACCGTGTTATTATATCACCGTTACACCCTAAAGATATCTGAGTTCAAATTTCGTGAAAATCGGCCCAAAACTTACAGACAAAATGGCCGCCCTTCGTTCTCAAATAGCGTAAAAATATAGTATATCAAGGTTGTGGACCCTATAGAGGTCACAATTTTTATCCGATTTTGTTGAAACTTGAAATATAAGTTTATAACCCAAAGATCTCGGATTCTTTCGATATTCGCGCATATCGAACGGTAAATTCCTGAATCATGGCCCCTGATTGCACGAAAAATCGCGTTTTTAACTTGTGGGCCCTATAGAGGTCATAATTGTTATCCGATTTAAAAAAAAACATTTATTATATCACCGTTACACCCTAAGGACGGCTGAGTTCGAATTTCGTGAAAATCAGCCCAAAACTGACAGACAAAATGGCCGCCCTTCGTTCTCAAATATCGTAAAAATATGGTATATCAAGGTTGTGGACCCTATAGAGGTCAAAATTTTTATCCGATTTTGTTGATTCTTGAAATTAAGTTTATAACCCTAAGATATTGGTTCCTTTCGATATTCGCGCATATCGGACTGTATTTTCCTGAATTATGGTCCCTGATTGTACGAAAAATCACTTTCTTTTTAGCTTGTTCTCTATCCATCTCTCGAAAATGTGGGCGTATCCTGCCTGGCAGCCGCTGGTTGAAGTTTTTGAAGCCAACCACTTGGCATTCAGCAGAATTTTATCAGGCGGCATGGCGCCTTTGTAAGTTATATAGCTCCAGAAACTGTCACAGTCGGTGCAGACACATATAAATTAACTGGGGTGAATTGCGATAATTTTACCAAGAGTGAGATTGTTAGACGGAATATTGCTTTCTTAAACATACATTATACAAGAGCTAAATCTGCCTATTGCAGGTCTTTCTTTAGGCCTAAAATCTTATATAAACTATTAATTAGACATTTATTAACAAAACAAGACCATAATCGACTCTCAATGGCATCGGATACTCGAGATTTTAACTAGATAAGGATCTGATTTGCTGCTCAACTTCCATTCATGATTTAATCATGAAATGGATAATCGAGAATATGTTTTTGTCGTACCGACTTTAGTAACGATCAAGGCTAGGCCGATAATTCAATCGCTAAGTTCTCGGTTCCGATAGGATCAATTTGACTGAAATTTTCAGCAAATTCCGTTTACATTATCTCGTTTTTAACTATTATAGTGAGAACTGCCAGCTCTTTATCTAATATCCCGTAATATATCTTTAAGGAAATATAGCTGCTTGGATTGGTCTATAAACCAGATTATGCCACAGTGTTATCAATGAAGACAAAAGATTATAGAAGACAGGGACCCCTTCATTTCTTTGGGTAGAAGTGGTTGATTAAGACCCAAAATTTTCGGTTATTAACAAATGTAAATATTCCCTTCAGTTCAGTTCAGTTTTTTTTATTTACTTTGGGTATAAAATTCATCAGTATATACATATAAATACAATATTTCCATAATCTACAGTATGTACAATCATCCCAAACTTAGGCTGCCTGTCTACAGCTAGCTCCGCCTGACGGCTAGAACCCTCCATATTAACCACAGTACTAAGAATATTATCAGTATCTAAATCATTCTAGTGAGCAGCCTTTCCATCACAACTTTGACGGCTATTATTCCCCCATATCAAGAACATCACAATTTTACGGCTATTATCTTCCATATCGAGTACATTACCCATGTAATCAGTATCCAAATGCTTATCACATATATTCTCATTATTAATATTTGTTTTCGACTGTGTTACAAACATGTCGTCTCCATGTCGAATATTTTGGACTGTCTGTGTGTATGCTTGCATTGTATGACTGGAGTGTTTTGTCACATGCATTCATGAGCATGTGCATGTTGTTTTAAGAATATATCCTTTATTTTATGGCTTGTTGTTTTAGAAAACTATCCATTATTTGTATCTCTATGGTGCTGTGTTTTAAGTTTGATAATAGCCTTAGACTGTCCATTATGTAAATACAAAAAAAGACTTCGGGGCTAACGCCCCTCAGTTGTTCTTTCTATTTACATAATGGACAGTCTTCGGCCATTATCCATCACTTAAATCCCAATTGTTAGTATGGCAGCAAATGAATCTAACAAGTCATGCGATCCCCTTGGCGTTCAGCCTTACATTATTAAACACAGATTGATGTAGGATAAGTTAAGTGGTTGACTATTACTAGATTTAAGATGAGATTCAACATCACTAATATATAATGAAAACAATAAAAACCGTCCAGCACAACATGAAAATAGTTTGGATAAACTATCATTTAATTTTACAGAACATTTCACTTTACTGTATATAGAGCGAACCCGTTTCAGATGCACCGGATATGTCCAGTGAAGATGTCGGAGTACGATAGTTGAGTCCATGAAATTCTATCACATACACTTTGGGTTCTTCCTTATAATCAATATCCTGATCAAAATTATTGGGTTTTTTTGTTCGATATATGATCTGGATGATAGGAGGCTACATAATCATTTTCTATTTGTCCAGGTTTTATTTTTTATCTCACCAGTTATATTTCTATAATGTTTTCAGGATGTCAACCAATACAATGCCAAGAATTACTTGGAGAGAATGAAAATGTTGACTTCAGATATTTCAGCTTTTATTGATGTTCTATATACAACCTACATCTTAGACAAAATCGTGAAATCGAATGACTTGTCTTATAAAGTGAGTAATTATCTTAGATCACATCGTAAAATGTAATGAACCTATTAAGTAATAGATATAGACATAATTATGCTTTGACTTTCTTAGAAAATATGCAATTATCGATTTAACAATTAAAGATGGGTTGCGACAGAAGAAGGACGGGGAAGAAGTCTTTGTGTGTAAATCTAGGCGATACAACCACAAAACAAGTTCAGCTTGGTCTCGATGTTAAAGGAGCTAAATCGCTAACATTTGGGATCTAGAAATTGACACAAGTGGGTCGCAACTCATATAATACTGTAATATGAATGTATATAAACTGATATACATTCAATGGTTTCCGTTTTTACTCTAATTTCAAATCAGTTATGTTCCGCGAAATAAGCCAGCAGTCTCAATCGAATGCAAATTTCTAGCGCCTGGTTATTCCAGTCTACATACGCCATTTGGTTTGGTGCAATATGTCTAGCCTCGTTCGTCGAGTCTCTTGCTAGAACTGGGGCTGAAACGCATTATGGTACACGATTCGTGTACCAATGGTAAAATAATTTGTGTATTCAATGTTGAAGATTTTGGATTATATTGAGTTAGAGACTTAGCTACTTTAAACATACATTATGCAAGAGCTAAATCTTATCTGCCTATTGCAGGTCTTTCTTTAGGCCTGAAATGTTATCTAAATTGATAATTAGACATTAATTAACTTATCCAGACTATAATCAACTCTCTATGCCATCGCTAGCCTACGATATTTACTGGATTTGAATACATTTTATGATGGATAATATTTAACGTCAAACTGGATAATCGAGACTTTGTTTTTATATCGTACATAATTTAGTAATGATGATCGAGACTAGGCTTCAAATTCAATCGGTAATATCTCTGTTCTGAGTGGAGCAATTTAACTGAAATGTTCAGCATATTCTCTTTACATTATCTATTTTTTTAACTATTATAGCGAGAACTGTCAGCTCTTTATCTAATCTTACATAATGCCCCTTTAAATAATTTATAGAAATGGTCGTCAGTAATACGTTTTGAATTTACAACATGTAAACTACACCAGTGCATATGCATGCTACATGTAATACATTATACACCACTGTATATAATCTATAATGATATATAATTTCATATTGAAGGGTTTATAAGCAATGAAACATAAACTAATACATTGTTTGTTTATCTATATTTACAGGACGCTGTTAATTGTATTCATATAGTCAATAATATTCAAGAACTCCCTGAGGACATTTTAGAATTAAGCAACGCAAAAGCCCAGCAGAAGTAAGTATTGTATACGTTTTGCTTACTATGATTTATTTTTGAATACAATGGTTTACTTTTGGTCATACATTTGTCATAAATCCACGATGCAATAAATCACACGAAGGCTACCGTCAATGAAATACACACTTGACGCATACATGCGAGCAAATGATTAAAATAATCAAATCTCAATAATACGAATGATTGAACTTTATTCTCATAAACTATAGTGCACAGTTCTAATTTCAAATCAGTTATGTTCAACGAAATACACTAGAAGTCTCAATCGAATGGCAATCTCTAGCGTCCAGTCTACACCGATAGTATTTATTGTGCATGCTCACCTGATAAGAATATGATGTCACCGTTTGACTTGACTTGTGGAATATGTCTAGCCTCGTTCTTCGAGCTATTGTTACAAATGGCGCTGAAACGCATTGTGGTACCAATAGTAAAATGTTTATTTTGTTTTAAATATTGGATATCAGAAGCCCATATTTTCTCGGTAATATCACAACATCAATGCTGATTTAAATTGATAAATAATTTGTGTTTTCAATGTCGAAGACTTTGGGTGATATTGAGTTAGAGACTTAGCTACTTTAATTTGGATATACAGGTCACAATTCTATGGAATACAATTACTTCTTTTTACTGAGCGATGTTTCGACTAGGCTTCTCTATTCATTATCAAGTAATGATAAAATATGAAAATATAACAAGACAATATATACATGTATATAACAGGAGATCCCATTTATGACATTGGGAAGCAATTGATCCTCCCCGAAAGGGCTATTTATGTGGCGCACGTCGGTCGTTTCCAATCTGCTTTGGTTGAGTCCCTTGATTGAAAAGCCAATGTCGTTCATCTGTTTCCATTCTCGCTTCAGCGTTTACCCATCGTTGATTTCGCTTGGAAACTGCTCATTCTTGTAACGACAGACACTGGATATGGTATTGTAAAATGGGTGTTCGTTTTCATATGTGTGCTCGATTAAATGAGATGGGCGAGCTATTTTCATATTAATAACCATATTTGGGTAATAATTTATTCAGTATTACCCGTCTTAGTTGTTTCTGGTATATTTTTCCCTCATCGATCCCGTCTTTAGGTCTAAATGACGTTCAGGGAGGTTATCGAAACCTTGCCGTAATTATCCAACATCTTGAACCATATCGATGTGTTCAGTTTTAATTTGTGTCACTGCTGTTTTTAAGTGTTTTTGATCATTTGTACAGGTTTCGAATTCTTCGTTTTCAAAGTTCATTCTTTTATCAACCTTGTCTATTCGCTTAATAACTCTGTCAACACTTTCCACTAAGTTATTCATGGTGGACTGATATTTACTAAGTTTCTCGTTAACTTTGTTTAATGGAGACATTTTTGACACAACTAATCTACTGTCTGTACAAGACTGTCAAGTTTACCATTTGTATCAAGACCTTGGTTCAAAGTCAACTGCATAACAGGTTGCATTATATTTGAGAGGGGGCTCTGATAATAAATGTTCAGGAGTTGTTGGAAGATTTGAGGAAACTCTTGCATATGTCATGCATATTTGGGGAAGCATGATATCTGTTCATATTATTCATATTTTGGTGTATTAGTATCTGGATTGTTTAAATCTTTTCACAACTGTCATTTTGACCTTTTGATTTCTTCCTTTCCGTTCCTATTCATTTATAGACAAAATAAACCACATTTACATGTTGAAAGCAATTATTTAAGTCTATAAACACATGAATTTCGTTGAATTTATCGCTCTTGAAAAAAGTTTGTCCATTTTATCCGCTCTTGCGCACTAATTATAGCGGTAGAGATAAACGTTGGTGTTACAATAACACCTATCACTAGTAACTCCAACTTTTATCTCTTTTATTACAACATCTCTATTATTGAAATATCACTTGATTTGATATATGTTTATTTTTTGCAACTTCTATATGTCAACATTTGTTTTGTTAGATTAAAAATACATGTCGCACCAAGAGCCCAAAGTATTCGTAAACACTGTGTTTTTAAATAATAACATCAGCTTGATTGTGTTATATCTTTGATCAGTTTGATGGCCATTGTAGAAGAACTCGAACTAAAAATGCCAACTTCTGATGATGTCGATGACAGACATGCTAGAATCGTTACTGATACAATGGTGGTGGCCGTGTGGGATATACAATATACTGACATGGAACCTGTGATTGGTCTACGGGTGGACGGGGAACTTACTCAACCAATGGAAATAAACACCATTGTTCCTGTACACGATAAAAACAATCTGTATACTGAAAATACAGTAGTTGGCATCAGTTTAGATAAACGTATTGTACGAGGATTGCTTAACGGTAGGATTCGTGTTACATATGGTTTTATAAAAATAAAACAAAAATCGGCATTTTAATTAATGTATACCGGTATTTTCTGGTCTAATCTTAGATTTTATCCAATGGCGAAAATGGTACTCGGGAGAAAATGTCCCATAAAAATTAAAGACTTGGCAATCCCGCCAGGGCCCACTCTCATTTTACTATGATTTTGAACAACACTCTAATTATATAATTCATATTCACATGTGATATTATTCCTGTATTACAGTCTATGCCTGGTATAATTTCCAACCTGTTTTTAATTACGTGTTTTAGTATCTTCGTGTTTTTTTATTCTTGAGGGGTATAGTCAGAACCTTTGACCTTTGCATAAATTATAACTTTTGCATCTACTATAGACAACTTATACCAAATTAATGGTCAAACTTTCGGTTTTGATCTGAGTTCACAATGACAGGTGTTTTTCACTTTAATAGTTATTTGTTGTGACTATGCTCGATATTGCATGATGTATTGTGATTGTTGACGTGACAATACGATATTTAAATGTTTATTTTGACACTTTAAAGCCGGTCTTGGAAACCTGTACCCAGAACTATTTTTATGACGTTCGCGTTGACACATTCTACCGAAACATGTACGTACTTCTTCACAGTTCTAGTTGTACTTCTTTAACTAAATCACAAATCAAAGCTAAAACCACTTTCCATTTTTTAAAGAAATTATCTTATGATGCTAGTGCACTGCACTTGGTATTACTCAATTGTATTTCTATTTTGTTTCCATGGAAACTGCTTTATCTTTTGTCTTTGAAAAGGTGGCGACTCAACACACATCAGACTAGCTGTTCACATATTTAACAACCCCCGGTTATTTTCAACTTACACAGAAGACGTGATCAATAGTTATATAATAGGACTAACAGTTGCTGTTAATAAAATGCCTATCAGGCGTTTTGACAATAGCCATGTCAAAATTGTGTTCAGTCCTAAACAGGTAGGATATGTTAAATTATTATAATTTATTCTTTGATAGAAAACTTTTTCTGTGTACCGACTGGGCCCATGAATACGCATCTTTTCATATTTTGGCTTGTCCATCTACACTGTAAACAATATCGTTTTTTGAATTCCTACTTTTTAAGCCATGTAAGATTCTTTGTCCTTACTTAATATCTGTTCATTTTTAATATTTTTGTAAATTCATGACTGAAAAATTACATTTACACAAAATAAATTATTATTTACGGATGATTTTGTTTTATTTTTAACCAAAATAATTATGTTAAAGAACAGAAAATCTTCTGCCAGAGTCTTTTCTGTTTGTTTTACAGAATTATTTTTTACAGCGTGTCAAGGGTCTGTTTACACGAAATCGTTTTCGCCTCATTTGAAAGACTAAGACTCTCCGTCATGCACCACTGTGAAGCCAGACTCACAAATCCCGATGACATTTCGTCGGATACCTCGAACGAGCCCCACATTCATTCAGTGGGGTATGTTTGCAAAAGCAAAGGATATTATAAATTGTATATTATTACATTGTTAGCCTGATGGAATTGAAACTCCTGGCTTCTCTAATTAGGATATTACAGGTTATTATATAGCTTTATACAGAGGCCGTCTATCACTATACGTCAAGTGTGTGTATCTCAAAATTGCAGTGACCTACCTCATGCAAAGTCTGTCTGTAGTGAAAAGTGTTCAGCTCAACGAAAAATTGGGGAACAGTTGGCAAAGAGACCATAATTAACATTAACGTCAATGGGGAAAACTAATGGTGTCCTGCCTCCATACGGAGGTTATTCTAGGTTATTTTGGCGTTAAGATGCATGATTTAGGTACGGAATTAATTCTGGTTATGAGTGATTTTAAACATGTTCTGCATGCTGTCTCTATAGAGGTTACTGTTAACTGTATGCCTTGTATTTCTTCCCAGGAGTTTATTTATTTCCTTTACCCAACCCAGAAATTGGATGGATAATGTCTCAAGTACATTTATGTAAACCTTCTTGTTTGATACCATGCCGTTTAGAATAATTTAGTCGATTATAGAAAGAAAGAGAACCACTCGCCACACAATAGGCCTTTCAAATAATAACCCTGTGTTCTGATACCGTACGAATACTATAATAATATTTTAGAATATTAAAACCAAAGTATCGTATTATTATATTTACAGATATTACAGGAACATGTTAAAGAGAAGTACACACAGTGTGCATATTGGAAATTCATATACTGGTCAGAAAGTTCAGATCCTCCATCCAGTACAACGGATGGTAAAAATACCTGTACTAGCAAATATTTAGGCAATTTTGTACTTCAACTAGTAAGCCATCATATTTTATTAGTAAAGAAATTGATGGGGTTCAACTTCCTACAGTTCTGTACCGAATGGGCTAATGAAGACAGCTTAAAGATACATTCCCGCGTACAAACTTGGTGATTTAATGGTATATATGGACTGAAAACATATTCAAACTAATTAATTTGTCATAATTTTGCTTCAAATCCTTCTCAAACATTGTAATTGCGAAGGAATGCCCTGCTATAAATATTCAATCAAACCAGGTGATGTTTACGTCACGTGACTTACCTGTCTTGGAAGTCAGAGGAGAATTCATTGCATACATAAGACGATGTTGTCTTTAATGAGTGTTTTTCGGGAAATCCATTATTTTTCTAGTAAGATTGGATATCTCTACTTTCCATATATACCAAAATTGCCATACTTTTATTGGAAATAACCACCCGATAAATACTTTTCTGGGGACCCATCTTTAAATTATCATATACTCATACTAAAAACTGTTGTCATCCCTGTCAACCGCCATATGTTCGTTAACAGGCCAGCGTATTCAAGTGTAAACCGTTGCATTCTGTTGATTTGCGCCAATGGGTGGACAGGGTATAACCATAACACTCTTTGTTCCACGGCACCCTAATTCAAATTCAACTGTTCTCTTAAGTAATGTTGCTTTCCGCTCTAAAACATCAACTAGGGCGGAATACTTCTTTGATTGGGATTTGCCTAAAACTTGTTAGATGTCGACATTCTGTTGGCTTACAGGATAATTCCTATACGTTAGCTTGGTAAACCTGATGAAACCATATGATTATAGAGTTACATAAGCTTTAGACTTGTCTGTGCTCTTCGCGCTAACGTGTTTTGGATCAACCACTGAAATATGAAGCACTATGACTGTATTTCAGAATCATAATGGACTTAATTTTGTGAGAAAACTCTTCCTGAGTCAAATGGTCACAATAGGAAAGGTGTTTACCCTTAGCTGTTATTTATTATGCTTTATGGGTTGGATTTTTGTCAGGTATGTAGTGGTTTGTATACATCATCTAAAATCATTTTTGTTCTAAATCCAATACTTTGCGGAACTCTAGTGATAAAAAACATTGCAATGGGATGTATTTAAAGTCAGATTTTAATTCCGCACAAAAGTCCGAAATTTTTGGCATCAATGAATATCATTTGAACTGTAAATTGTTGATCAAGTCGAATTATCGTGCATTCTAAACATTTCAGTTTATTCTTTTAACTAAGTTTATAGTGATTCATATCTGATTAATTTTTTTTATTTTTTTTTTAGAAAATCGCGGATTGACAATTTCTGGTTATATGCATACCTGTTATTGACAGTATTAATTCCATACTTAGTAAATCTGTTCCTTTCTAACCAACCAGGTGGCCTAACGGAGGCTCGTGTACTTCAATATTTAACCATCTATTTTCTGTCCTCTTCTATCAACTGGTTGTTGGCGGATGGAGTTATTCATCATTATTTGTTTGCCAAAAAGGGAACAAAAAAGGGTTCCGCTCTACTCTTAAGAAGCACCTCTAAATCCGGTAAGTGGTTTTGCCTGAAATGTTTTAAGAATATGCCCCCTCATCTTAATAGTCTCATTAAGGCCCCTATCACATGCCTGTCAAAATATAAATTATCCCCCATAAAGATCTTCCACGCCTCATCTATGAAGTCATTAACTTTATGTAAACGAAGTCACAATTATGTTGAAATGGACAGGTCACCTTGTACATGTTGCATAAGAATGTAAGTAATATTCATGAATCCTCCCCAAAATCTCTGATGCTTAACGGAATTTAATCTATTCAGTCAGGTGAACAAATAGAACAGGGAACGTTAAACGACGTCATATTATTACCGTGAGCATTGATGCTTTAAAAAACTTACCCATTCACGCCTACTATCCGTGACCATTCACAACATTAAAAAACTAAAATATATAAACGGCACTGGAAATACATTAGATATAAATATATTTGCTTATATTTGTGTATCTTAGTTTTCACTGAAGTGTAGTTACGGTTTTACATTAGAAGTGATATCTTTTACACTAGAAGAGATATCTGTTACACTAGAAGAGATATCTGTTACACTAGAACTGATATCTTTTACACTAGAATTATTGTGGTAATCTCAATGTGATATGTGTTCGATCAGCACCATACTCTCTTCGGTATGGCACATGATCTAATCTACGTTGAGGGAACATTTAAAGATCTTACTGTAACTTTGTGTTACTTCATGTTTTTCATTAAAGGTCATTATGGTTTTGTAAGCGTTATGGCAGTAGGTTATGGAGTATATCAAGTTCCAGCAAACGCTGATGAAATGTAGGTTTTATTTTTATAGACCCCTGTTTCTACAATATGGCCGCCTAACATCCTGAAGACATTACTTTTAACTCCAATGGAAATGCCTGTTATTATATCCACACACCACTTAAGCCCTGAAGAAGACAAACTAGTTATCACAATGTCTATGAACATTGATTGCGAAATTTGTTATCACAAGTCATAAGAAAAAAACAATTTATGTTTGTCCTCCTTCACAGTTGATTGTTATCTGAATGTAGCCTAGATAAAGTGGGACATTAAACCCCATTTCATTTTATACTATTGTTTTGTTGCTATATTTCAGCCTTATATCCTAGATACCGTTGTGTTATTTGTATATTTCAGTCTGGTAGATATGGTTCATACCGTTTCCCTGTATACATGTGCTTTCGCATCAGTAGCTATTACCTACTTCTACATATTATGGACCTTAAGAACCCGTCCAAAATTCATGAAAATGTCTTCTATTCAGCAGTTTCAGGCCTTCTGTTGTTCTGTCATATATTGTGGTAGGTAATAATATATTTTAGAACAACTGCTCTAAACGACTGTCTTCCGTGTCGCTGTGTAGACACCGCCTACAATCCAGGCTTTCGTCACATTAAGCTAAAATACTTAAACCTCTGTGATCTGGGACAAAAATTAAATTTTGGGGGTATTTATTTGTCGATGTATTTTTTTAGTCATACGCATCATTTAAACCAATGTCAAGATATAATCGGATGTGCCTTCTTCAGAAGCCCACAATTAAATTTAATTAAATCTAGAAAGAAAACAGACACAGACTTAATTTTCACTTAGATTGTTCCCGATATCAGTCGAAACCACCAAATCAAATATTTAGCTGCTTAGGAAAATGTGTTGGTGTCCAACACGATTAAAGTAGCCATTAATTAGCAGGTGTGTAACAGGCTGTAAAAGATATCACTTCTACTTCTTGTGTAACAGATAGCTCTTCTAGTGTAAAAGATATCACTTCTAATGTAAAAGTGTAATTACACTTCAGTGAAAACTAAGATACACAAATATAAGCATTGTGTTCTTTTCTAATACATAAACACACGCTGTGTTCTTTGTATTGCATTTACACAAACTCGTGTAGAATTCTAATATCTGTGGGGTTTTTTTTAGTATACTTAACACAAGTAATGTGTATGTTCAACACAGATTGTTTTATTACTCTCTTTTAAGCTATATGTTTTCTCTATTTTCAGGAATGAACATAACACTCGGAATTCTGATGTTACGTGATGCTACCATTCTATATCAGACCATCTTTTCCATTGTCAACATGGTACAGAGTTTATTAATCTCTGTTAGATTTATCGTTGGAGTTTGGTCAAAGGATGAAATGGTCGATGACGAGCAAACTATTACATGCAGAAAGTCACACTCTTCGACCGATAATGATGGCAGTCCCGGACCACTGGACAAAACTGTCACACATATTAAAATCGATGAAGAAAAGAAACCACTGACGGAAACCGGTCCAGAACCTATCGTAGATCTCAATCAGTGAAAGACCTAACGGAATCACAGATTTTATAGAAAAACTGCTTTTGTGGGAATTACTCTACCGGTCTCATCTACTATTTAATTAAAGATACAGCGTCCAAAAACAATGTCAAAACTCTAAATTAAAAGTTCCAAATAATACATGGCTGCAAATCGAACATGAACTTAATTTGTAGATTGCGTAGAAGAAACTGTGAACGGACTGACATATTATAAAATATACATTCATATACATATACATTTTTTTTAAAATGTTTATTGAAAACATATAACATACAGGTACATCATACAGTATATTACATTATAGCTTCTATCCTTACATCATTTAGTTTTTGCATCTCCGGTTAATTTACATACTTTTGGTAACTATAAAATATTCATCTATAGATACAATTATATCATATAATTTCAAATCATTTATTTAATATTCATTTATAATTGTCAGTACATGTTATATTTCTAAAATAGTTTGCAGGGTATACTTTACTTCTGTCATTCTAAAAGAGTACTACTTTATTGTTACGTGTAATTATATTTAGCTTGGCCTTCCCCTAAAATGTGTTATCTCCCCTTGTGTGAGTTAGTTGTATTTTACGTCCACTTCCACCGAGGTGATATCGCAGACAAGTCTCCCCTTATGGAGGTCAGAGTCTTTACATAATTAGAAACTTGTTGAATACATTTTGAGGGAAAGCGTTTAAACTGTATAGCCTAGATTTAAGCACTGATTTTTTCCACCAAATGAAAAGTCGAAAGTTGAAAGGACTCAAGTACTTATAGCAACCGTGTAGTTCATATAAATAAATAACAATAATTTGGTTATTTCTGTTTTGTTTGGATATGCAGTAAAAAAAGATTCATTTATTGAGTATTTTCTCATTAGTTTTGGAAGAAGGCTTTGTATCTATCGCAGGTTGGAATGGTTGCTTCTAGTTTTGATTTATATACGTAATACTTAGTAAAGAATATTATTTGATTTACAAAAGTCCATTTGTGAATGTTGTCAAAAACTGATTTATCTAGGCTGTATATAACTTTTATCAAATTGAACTTATTGACCTCCAGCCATGCTTCTTGATAATATATATAATATTGACCTTTTAACTCTGAATGCACTGTTCTTAAGTCACGATTTTCTGTGTTGTAATTAAACATGTAATTAATTCAATATGTCCTTTACAAACTACATATGATCTGTGCACATGTTCCGCTTTACTTCAAAGGAATATGCACTTGTCAGTAAGCATGCCATGACGAGATAAAAGAGACAATTGCATGTATGACCATGTGTCTTATCTATCGTCCGAGGGTATATATTGAGGAGTTTACTGACAGTTAGGCTGTCAACTAAGTCCACCAAAGACGGACAGAGAAGAGAGGCCTGCTGGACGAGTGCATGGACGAGTTCAGCTGCTACCTTGGCAGAGGGGCAGAATGGTGGATTTGATATAGTTATAATTATTATGTGTTCCTGATGTAATCTAGTTCCAGTATAGTCTAGTTTCTGTAGTTTTGATGTGGCTGTGTTATATTCTGTTCCTATGTAAATAAACCATATAATTACGAAACTGATCTCCATTATCACTAAGATAGTGTTACAATGCATCCAAGGTGAATTTCCTGGTGTGTTATAGTTATGTTAATATTTGCTTTTTTAAGTATTTCATACATTTCGTTCTATATCCGTTGCATGTTATTACAGTATATAAACAAATGATCCACATAACAGTTTCAATATCTGAAAGACAGACAGAACACAGCTGATTCTGTCATTCTTAATTTATAAAGTAATTTATTTGTGTAATTCTGTAATTTAGAGTTAATATTTACATGTTGAGCTAATGTGAACATCATTTTTATATCATTTTCACTAAATTGGTGTATATTTAGTTCCTCCTTCCATTTAGTAATCGATTTTGCTTTTTCGTATTTAGCTAATATCATGTGGTTATAAATGTATTTAGCAGTAATAGATTTCAAAGGTGGTGGGGGGGGGGGGGGGTGGCCGAACGGTTTGTATGTGCGCACTGTATCATAAGGTCTGTCATTGAGTTAACTGTCGTGGTTTTGATTCCCCGGTTGTATGTGACAAGGAGTAGGGTCGCCTGTCCAACCTCGTGGGTTTCCTCCGGTTTCCTTCCACTGCTAAGGACCCCTATCATGCTTTCAAATTTTTGTGATGTCATCTATAGCTTTGTAATACGTTCGATTAGGCGTGTCATTTAGATTCGTTTGGGTTTAAAGCATTTTTTAAAGACTAACGCTGTATTATTTACATAAAACTGGTCATTCCGATCTTTTATATGTAAGTTCCAATAAATTCTGGGGGATCAGGTGGCTAAGTGGGTAAGGCGCTGGCTCGCTAGCCTGGAGGTCGGGTGTTCGATCCCTGCATTGGCCGAGAAAGTTCATCCCGATTTTCCGGCGTGGTTTCCCCTTGTCAGTGATGCAGGACGGAGGGCCTGACAAGGACAGCTGTCTAATCGTTCGGATAGGACGAAAAACCGAGGTCCCGTGTACACATTGGCGTGCACGTAAAAGACCCTTGGCAGTTGGAATTCGATATAAGAGTAGGCCGTAGCGCCGCTGCCCGGGCAAAATTTCCCTCATAGCACACTGTATGGCGTATGCCCGTCTTCATTAGCCCAGGTTAGGAGCAGAACAGTAGGATGTTAAACCCCATTTCATTTCATTTCATTTTCCAATAAATTCTTGTAAGTAGATGATATTTCCTTTGCCAATAGTTTTCTCATACCTATAGATCGTTATAGATACTGTTTTTATACGCCCACATAACTTCATGGATTATGGCCCGTTATTGTACAAAAAATCACGTTTTTAGCTTGTGGACACCCTAGAGGTAACTTCCTAAATTATGGCCCCTGATTGTACGAAAAATCGCGCTTTTATAGCTTGTGGTCCCTCGACTAGAGGTCACAATTTTTATCTGATTTAAAAAACCGTTTTAATATATCATCGTTACACCTTAATGATAGCCGAGTTCGAATTTTGTGAAAATCGGACCAAAACTGTCGGACAAAATGGCCGCCCCTTGTACGCAAAATAGTGTAAACATCTGGTATATAATCAAGGTTGATCTGATTTTGATGAAACTTTGAAATGCGTGTTTGTAACCCAAAGGTCGACTTGGTTCATTTTGATATTCGCGCATATCGGATCGTAACTTCTTGAATTATACTTTTATAGCCCCTGGTTGTACGAAAAATCGCGTTTTGAGCTTGTGGTCCCTATAAAGGTCACAATTTTTATCTGATTTAAAAAAAAACGTGTGATGGTTGAGTTTGATTTTCGTGAAAATCAGAAAAAAACTGACGGACATAATGGCCGCCTTTTGTACGCGAATAGTATAAAAATATGGAAGGTTGTGGGCCCTCGAGAGGGCACAGTTTTTATCCGATTTGGATGAAACTTTAAATATAGTTTTTATCATAAAGATCTCGGTTCCTTGTGATAATTACGCATATCCGAACGTAACTTCCTGGATTATGGCCCTTGATTGGTCGAAAAATCTCATTTTTAGCTTGTGGATTCTCTAGAGGTCACAATTTTTTAAAAACCGTTTAGATATATCACCATTCCACCATAATGATAATGAAGGTTGAATTGGAATTTTGGGAAAATCGAAATGAAACTGACCGACAAAATGGCCGTTCTTTGTACGCAATTTGTTTATAAGTATGTAATACAAAGGTTATGGACCCTCTAGAGGTCACAATTTTTATTTGATTTTGATAAAACTTAAAACATACCTTTATATTCCAAAAATCTCAGTCCCTTTTGATATTTGCGCATTTCAGACCATAACTTTCTGGATTATGACCCCTGATTGTTCAAAAAATCGTTTTTGTTTTTAGCTTATTCTCAATCCATCTCTTGCAAAATGTGGGCATTACTTGCCTGGCAGCCGCTGGTTTATATTTTTATTATTACAAACAGTTGATTCCGAAACGTCGATCTTTTGTGTATAAATCTTGTGCCAGTTACTAAACAGTTCCTGATAAAATGGCAGTAAAAATTTTAATTTAGATTTGTAATTACATGCAGGTAGAATATCACCACATCTGCTATAAAATCAAATGTCGTTTTCCAAGTTTGTGGCCAGGGCGAATATTTCCTTCTATATAATCCAGTTGGTGTTCAAAATTTTCTTTATCGGTTGTTTTTGTATCCTCTAAAAAGACTATTCCTAATATTCTGATGTTGCTATTTTTACAAATGAAATCAGTACTCTGTAAATCCAAGCTTCTGCTGTTAAGATCTATGACTTCTATTTTAGTTACATTTATCTTTAATCTGGATGCTAACATTTTCCAGTACTTCTAATAGGTGTCTGGAATTCTTGGGTATACATTTGAGAGCGTGTATGAACATATGCATTTCATTAATTAAATTTTTAATCGTCTACATACGAATATTTGTAAAAATTGTACACACAACAATCAACAGGTGTGGAAATGTCCTCTGATTCCAGTACGTATTATTTAACATTAAAATACAGATGTGACGTGATTTTTTGCTGATACGTCCACTATGCCAATCTTAACGTGATATTTTGCGGGTGAGTCCACTCTGCCAGTCCTGACGTGATTTGTTGCTAGTCCACTATACCAATCCTGACTAGTTGCTGGTACGTCCACTATGCCCACCCTGACGTGATGTGTTGCTGGTTCGTCCACTATGTCAACCCTGACCTGATGTGTTGCTGGTACGTCCACGATGTCAATCCTGCATTATTTATACAATATGGTGGATTACATAGACATTCACGTGTGTGATACTAGTTGATCTGCATTTCAGTTTGTTTAAGGGTCTCTGGCCAGACACTGCGTTGGCTATGTGGATGATATTACGATATAAAATATATATAAAGCGCTTTTTAGAATTTGGTGACATCAGGATATTTTACTTTTGATTACCAGCTAGAATGAAAATAAATCATGAAATGGAGAGGGATTTAACTTACTGATTTACTGGATCATGAAGGCGGGCATGTGCCAGAGTTCTTGCTTGGACAGCAGTGTTGTCGAATTCTGACTGCCAAATCGTTTTTTTTGTTCACCACGTTTTCACCCAATCCACTGATGATCTACCGTGGATCCCAATGTGGTCTGGATAATTGCGGTTTCAAGTTCTTGCGCCAGTGAGTAACGTGCCATTTATATTGAGTGCGAACGCGACTATACTGCCCAATGCAAAATCGAATGATCGTCTGTGCTGTTAGCGGCGATATTCGCAGATGAAACTGGTGATCATACAATGGACCTGACGCACACATCACTTTTTGGGAAAGTTGAAAAACTCACAAATACCATGGGCCAGTGACAGCTAACAAAGAGACCAGCCATTGTCTGCATGGAAAACTGCCTGCATAAACAAAGCTAAAATATCCGGACATATCCGTATAAAGGGATAATAATACTTTATTGTCAATATTTGCTGATAAATGAATGTTGTTTCACTAGATTGGACTGCATATGTGTAATAAGTACTAATAGTATAAAATTAACTTATTTTTAAGATGGTACATACATTAAAGATACATTATGGGAGATTCGATAACGAGTTGGCAGTTCTCACTATAATAGTTAAAGGGACAATAACACTCTTGCTGGCTTGAAAGCTCCAGAAAATAAATAATATCTCTATCTAAGTACTAGATGTTTAAGTGTCCTACCTGTTGTGTAACTTATCCATTACATTCTATTTTACTTGTCCAGAGGGTTCAAAAATATTTTTAAATCGAAGTTTCATTTGAAAAGGTTTACGTTAGACGTTTCAAACCATAATTATGTTGAATTTTTCAAAATTTTTAAATTAGGTGTGTTAAGATGAAATTTGTATTATCAATTAATTGGAATATTGTAAAATAGTACAATTTGTTGACCAGAATAAAGATTGGGACATATTATTCAGTTACAACAAGAGTGGTATTGAGCCTTTAAACTAATGTTGCACTCACAATGAATGGGTATAGAAAGAAATGAAATATGAAGTTATGTAAAAGGATTATGTTTCTGGGTAGACGGTAAATATTAAAGATACATTATGGGAGATAAGATAAAGAGATGACAGTTCTCGCTATAATAGTTAAAAACTAGATAGTGTAATGGTAATTTGCTGAAAATTTCAGTCAAATTGATCAACTATGAGCCGAGAAAGAAGCCGGTGAAATTTTTGCATAGTCTCGGTTATCATTACTAAAATCATTAATATAAACAGCATAGTCTCGATTATCCGCTTTTTCTGATTTAATTATCTTTGGCCGTTAGCGGCATATAGGAATCTAATCCAGCCTACATCGAAGTCTAGCGTTGACATCGAGAGTTTATTATGGTCTGGATAAGTTAATTAATGTCTAATTGATAATTTAGATAACATTCCAGGCCTAAAGAAAGACTTGTAATAAGCAGATTTTGCTCTTGCATAATGCATGTTTAAATGGAATACTTCGGTCATTTTTACATACATATGATAATGTCATGCCTATATCATCATGGCTACATGCGCAATACGGGGGAAATGAATTGTACCCGGACTACCTACCCCAATATTTATTATGCAATAAAACGCCTACAGTCACCATTAAAACAAGGATCTACATCGTTTTGTCTCTACCTTTTACCAGGCGAACGTGGTTGAAAAGCCTAAAACTCAAATTTCAATATCCAAATCACTGAATTACAAAACGAAATGAAATGCTGTTTAACGTCCTACTTTTTTGCCCCGATTGGGCTAAAGAAGATGTGTTACATGTATATAATGTTATACATGTTGCGTATAGTGTTACACATGTTGCGTGTAGCCTATTGACAGATCTGCCCGAGAGGTATTTCTCGGGCCATTGCTTCAGGAATATGATTGACAGAGGGTTGACAGCTGACACATTAATGAGTTTAATTACTACCGTATTGTTTTATTTTATTATAATGTCTTCTACATTTTAATCTTTCCTCTTCAATTGTTATTAGTAACGTTGGCGTATATTGTTAATTCCTTAGATACTATTTGTACATTTATATAGTATTCTCGATTTCATCCCGGTTCCAGGACAGTTAGGCTACTCTGCTTGTCGGACGTGCTGTTCTCCGTGTATGACGTTTAATGTTTTCCGGTAATATATAGTTTCAAGGATATTAGTTATTACCGAAGATTCACACTGCTACAGTAGGCCTATTAAAGATAGGTTCCCAGAAAAGTATTTATCGGGTGGTTATTCCCAATAAAAGTACGTCAATTTTGGTATACATATATATGGAAAGTAGAGATATCCAATCTTACTAGAAAAATACTGGATTCCCTGAAAAACACTCATCGAGCGTATACAGGTAAAAAATGTAAGGGTTCCCCTAATCGACAGCCCGACGATTAGGAATACCTGCACGCGTGACGTCGAAGATTGCACGCGACCGAAGATTGAGTGCTTGGTGTACATGTTGATGAACTTTATGAAGAGTTAGACGTACAACACTTTCTGAGATAAAAATCACGGAAAAAGACGCGGGCAGTGGATAATCCGAGAATTTAATTATGATTCGATATTTGTAATAAATAGTCAGCGATTCAAGACAACGTCGTCTTATTATAATTGTGTATACAATGAATTCTCCCCCGACTTCGCGTGCGTTGCTAGGTACCGAGAGAGGTAAGTCACGTGACACAAACATGACCTCTTTTGATCGATTTTTATAGCAGGGTATTTATTCCTTGGCAATTACAATGTTTTGAGAAAGATTTGAAGCAAAATTATGATAAATTAGTTTGAATATGTTTTTAGTCCAAATATATCACCAAATCGCCCGACACAAACTAGGTCATTTTATTTCATTAATTCGCTTGCGCGTAGGGGGTCTTAAACTGTGGGAGGAAACCACTACAGATCCGCAGTGAATATTCGCTACGCCGCGACAATCACTGATAAGTATGACATCGATGCGACTTAATGAGCCACAAATATTAACTTTTTTCCTCCGACAAATTCTAAATTATTTTTTTTAATGTATTAGAAAAATAAATAAAGACGTTTGAAGTATTGTAGGTAAAAGTTATGTCCTATTTTAGTGTAAATGTGTATTAAAATGAGTAAAAGGCGCCATTCTCAATCAGTAACGTCTTAATATGTAAACAATGCACGCGCCAATGATTGACGCCGCGTGATATGACGTCATGTGTTGAAGGCAGTCATCTTTTACAGAGATATTAGACGATTTTCATAATACTCTGTGAAACAGATTGGAAGGAAACTGGAGAATCCGGAGAAAACCCACGTTCAAGCGGGGAATCGAAACCACGTCACATGAATTAATGGCAGATTTTATTGTGCAGCGCACACGCGTTACCCCCCCCCCCCCCCCCCCGGGCTAAGGCATATACCAGCTAGCTCAGGTCCAGTCCATCTTCCCACGGGTGGCCAACTGTTTTATACGCTCACAATGTAATCTTATTTTGACGAAACTTAAAATATATGTTTATAGCCCGAAGATCTCGATTTTGGGCCTAACTTTGTGGATTATGGCCCCCGATTTCACGAAAACTCATGTTTTTAGTAGGTGACCTCTCCCCGTTACGCAATTAGTGACAATTCATGCAATATCTACCTTAGCTACGAGAACGTAACTAAAAACGCTGAGATATACTGATGTGCTTACTTTTAGCTACGATTGGGTGCCTTTAGTTCCAAGTGGCAAACTCAATTTCTTTATTAAACATACATTATGCAAGAGCTAAATCTGTCTATTGCAGGTCTTTCTTTAGGCCTGAAATGTTATCTGAATTATTAATTAGACATTAATTAACTTATCCAGACCATAATCAACTCTAGATGGCATCGCTAGCCTGCGATTTTAAGTGGATTGTGAGCCGATTTACTGCGTAACTTTCCTTCTCGATTAAACGATTAAATGGATAATCGAGACTATGCTGTTTATCGTACTGACTTTAGTAATGATGACCGAGGCTGGGCAGAAATTTCATTCGCTTAGTTTTCGGTTCATAGTTGATCAATTTGAATGAAATTTTCAGCAAATTGCCTTACGTTATCTAGTTTTTAACTATTATAGTGAGAACTGCCAACTCGTTATCGAATCTCCCATAATGTATCTTTAATGTATGTACCATCTTAAAAATAAGTACTATTAGTACTTATTACACATACGCAGTCCAATCTAGTGAAACAACATTCATTTATCAGCAAATATTGACAATAAAGTAAATCAATTAGCGTTGTTTTTATCAAAATTGATTCGGACGTTCATAATTACGCCGTATTACTACTGCGCAACTCTGATCAGATGGGTACTTTGATTGGCTATTGCACACGAGTCCCCGCCTTTATGTGTTACAGACGTAAATTTAAAATGTCGGAAAAAGCAATCTATATATACTGTCGCTTCGATTTAAAAAGAGGGGATTTGTACCCGTTTCAGGTAGGATTGATTATATGCTTAATTGTAGTTGGGTGTGGCAGAAATATTATAAATAACAATAACCAATCGTTTTTTTGATTAAAAATATTGTCAATTTTGTTTATTATGCCGGGTGCGAATCGTTCCTGCATGTGCTACATTGAAGGTAATGACATCATGTCTTATCTCGAAACACGGAGAGTTGAGAGATTAAGGTTTGTTATCTATACCTATACCTATACCAATGTTGTGGACCCTCTACACATTTCCGAAAACAAACGCGACAGAGACATTAGTTTTTAACAGATTATGTTTCTAATTGGATATAATCATATGTGGGCGTATATCTTGCATGCCTACAGTCATTGAGGGCTTTTTTTAATATTTATTAGTATATAATGTAATATTGTCCTGATTACTAGTAGACCATGAAACGCCAAAAATCAATATTCACACTGACACAAAGGATTTTTAGTAATATTATTTCGTTGAGTATTGTCGAATTAATCCGATTTTTATAAGTATTAACACGGATTTCGGTCAGTACTGGTCGGTTCCGGTACTCCGAAACAAACAGCCACCGAACGAACTAGTCTCTATCATCCAGAAAAATATTGAAGACTAGGAGGTTCTGGATGACCGAGACTACCACCGAACTACTCGCATTGCAATATGGGAACACATTCTTGGTACAAGTTCCGGTGTAGAATTGTTGACATACAGCAACCGATCTGGTTTTAAAGGTAAATTAATATAATATGTATTGTACCAGTGCCAAATCTTCAATTAAATATTTGAAATATAACACTACAGTAGGCCTACCCTTCGTAACAAAATTCAAGACGACAATATACAGGCAATAACACTGTGTGATAATTTGTTGTGTGACAGGCAACTTGAAAATAGCTACGATTGGATGCCTTTAATCATAGATCTATGCTTTAATTAAGTAATTAGTTCCAAGTCACAAGTGGCAAACTCAATTTCTTTATTAATGCATGTACCATCTTAAAAATAAGTTAATTTTATACTATTAGTACTTATTACACATATGCAGTCCAATCTACTGAAACAACATTCATTTATCAGCAAATATTGACAATAAAGTAAATCAAGCGATGTTTTTATCAAAATTGATTCAGACGTTCATAATTACGGCATATCATATTACTACTGCGCAACTCAGATCAGATTAGTAGTTTGATTGGCTATTGCACACGAGGTCCCGCCTTTATGTGTTACAGACGTAAATTTAAAATGTCGGAAAAAGCAATCTACTGTCGCTTTGATTTAAAAAGAGGGGATTTGTACCCGTTTCAGTTAGGATTATATATTTAATTGTAGTTGGGTGTGGCAGAAATATTATAAATAACAATATTAATGAATCGTTGTTTTGATTAAAAATATTGTCAATTTTGCTTACAAATGCCGGGTGCGAATCGCTCCCGCATGTGCTACGTTGATGTCAATAGCACCATTTCTTATTTGAAACACGGAGGGTGGAGAGATAAGGTTTGTTATCTAGCAACAAAATAGGCCTAACTCAACTGTCAACGTTAGCAGTGCGAAAACAGTTTTAATAAATTCTTGCAAGGGCCTAATCAAATCAACTTTTGATTAGCAGTTTTGTTCATTTGAGGTGCAGTTAGATATTACAGTACTATTTCAGTAACGTACCTCTACCAGTTCCCGTGATCGTAGAGACTTGAAATTTTGAGGGGGTAATGGGGCTAGCCATGACCTCACACCAAATTTCGGCCGAATCGGTCAATAACTTTTTATTTTACAGTAGTTTAGCTTTTGTCGAGAAAAAGTTTGTCCAATTTTGACACCATTTTGTTTGTTGACTATTTAGACTCGAATAACAAGACACTAAGATGGGTTCCGACACACTGCCCTTCCATGCTGAACGCTGTAGTTGATGATAATAACACTAATTTTCGTATATTTTAATTTTTGTTCTAAGCCACCAATTTCTATAAACAACCATTGATAGGGTAATGCACAAATTTACAAACTCGGCCATGTAAGATGAAACGAAATTTAGGTAAGCCTGGGGGAAAAAATTTTAAATTGAGAATCTTCAGTCATTTATAGCTTTGCCTATTCCAATTACAATAGTTTACAATCAAATTTTTTCAAAAATCCCAATTTTTTTTTCTCCCAGTGTGTTTAAAATGAACAGAAATTTCGCATAGCATATGATTTTAATCAAATCATATAATTATGCAGTAAGTTTTCACCTTTATTTCAATTCAATGGGAATTAGTTTATTATTGTAGTCTCCACTCCAGGCTTGCCTGCCTCTGAATGAGGTAAAATTTTGTAGTGAGATTTTACTATTCGGGTGTTGGATATTAGGCTCAAGGCATTAAATAACCCCCCTGCTGTAATTGGTAACTGTGATAATTTTTCGTCTTATTCAGCTCGTAATATTGGTGCAATTTTCGATAGGTTTATGCTTATGATAATATTTGTAAACTGTGCTATTTTAACATCAGAAATAAAATAAGTAAAATACGTAAATTTTTAACGGTAGAGGCTACTAAGTCACTTGTTATTTCTCTTGTTTACTTCTCAATTAGATAACTTTAATTCACTTTTAGTTGGTTTACCGGTAACCTTAAACATACATTATGCAAGAGCTAAATCTGATTATTGCAAGTCTTTATTTAGGCTTCAGATGTCATAGAAATTATAAATTAGATCTTTATTTACACAACCAGCACAAAATCAACTCTGTAGACCCACGGATGGGTTGGATTCGGCTTGGATTTAAACAGGATTTCGTTGATTGATTAAATTTTTAAATGGCGTCGTAAGCGGAGATTAACCGTTACGGTGACGTCATACTCTCGGAAATAATTTTAGATCGAGGCTATATGATAGATTGTACGAAGCGAGACCGCTGTTGAGTGAGGCCGCATGTCAGTCAATTTGATTGAAAGTTTGATATACATGTACATGTATACGACCTTGATATTATGTTTAGCTGTGGTTAAAATGAGAGTTTGGATGTCGGTATTATAGGCTACGCTCTTTTGTCACTTGCGTTTACAGAAAAATTATAGAAATTGATAAACATCGCAGCTAACATCACCCCCCAGTTGAATTGAAGCTCCATTGTATCACTGTCGGGAGTTACGCAGGCCTACCAGTTACAGTACAAGAGACGAGTAGACGCACTACGCAGGCTAACAATATGCCTCATTGATTTGGTCCATTCCTTTCAAACTTTCGCTTCTTATCTATATATTAAAAGTCTTATTTTTAATTTGTAGTAAAAATAAATGTGATACGAATTGAATTGCAACCCCGTCTCAAACCACAGCCATTGAAAATGTTACTTGATAATCGAGATTATGTAGGTGGAGTTAACGCCTGTCAATCAAACAATCGTCTATTCTCGGAGACGGTGAAGAGAGAATTGACTCCCATTTCTAGTCAAAAATTACAATGGTGATAACTTTGTTCAGAATAAAGTAATTTGACTGAAATTTCCAATATATTCTCCTTTCATCATCTATTTTTGAACTGTTATAGCAAGAATGGCCAACTCTCTATTAAAATCTCCCATAATGTATCTTTAAGTTAAAGGGCTAATCCCGATATTTTTTTGGAGAATAAAACTGCTTAATTTTGTGTTAAAATCCCTTAAAATCCTCTACCTAAGGGCCGAGTAACTAACTCAATATTTGTGATTCGTTTGCAAACAACTTAAATCTGTCATTCTTCATCTGGAAATGGAGACCGGTGTCTCAAGCTGTATTATGTGGTGTTTGGATAAAACCAGACATTTTTTGTTATAAAGACAATTTGTAGGTTAAATTTACCTTTCGTTATCAAATACGGCACATGAGTCATGCACTGTATAGTCCTCTCAAGGAACGGGAATCAGTTATTAGGTTACCCAATGAAAAAATTGAATTCAAATCTTAAAAGGGTTATGTGTCCGGGATAAGCAGTTTAGACGTTTACGTCCAAACTACTCAATATTTTGAACTGAAACTTTGAGACAAGGTAAATATATCATTCCTCTATATTTTGGTGCTTAAATTTCATACATACTCGGAGTTTTATTTTTGAGACTCTGTTCAAATCGGGATAGCCCCTTTAACTTATAAGTTATATAAATTATACTGCAGCTAGACTTGTTACTTTAACTTTTAATGAAGAACTATGACCACATAACCCCTGTTTTATACAATTTACACAGGTACTGGTTACCTGTTAAATATCAAATTGATTTTAAGATTTTATTACTTAATTTTAAATGGTTAAATGATTTAACACCTGTTTTCCTCTCAGATCTTTTAGAACTTTATACACCTGGTTGAACATTACATACATCAGATAAACTACATTTAAAACCACAAACTGTTCAGCTAATCTCTTATGGTCAGCGCTCTTTTAGTTTTCAAGCCCCTGTTTTATGGAATAATCTACCATTTAGTTTAAGATGTTGCACATCTCTATATCCTTTTAAAAAAACAATATAGACCCGGTTTGGCAAATATTTGGTGTAATGATTGACAACGGTAAAAATGTGATCTAACATCATAGAGATGCTTGCTTGCACTCAATCCATATGTGCTTAACTGTCAAACCCTGCACTTACTATTAAACTCATTTATTTATACACACTTTTAACTGACTGTTTTTTTATGATTACATTGTCACTTTGCAAAGTGCCCCTGAACACGTTCTATGAAAGCGCACACTGTAAATATGCTATAATAATAATAATGGTACATTATTCTTTGACAGTTAAGCACATATGGATTGAGTGCAAGCATCTCTATGATGTTAGATCACATTTTTACTGTTGTCAATCATTACACCAAATATTTGCCCAACCGGGTCTATATTGTATTATACTACATCTTTTAAAAGAGACAGGTTTTTATTGTAAATTTTAATTGTACATACCATAATTTCATCTTTTCATGTTAAATATTTATAGGTATAGGTATATCTAGGTATATTTGTTTTTATATGCATATAAATTTATTGTTTTGTGATATATTTTAGCATGTCTCGCTTTTCACCATACATGTACATGTATGTTTGGCGCACTGTAGCCCAGTTGAAGCTGACTTGCCATAAAACTCCATTCCATTCGTTGATTTTTACTTGTTCAATGTTGTTGGATTTGGAAGATGTCATGTGGAAGTTAATATTAATGGCACAAATGTTTATATAAATTATAATCGTTACACCAGTCTGGTTGGACATTGGGTCTCTGTACCTTTGAGACATAAGCTTATATCTTTTGTTTGAAGTTCCTACAAGTGAATCACATCTTTCTAAATATTATCATTTCACTTTCAGGGATATTTTAAAACCTGCTGGTACATGGCTTCACTCTGTCACTTGCCCTTGAGCCACTTTCTAATTCTATTGCAATATAATCATTTTTATACGCCCACATGGAAATGTGGTCGTATATTGCCGTCGCCCCTGTCCGTCCGTCCGTCCGTCCACAATTTCTTGTGAACACTTTACAGAATACATTTATCATCTGATTGTTTTGAATTTGATATATGTTGTTTGCATTAGTGAGGTGAAGAAGCCTATTTAATTTCAATAACTTCCGTTAATTTCTTCTGGAGTTATGGCCCTTGTTTCACTTTGTTGCACCGTGTGACAAAACGACAAAAGTTATTATCCGATCTGTATGAAAAAACGAACAAGCCTATTGAGTTTCAGCAAATTTCTGTTAATTACATCTAGAGTTATGGCCCTTGTTTCACTTTGTTGAATCTTGTGAACGCTTGAACGACAAAAGTTATCACCCAATCTGTATGAAATTCATATACATCAATTTATTTAGAGATATGAAGTAGCCTATTGAATGTCAGCAATTTCCGTCAATTACTTCTAGAGTTATGGCCCTTGTTTTACATTGTTGAACCTTGTGAATGTTTGAATGACAAAAGTTATCATCCGATCTGTATGAAATTGATATGTATTATTTGAATTAGTAAAACGAAAAAGCCTGCCGAATTTCCCAATTTCTGTAGATTACTTCCAGAGTTTCGGCCCTTGTTTTAGGTTTTAGAACCTTGTGAACCCTCAAACAACGAAAATTATAATGTCATCTGTATGAAATTGTCTATTAAATTTTAAATGCCCCTAATTACCTACAAAAGAATAAATATGTGACAACCCTTGTCAACCGCTCGGACGATTTAGCTGCTGTGGGCGTATGTTTTGTTGCCTGGCAACCTATCTTTATGTACAGAAGTTTAAGATTAAACTGCTCTATTTTGATGTTTTCAGTATATAATTTCAGTTAAGCAGACTGCTGGTATAAAATAACTTCAAAATGAGTGAACAGCTGAAATATATAATTCAAGAGTTAAACAAGCCACCATTCAATAAAAACTACAATCTGATATCCTTTGATTCTGTTGAACAGCAACAGCTTCTTCAGGTTTTATCAGATACCTTATCATTTATTGATCCAAAGGTATGTTATGATGACTCAAATAGTTTTAACAATGGGTAGGATTGATCAGCCAGAGTCCCATATGTCTAAAGCAGTGGTTCTCAACCTTTTTTGCCAACGGCACACCTTGGACCACATGAAAAAATAGCGGCACACCTGGCTTTGCAAAACAAAAACATGTTAAATTGGACAGAATATAACCGTAGACAGAGACTAGACATAGACACAAAGAATGACTCAAACTAAATAAAGAAAAACACAGCTATGAACTTTTTCGCGGCACACCTGTGTGTTGCAGCACACTGGTTGAGAATCACTGATCTATAGAGTCTCAAACTCAAGTTCTAAAATACTCAGACACCAGTGAATACTGAATTGGGATCACATGGTTTTTCACATTTTCTTAGTCTAGTGTGCCGTTCAAAATTTCGCGGCACACCTGTGTGCTGCAGCACACTGGTTGAGAATCACTGGTCTATAGAGTCTCAAACTCAAGTTCTAAAATACTTCCTTGTAACTGTAAGCCTGCTTCAATAAACACTGCTGTTATTATACTGTTATAAATGTACCACTTGGTATTTAAAATAATTCTCTCAACATTGTTTTTGTTCTTAACACAGGCCATTGCTAGGTTTTCAATATTTCTTTCATGAAAACATATTGAAATATAATAATTGAATTTTTTTTTTGCATTTGGAGAATGATTTGCAAGATGTTTTGGGATTTTTTTTGAGAATATACTTGATTTTTGTGTAGCCCTTGACCAAAGTGTGTCTTTTTCCACGAATGTTGAAATTAACATGTATGACTACTATGAGGTTTTGAATTTCAGCAAAAAGTTGATATTAGAGAGGAAACTCCAGATCAAACTGCAATAAGGATATTTCAACTTTTGAGAGTTCTGAAATATAAGCCACCAACCGATGGTGGAGGGAATTTGTAAGTTTTTGAAAAATTATACTTTTATTCTTTCTCAGTACTGAGTACCGGTGTTTCAAAACATTTTATACACATCTACAAGTTCAGTATGGAAACAAAAAATGTTGCTCTCTTATATTCTCACCAGCTCTGTCAGATTTATTTCACTGAGTGAGGTTGCTCAACAATGTATTAGTTATGGCTCCTGACATTGAAACTTTATGAATGCTCAACAAATAAGTTCAGTTACCCATGATAAAAAAAAGTGAGGATTAGTTTCCCTAAAAGTAATGGTGGTATTCCTGTGTCTTTTTTCATCTTTGAGGCCTAATAGTCTCATTTTTTATACGCCCACATTTTCATGTGGACGTATTATATTGTCGTTGCCCCGTCTGTTTGTGGACACTATACAGGTCACAATTCTTATCTGATTTTGACGAAACTTGAAATATAGGTTTATCTTCAAAAGATCTTGGTTCCTTTTAATATTGACACGTATCGGATCAAAACTTCATGGAGTATGCAGGGGTTTCACCAAATATTACTGTAGCCAGTGTAGGTGGGTAAAGTATCAAAGTAGCCGGCTAATTTTTTGAGAGTGGAAGGCTTGAAAATAGGGCTGCAGGTGCATTTGTATGCAAATAGTGTAAAAGTATGTAATACCAAGGGTGTGGACCCTCTTGAGGCCACAATTTGCATCCGATTTGGATGAAACTTAAATATATGTTTATATCCCAAAGATCTTGGTTCCTTTCGATATTCGCGCACTTCAGATTGTAACTTTCTGGATTATGGCCCTTGGTTTTACGAAGAATCACGTTTTTAGCTTGTGGACCCTCTAGAGGTCACAATTTTTATCCGATTTTAAATATGTCATCGTTACACCCTAATGACGTTTGAATTCGAATTTCGTGAAAATCAGACAGAAACTGCCTGACAAAATGGCTGCTCTGTAGCAAATAGTGTAAAAGTATGTAATACCAAGGTTGTGGACCCTCGATAGTCCACAATTTTGTTCCAATTTTGATGAAACTATACATTTAAATTTATATCACAAAGATCTTGGTTCCTTTCGATATTCACGCATATCAGATCATAACTTCCTGAATTATGGCCCCTGATTGTACGAAAAATTGCATTTTTAGCTTCTGGACCCTTTAGAGGTCACAATTTTTATCTGATTTTAAAACTGTTTAAATATCTCACCGTTAAACCATAATGATGGTTGAGATTGAATTTCGTAAAAATCGTAACGAAACTGCCCGGCAAATAAATGGCCATTCCTTGTACGCAAATAGTGTAAAAGCATGTAATATATGTTTATATCCTGAAGATCTCAGTTCCTATAGATATTTATGCATATCGGACAGTAACTTCCTGGATTATGGCCCCTGATTGTATGAAAAATCGCTTATTTTTTTTAGCTTGTTCTCTGTCCATCACTTGCAAAATGTGGGCATATCTTGCATGACAACCACTTGTTTCTCTTGTTTCGTGGGCCAGTCCTGTGATCACCTTATTGAAAGATTTTAATCACATCAAATCTTTGTTATTTTAGAAGCACATTTCGCAGTGGAATAGTCCAGGGAGAAAAACCAGTCATATATCCGATATTAGAATGGATACTTCAGCGAGTACCAGAGCTACAGAAACGAGCTTATTTAGCAAAATATTTGGTAAAAGTCGAAATACCAGCAGAAATAATGCAGGATGAGGAAGTCACTGGTTTATATGCACAGGTAATTATTGTTGGATTTCATTGATGAAATGTGATGACTATTTCAATAATGCAAACCATGGATTTGATAATTTAATTTAAAAATAGATAATTGAGACTTTATTTATTATCATAACAATAGTCCTGGTAATTTTGCTCAGGAAAAAGTAATTGAAATTTTCAATATATTCATTATAACTCATTTTTCATTATCTATTTTTGAACTATTATAGCTAGTACGGCCAGCTCTTTATCTAAACCTTATATAAGGCATTGATTGGCAGTTATTTTGTAATCTGTGTATTTCAGTATGAAGACCTTATGGAACAATTTAAAGAACTTCATAAGCAATCTGAAACCTTAAAAGGCTCCAGTTTTAACACATCTGAAATCAGGAAAGATATAGTCAACATGGAGGAAGAAAAAGAACAACTTAACAAAAGAATAGAAAGATTGCGACGAAAGGTTATATATATATTGTCTCATTATTTAACAGACCTTTTTGTTTGGTTAATTCATATTAATTAACGCTACAGATCTTCACAGTTCTCAACTCTTCAATAATATGAGATTAAAATAGGCACATATAGTCGACCAATTTTCTCATTGACATCATGCATCAATGTTCTTTCAATTCATTTTAATATTGTAACAATATGACTCACTTGAACAGCCAATTTTATGCTACATATGTTCATACAAATGCAAGTAAACAAGTAGAATATTAAAATGGTATGCGAATAATGACAATGATTACTTATTTTCTTCCTTTTCTATTTAACTTGACCATAAATTGGCTAAGTTGCAGCTAGTTGACTGCGTGTCAAAAGATTTACCCCCCTTGCATCATATTTCAAGAACTTTGGCATGATCAATTATTGTGTTAGAAACACCCTGAAATATTTTATATATATTTAAAAACATCAGTTATAGAATGCGTGACTATTTTGGGAAGGGTGAAAGGGGTGGTAACTAGTAAGTCTTTGGGGTTTTTTTTAAAAAAAAAAAACTTGATCTTAAAAGAGTTTGTCCTGTTTTCTACCCTTCATGTCATAAACAATAAAAAAGTAATTATTTTATTTGGACTGAAACGTTTTTGTTTGTTACAGCAATTGATCATGTTGCGGTTATTATTTTAGGTGGAATCGCATCCTAATTCTCAGAAGATGATGAATGTAGCGCGTATGTTAAGAGTTGAGAGGGACAGAGAAAAGAAAATAGGAGACCAAAAACAAGAACAACAGATACTAGTAAGAAAATATGATATATATTGGACATTACACCATCAGCTCCAAAGACTTTAGGTGTCTATGGTAATAACATAGACTGGGTTTTGAATTGTTCATGATTCTTGTCTGGAAAAATGAAACACACTCTTAAATCATTGTTCAACTGGACATACTTACTACTGGTTTCACTAAATGTAAATATATCTATTAAATTACTTTATTTTGTGGTTTAGATTCAACATGCTGAACAGCGAACTAAGAGAATGGTTCAGCAGTTAAAAGATATGCAGCAAGCCAGTGTAGGAGCAACTGCAGAGAGTAAGTACATCCTTGGACATCAACGATTGTCAACAAATATAATCTTAATTTTTAAATGGCATAATCTTACTTGTTTTTTTATTCATGTCAAGGCTGAGAAAGATCCTTGAGTCTCTGAATTTTTCAGCGTGGGATGAAAAAAACCTGAGGTCCCGTGTACACATTGACAGTTGGAATTCAAAATAAGAGTAGGCTATACATGTAACTCTGCTGTCCAGGCAAAATTTCCCTCAAAGCACATTGTATGGCATATGCCCGTCTTCATTAGCCCAGTTGGTACAGAACAGTACGATGTTAAACACCACTTCATTTATTCATATCAAATTTGTTTCCCATGCTAACACTCCATTTGCTTTTTGGGAAACAACAAGTAGAATGTGTTTTAATTATTCAGGTTTGATAGAAAGACTAGAGGAAGAAACTAAAACCAATACCTACCTAGTCAAAGAAAAGTTACCGAAAGATTTAGCTGGCAAGAAAAAAAATGTTCAAGATTTACAGAAAGTTGTTTCTGAACCAGCTATGGGCCAGTCTGATCTAAATGAATTACAGCAGCAGGTAATCTGGCACATTCAATCATGCTCCTATTCATGTGTGATAAATAATATCTCTTCATGACAAAAGAATTAACCTTGGTATGTGTGATTGAAAATGCTGTAGTGTTGACAATTATGATGGCTAGTAATCCTGCTGCATTTATGTTGTTTTTTAGATACAAGGATTGAATGCTGAAGTAAATGAATTGATAGAGAAAAGAATGAGAGCAGGAGATCCATCTGATGATAAACTTTCACTATTTAAACAGCAGGTATGTTTTTCTTCAGACTTTTGAAAAAATTAGAAATATAGCACAAAAGAAACTTTCTGTTAAGTAGATGTTTGATTATTCTTACGACAGAAACTTTTTAAAATTATAAGTTGCACAACAAAATTAGGTTTACAGTCCAGAACTGATAATCCTATTCATTTTTTATTCTAAGCTACTGGATATTTTCAGTTTTTGAAACAAAATCAATTATCAGTAGTAGAAATATTGAAATTGACTTTCTGTATTTCTTTCTAAATAGGTATTTAAATTCAATAATGCACAACCATAGATTCGTAGAATTGGCCGAGGTGTGCCGAATGTTTAAAGGCTTTGACGTTGAAACCACTTGTGCGTCATTCTGTTAATATCTAGGTAATCAACAAAAACCGACATGAGTATTAATCTCAACGATAATTGATTGATGATTGCAATTGGTTGTCAATCTTATGTAGGTTAACACCCACGGATTGAAGGCCAGATTATACAATGTTAGTTCAATGTAAATGGTGTGACGGGACGGCTGATTAATGTTGTAATTTGTAATATTCAGAATACGGATTACTAAAAACTTTTTGGGGTGAAGTAATAAGGAAATAAATCGGGACATGAAAATGATGACGGATTTCACTGAATGCCATAGTATTCAAAAGCCGGATGTAATTATATCTGAAGTGCTATTTTGAAGGTAACTGATCATTGTAATTATCTATTACAGGCTGGTATTATTGTACATAAGAAAGATTCAGTGGCTGAAAATTTACGAACTGCTCGAGAAGAATATAATCGTTTTAAAGAAGAAGCCATTCAGAAACGTGAACAAGCACAGAGTGTTGAAGGAGGAGAGGTTTTAAAGGGTGAAGATGTGAGTTAGTTTGTATCAAACTGCAAATATCAGTTTACTATAACATCAGTTGATTTATCTACCTCACAGTCGCACATTGTGGGGGTGGGGATGAAAGCTTCCTCTGGTGAAGTATTTGGAAATTATTTTACAAAAACTTTTTTCAAGCAATTTCTATGGAATTGTTTTTTTTTTATATATATACTGGTACGAAGATGTATTGACAGAAATGGGAAGCACAAAATATATTTATTTTTTGTTTTTATTTTTTTCTAGTTCAAAAGGTATGTAAACAAATTAAGAAGCAAGAGTACCTTTTATAAGAAAAAAAGACAAGAAGTTGCTGAGCTAAAAGCTGAAGTAGGAACTCTTCAGAGAACAATTGAAATATTGCAGAAAAAGGAAGATACTGTCAATGCCCAGTTGGTAAGTTAGCTTAAATTGAGATTTGAAAAAAAATTGTTTGCCAGTCTCTTTAGAAACGGGGGGTTGGATGGTTGAATGGTTAGCACGTGCACGCTGTACCATAAATAAAATAAAACCAAGTACGAACAATCCAAACCATAAGACAGAATTCGAAGTCCTAAAAAACGTTATAGGCAAAATAGTGTATTCAAGCAAAATAGTGTAATCAGCAAATGGACTGCTCCGTAAAGTCTGTCATTGAGTCAACTGGCGTGGTACATGGCAAGGAGTAGGGTCGCCTGTCCAACTTCGTGGGTTTTCTCCGGGTCTCCGGTTTCCTCCCACTGCTAAAGACCCCTACGCGCAAGTGAATTATTGAAATAAAATTATAAAAATTCCATATGTTTGTCTCAAATGAACTATATTTTCTTCAGAGTCATGTGGAGAAGAAAAAAGGTGTATCTGGATACCGTGAGACACAAGACAACCTAGAGAAAGTTTCTAGTATGAAAAGTGATTTTGATGATATGAAGGGAAAAACATTAGAAGATATTTCTGAGATGGTTCAACGTCTGCATGTACAGATACAACAGAAACGCAGTACATTTGCTCCCATACTGCGAGAAATAAGGCCACTGCGAGAAACCATGCAGGTAAATAGTTATGTACTATTTATTTTAAAATAGGAGTTAACATTCACATTAAATTTTTGTCCTCCGCCTTTAGAAGAAAGCAGGGGTTTATTAAAATAGGTCCGTCTGCCTGTCAGTCCGTCACACTGTTTGGGACACAATAACTCTCCTTCTAATTGAGCTAGAATGTTCAAATTGGGTTTAGGTGTTTATTAGGTCAATGCCTTGATGGAGTTCAAAGATGAGCATTTTCTGTTTAGGGTAAACAGAGATAAGCAATTTGATTGGTTGATGCTTTGGGACACGATAACTTCAGTTCTAATTAAGTGATGAAACTTGGTGTATTGTTTCATTACATCAATACCTTGACTAAGTTCGATAATGAGTATTTTCTGCTCAGGGTAAGCAGAGCGATAAGCAATTTGATTGGTCAAGACTTTGGAACACAAGGACTCTCCTTCTAATTGAGGTAGAATGTTCAAACATGGTGTAGGTGTTTATTAGGTCAATGCCTTGATGGTGTTCGAAGATGAGCTTTTTCTGTGAAGGGTAAGCAGAGATAAGCAATGTTGATGCTTTGGGTCACGATAACTTTGATTATAATTAAGTGAGAGTGATGAAACTCCAAGTATAGTTTCATTTTATCATTACCTTGACTAAGTTTGATGATGAGAATTTTCTGCTTAGGCTAAGGAGAGATAAGCAATTTGATTGGTCAAGACTTTGGAACATAACAACCCTGCTTTTAATTGAGGTAGAATGTTTAAACTTGATGTAGATGGTCATTAGGTAAATGTCTTGACTGAGTTCAATGATTAACATTTTGAGCTAAAGCTAAGCAGAGCTAAGCAAATTCATTGATCAATGCTTTAGCACAAGATAACTTTGATTCTATCTGATAGAGAGTGATAACCATATATTCACATTTCCTGTGTTAAGGAGTAACTCCATTAAACATTTCTGGTGTAATGTGTAAGTGGTCAGTTGGCTCAACTCTAATAAATGTTATTGAAATTTATAAATTGTGCTTTAACCTATAATTCCAAGAGCATAGGCGTACGAGCTGGCGGGGCTTGGGCACCAAATGCTGGGAAAATGTGGGCACACAATTGTACTTTGTAAAAGTTGTATAAAAAAATATTGTGTTCTTGAATGCGTCCAATTTAACAGCGAATTTAAATTCAGAGTGTCTATAGTTAGGCAATTAAATAGAAATCTTAAGACTCGAACCCTCTATTGTTTGGAGTACAGTAAGCCACGAATTACAGTTACATAAACAACTGTTTTTAGTTGTGTATATTACAAGTAAATAAAATTTAGTTCTCTTTTATTGATGATTTAGAAATTAAGAACTTATTCATCGCAAAAGAGATATTATGATTATTATGTAACATACTAAGAACCTAAGTACATTTTTGGGGCACCAACCACCACCGCCCCCCCAGTCAAAAATTTCCCCGTACACCTATGTCCAAGAGGACAATTAGTTACTGCTTGTAAATAAACCTGTATTCAGTTTAGCATACAGTGATAGTCAAGTTTAGGTATATAACATGAGAATTAAATTACTAATTGAATTACCTGATGATGCACGGGTGAAAAATTAGATCAATAAATCCAGAATATTACACCTCATATGGTTATGTATGTAATCATTCATAAATGAAAATTAAATTTTAACTGGATAAGAGTATGTGAAATGTGCATGGCACTGTTGATTGAGTCTATCTCCATTTTTCAAACACCCACACTAACGCAATAATCATTAATTGTCAATTTCATCATTGATTACTGTACCAAATACAATATAATTAGCATCATTAAATTTATTGAAAAAAAAATGGTTATTATTATTATGAAGTTATTTTAAAATTTGAAGTTTCTGTTTTATAGATGTAAGTGAATTCCTACACAGAACGAGAATAAACACATGAGATAAATGCAGAAATTTGATATTTGTGATAAATCATTTAGCCACATAAAAACATGAACATTTTTTAGGGATTATCCAAGAACCAGATAACTGTTACTGACATAAGATCACACATTAGATAATTTAGAATGTTTTTTCTTAAGGACACTTTATTATGGTTTACTAAGTTGATTAGAGAAGGAGGTTATACTTATTTTACCCGTCTTTTGTTTAGACACAGACACCAGAATATGAGAACAAGAAAGCTGCCTATGATCGTTGTCAGGCTGGTTTAGAAAGCAATATGCAGAAGTTAGAACATGAAGTGAGAGGTTATCGAGAAGAAGTAAAGGCTGAAGAATCACGATATCATTATTTGAGTGGCATGATGACAATAATGGAAACTCAACAACAAAGGATAAATGAAGAAATGAAGGCTTATGTTTCATCTGATCCCTCAGAGAAAAGGAAAACATACAGGTAATTCAGTTAGGAACTGTGTGAAAATAGTTACGTGACTTTTATCTTTAAAGAGAGAGAGAGAGAAATGGGGTTTAACGTCCACTCGACACAAACCAGGTCATTTTGGGACTAACGTATGGTTTAATTTTATTACAATAATTCGCTTGCGCGTAGGGGTCTTTAGCAGTGGGAGGAAACCGAAGGACCCGGAGAAAACCCACGAGGTTGGACAGTCGACCCTACTCCTTGCCACGTACAACTGGGGAATCGAAACCACGCCAGTTTTTATCTTTAAACACTATTAACAACCCAAATATATGTTTAGTATCAAGACACCTCTTCTGGAACTTGCCTATAGATGTTACAGGTGAAACATAGCAAAGATTGTCATTTTAAAATTATATTTGGTATCTGTTACATCTATTGTACCTGTCGCATATAATATAAGTAAAATTGTTGGACATGTACCGTTAGGTCTTAGGTTCAACACTGTCTTGGCCCGAGAAAGTTCCTCAGGATTTTTCAGCTAGGGTTCCTTGTGTAAGTTCTTAAGGACAGATTGCTTGGAAAAGAAATAGTATCTAGTCGTTCAGATGGTCCCGAAAATCCAAGTCTTCATGTGTACTAGTTGCCTTGCGTGTAAAATAACCTTTGACAATGAAATTCAATGAAAAGTAGACAGCAATGTCGTTGTCCTGGCAAATTTTCTCTTATTGCACACGACATAACATTTGACCACCATCATTAGTCCGGTTGCTGCAGAAAAAGAGGACATTAAGTTCTATCTCATTTCATCTAATAGAAGCAGTGTTACTGGTATAGCCATTTAAAATATTTAATTATTTTACAGAGACATGTATAACAAAAAAATTCAGGAACAGAGTAATTTGGGAACAGGACTACGGGAAAAACAAAAATCTATTCGAGAAATGCATGAACCAAACCTTCATCAAGTGAAGATGTGGAAGGATCTGTCTCGACTTATGGAATGTAAACGTCAGTGTTCCAGTGGTATGAGCGGGGGTGATTATGGTAGTGGTGGAGGAGGGGTACAAATGAGCGGAGGTCCAGGCTACATGGATCAAGCACCAAATCATTTAGAAGAAGATAGATTGGTTTTATAACTGATTATTTGTATTTATCATCTACATTTCATAGGATTATTAAGATCATTGTTTGTCCACACCTTTTCCGTCTTTTTCTGACATAGATGATTAACTATATATATATATATATATATAGTTCTAGAGATCATTTCATATCTGATCAACCAAGATTTGAATTTTGCTGAGAAAACGAAGGAGCCAACTCCAATTATTTTTATTTTGTGGTCCTGGGATTTTTCAAACAGTTTAATCTTCTCATGGCCCTGTCACACTATTATGTTTGAGAGAAATGTACAAGTTGCGTATGAAAATAAATAAAATAATTTTCATAGCACAAAATGCCCTTGAAAATACAGAATTATTTGTATACTTACTATAATGAGTACCGTATATCTAACCTATGAGTAGCGTATAAACTGCACATATCCAGCGTACAGCTATCATGTGACAAAGTGCCCATATAAGCATTGGCTTTTCTATGTTGCAGCATTATTGCAGTATGGGTGCCTATATATACACTTTCTAAAAAGCTGGCAATATGCCAACCATACACTAGTTGTACGTTAAATACGTTACTGAATCGTCAGGCATATGCCAGTATTACAGTACACCTTTATGAAAGCATATGACTAGCATACTTGACCTATGAGTAACATACCTCTGGCGTAACTCTCACGTATTCAGCGTATGGTTAGCTTTAAACCTTACGTTCGAATACGAACAAACTTTTTAGCCATGCTTTAAAAAAACAAGCAGCTTCGCCATATGTGACTGTGCTTGAAATGCATACAACCTATGCCTAACCTAGCTCTAGAGTATGTCAGCCTAAGTGATATTTTTCAAACACTGGCATGCTCTAGTACGATACACAATAATGTGACGAGGGCCATTACCAAATCTTATAAAATAGATCCTGACAAGGATCAACAGTTGGTTGATTTGAATACTTCTTATATAGTAGTCTACCAGACAGACACAAACTGGAAATATTAGTCTAAATCTATTATATATATATATATTGATGAATTTATTCTGAACCACATTATTCCGTCCATGAATTCATTTTACTATAGTATAAAAGTTATATATTTAAGTTTATGAAAATGTTAATTTTGTGAATTTTTATTTATTTTTGCTGACTTATAAAGCCATGTATAGTATATAATATGTTGGAATATCTATATATCTATTTGACATACCAATACTAATATTTTGCACAAAATCAAATATGTAAATTATTTGCATTCTGACGCATTTGAAATTATAGTTATTGTTACATTAACATTTTAAAGAAAACTATTGGAAAAATATTAACCTTCTCATTTTTCTTTTACTTTTATTCACAGACGATCTTCCGTGTTTGGCATCCATCTTTATAGATTTTTGACAGCTATCTTGAAATTTTTGATATTATTTATATATTAGTATCAAAGATCTGTTCAAATTTTAGAACCTACATGTATATATGAAGCTAGTGTACATTCCTAACCTAAGACTGTGAATTAAACTTTGAACTGTCTATGTGATAAAGTTTGGTGGTAAAATTGATAATTATATTAGGGAGAAATTGTGGAGATATGTTCCTCTTCCTAAATAAATTTACAGATGTCCGCAAATAGTTTGTTTTATTTTTATATACCCAAACTAGATAGTCGTCTCCCTTGTCAGTCGGGTCCGTTTAGTTTACTTTATAGAGGCTAGAGTTCTTCAAGTTTTTTATAGGCCCACATTTTCATGAACAATTTTTATCCGATTTAAAACCAGCTGTTAATTTTCAGGCAAGATACGTCCACATTTTGCAAGAGATTGATAGAGAACAAGCTAAAAATGGAAGTGATTTGAAAGTGATTTTTTGTACAATCGGTGGATCTCATCCAGACAGGTATGATCTGAAATGCGCAAATATCGAAAGGGACTGAGATCATTGGGATATAAAGATATATTTTAAGTTTCATCAAAGTCGGATAAAATTATGAGCTCTAGAGGGACCACAACCTTCCTATTACATACTTTTACACAATTTGTGTACAAAGAGCGGTCATTTTAACGGACACTTTAGTTTCGCTTTACCGGAAATTTGAATTCAACCTTCATTATGGTGCAATTTAAAAGGTTTTCAAAAACACGATTTTCCGTACAATCAAGGGCAATAATTCAGGAAGTTACAATCCGATATGCGCGAATATCAAAAAGAGCCAAGATCTTTGCAAGTTTCAAGATCGGATCAAAACTGTTGCATCTAGTGGGTCCACAACCTTGATATACTATATATTTACACAATTTGCGTACGAGAGGCGGCCATTTTATCCGACAGTTTTGTTCCGATTTTCACGAATTTCAAACTCGACCATCATTAGGGTGTAACGGTGATATATTCAAACGGGTTTTTTATCGGATAAAATTGTGACCTCTAGAGGGACCACAAGCTAAAAACGTGTTTTTTCGCACATTTTACTATCCGAAATGCGCTAATATCAAAAGGAACCAAGATCTTTAATGGGTTATAAACATGTATTTCAAGTTTCATCAAAATCAGATCAAAATTGTGGCCTTTAGGGGGTCCACAGTCTTGAAATACCATATATTTACAGCATTTGCGTATTTCACAAAATTCGAACCCAACCAGCAATGGGATGTAACGGTGATATATTCAAACAGTTTTTGAAATTGGATAAAAATTGTTACGTCTAAAGGGACCACAAGCTGAAAGGATTTTGATGAAACTTGAAATGCATGTTTATAACATCAAGATCTTGATTCCTTTCAATATTCCCGCATATCGGACCGTAGCTTCCTGGATTATGGCCCATGGTTGTATGTCACTGTTACACCCTAATGACGGTTTAGTTCAAATTTCGTGAAATTCGGACCGAAACTGCTTTACAAAATGGCCGCTCCTTGTACGCAAAAATTATAGTGTTAAAGTATGTAATACAAAGGTTGTGGACCTTCTAGATGTCACAATTTTTATCCAATTTTGATGAAACTTAAAATATATGATTATATCGCAATGATCTTAGTTCCTGTAGATATTCATGCATATCGGAGTCGGACCGTAACTACCTGGATTATGGCCCCTGATTGTACTAAAAATCTTTTCTTTTTTCTGAGTTTGTTCTCTGTCCATCCCTTGCAAAATGTGAGCGTATCTTGCATGGCAACCGCTTGTTTCAAATTTTGTGCAATTGTTGTAAACCTTGAGGGGATGATTCCTGTTGACTTTAAGCGTTCTACGACATGTTGTTCCAGAGTTATGTTATATGTCCACATGTAATATGGATCGTCACCCGTGTCAGTCGTTGGGTACTTGATTGTCCTTCCACATGATACGTTGCGTCAATGTAGTTTTAGAGTTTGGGCAGATTTTTGCGCTGCGTACATATGAGTAGCTGAGCTGAGCTTAGTTCTATTACAGCATCACGGCATTTATCTACCAAGACCACCATCAGTACTAGTCAAGTGCCTAGCCTACAAATTTACTGGAAAGAGTCAAGTCGCTCGACAGTCGCTGAGCTATTAAAAAAAAATATTAAAAATCTTCGACTTCGACTCGACAGCAATGTTTGGTTTCACTAATGTAACATTTCTGAAAGTTTATACCCCTTTACCATAGAATCACATCATTTACAGATTTGCAAGGTCCCACCTCCCTAAATTTAGCGCGTAATCAACCAGCATGCAGACAGACATGAAAAATATTAACATTCCGAGAAAAACTCATCAAAAATAATGATTAAATTCAAGTCTTTTCCATGGTTAAAATCACATCAAATATACACCTTCGTGTTCTAGGATACACATAAGTTTATAAAAACGCTATAGCACAACATTTCAGGGTCTAAAAGTAGCAAATAAAGACGGTAAAAAAGACGACGATGTTATATGAACCTTTTCTGTATGAAAGCTGTTCAATGCGTGCTGCCGCATTCGTGTGCCGTATCACGTATGAGAAATGCAGACACATTGAAGACCTCACATACAAAATCGATACGGATACGCGATACAGACCAGGAATTTACGATTGCCAAAAGTCACTAATGTCCATTACCACGTTATGTTATAGCTGGTTAGAGTGGAATACGGGGACAACGTGTTTTAGGAAGCAAGGATTTCCACTCTGCCAGAGTGAGGATCTATCTAACCTGCGTTGACATTTACTCGCATCTAGTAGATAATCATATTAAATGCCAGGAAAGACACATAATTCTGGTCTCTACGGTCATCGAAAACATGAGGGCGAAAGTTCTTAATTTTATTAAGTCTTATCGAAATTAGAAAGTAGATACGTCTTTAAAAAGGTCGTGTTTGATTATTACAAGATAAATAATTATCTTACGACCCCTTAATAGAAAGACAGATAAATTTAATTAGTATTTCTGGTAAGCGATATCCAATTTATCTTATATAGAGATCACTTCGTGTAAATAAGGTATATTTGTGACACATTTCCTGTTGGTTTCATTCATAGATGTTGTAAATAAGCGTAATATGATATATGTAATAGTATTATCGAGTTCATTCATAAAACACGGTCGATTTTTTCTTGTCACGTTTTAGTTCAACTTTTATCCGTTCATTTGTGACATTAAAACATTATTGTGAAAGAAGAATTAAAAAAATATGATTGTTATAAGTCTCGCAAGCAAGAATTCACGAAAAAATTTTTTTAAAAAATGAAATGGTGTATGCGATTTACCTATCCAATTTATATGGCGATTTTCCATACCGAACATTTTAAACAGGAAAATTACTATAGAATAAAGTTGAATAGCGATTCAAGTATAACTCACTTAGAAACCAGGTGAGAACGCGGAAAGTAAGTTTTGTGGATATAAAAGATTAATTTAAAAATGAAGGAACATTCTCCCAAGATTTTTAACAAGGAATTTAGTCCTATTTGATAGTAGTTCCTTTACGAACTGTCTCTGATCGGACGATGTCCGCCGACAGTTTCTATCCGTCCCTATATAACTGTAATATGAAAATACGGTAAAATACCGCTCTAACCCCGCCTGCTCTCAGACTATCTTTCTATTTTTCAACGTAATTCTTTATTTTTCGCCAAAAGGAATCAAGTGATAATCCTGTACATTTGGGACTATTAGAGAGTGAAAGCCGCATATTTAGGTAGACCTCACACTCACGAACGCAGAGCGTTCATATCCCGAAACAATAACAACCAATTAGAAACAAGAGTGATATTGTTGTTTCTCTATGATGAATTATTTTATTGTGGGACGAGGTTGATTTCTAGCAACAAACATCGGGCCTAGAATGTTATACCTATTGTGGCACGTCGGTCAACTTTTAAAAGATAGATAATTACGATTTAGAAAGAATTTGTGGTACAAAATACCACCTAAAGACCATGAATCTTTTTGAGTATTTTGACTTGTGTCCGATCGAAAGTGAAAACTCTGTGGTGCACTCTTCCTTTGGTAACAATACATCAGTGCTGTGCATGCGGAGAAGCATTACAAGTTGGCTTGTGGGGGGTCACCTAACCAGCAGCTTGATTTACTTTGGTTTTTGCTGTTTTTGTAAACTGGCTCTGATTGCAACCTCTCTAAACATTTGTCGTTACCTTCGATGACAAATTGTCCTGGTTTCCAAGAAGTTACAAATCTGTTAATCCGGTTACCACTTCGATGACAAATTGTCCTGGTTTCCAAGAAGTTACAAATCTGTTAATCCGGTTGCCACAAAATGTGTAATGCGTAATTGTTCCAATAATTCTAGGTTTAGCTTTTCATTGTATATAATAATTTCTCAGAATTATATCCTTATCCCGCTTCTGTCACTCTGCCATTTATATTTGCAACTTTAATGGTTATATCAGAAAAAATAATCTGTGCGAAGATTGTGACCCTCGAATTGATTTACTTGAGAATTGTTGTGGATGATTTAGGAGAGATTGTAATTGCATGTTTTGGTATTTTTCATATTTGCCATTTCTTCGTATTTTTTCGTTTAGCTCAATATTACAAGTCCGAAACTTGTTTTATAATTAGTTTATTATTATTGTTGTATACATCAAATTAGCCGTACATTGAAAGTGGTTCTATAACTAGTGTAAAATAAAGAATACAACACCTGGTTACACGAAAGGGCATACTAATGGAACATATATCGCCACCTAATCAACTGTTCGATCATCGACAACTAATTAGACTGACGGATTTGTTTTCATCTCCTATGCTACAATGCTGTCTAACATTAGCATAACATGCCCTTGTTACCCAAAGATAAACATCATTGTCCAGAACAACACATTGGCATCAAACTATATACAACACGTTTCAAACGATAATTGTTTCAATATCTTTTATTTTTGCCATTTATTTCGATACCGTCACCACTAGATCAACTTCACGCCATGGAAAACAATGATGACCAGAAGCACATATCAGTCATTTCTTTCATTGCTTCTTAATATGGTTTTGAGTTTGTCGGTGACGTTGATGAAAGCGGTGATGTCGAGGGTGTAGTCGAGTTCGGTATTGGCGATCTTCCTGAGCAAGTTTTCCCATAACTTGAATGACCACATATCTTCTGTTACGGGACAGTGGTGCCATATCTTCATCCACGATGCTGGAGACAGCTGAACGGTACAGAAAATGAAAATTTATGAAATATTACTTCCTTTGCTATTCTCTACAAAAAAACATCCACTGGGTCTTATTTGGAATGCACCACACAGTTTTCAGTACAATTATAGTTCCTACATTTTTTTTCCATTTGTCTTACATAAAGAAAGTCAGATCATTTCATTGTACTTAATGAGTGAAGGTACATGTGAAGTGCAAAATATCAAAACTAACTTATCATCACTGATTGATCTCAGCAAATTCCCAGAATTCGATCTTTCCTCAGACATTGCTGAATAAAATGACCATAATGAAGGTAATGGTGATCTAAAAAAAAAGTACATGAAATGATATCACATTAGCCTTTTTTTTCGTTCCTTTTTTTTCGTTTTGATTTTCAGTATCTATACTATATTATATATCACATGCACATGCGACTGATGATATTATTTGTCATTGTACCTGTTTTGTGAACTGAAATTAATTGTTTTTGCTACATTATTGGTACAAATTTCTATGAAAATCGGTCACTCGATACACCATAAACTCGATTCAGCAGTCTAAGCAACCTATGAAATGATATATCACATATTAGCATATTATCGCACAGCAAGTCATTTAAGTAGAATTTTTGGTGGCCAGTTTGGATATTAAGAATCCAGGTATAAAAATTCATCGGAGAGCAAACCTGGTGCCATGTTCGTTTTAAGGGGACCAAGTGGCCACAGAAAACATAATGCGTTTGAACATTTTGTGATACATCCAACCCTTATCTTAAGACCCGGTCCCACTGCACTTACGGATGCAAAGAGGGTGTAAAACGGGGAAAAAACGTGCCCTGCGTTTGAAAACGCCATGCATCCGTTGTGTACTCATTGCATACGTGTTTCATACGCTCTATCCATCGAGCATCCTTTCACTTTGATTTCATCCGCGCAAAAAGTTTTGAGCTGCACAAAACTTTTATAACGGATGAACTTTCTGCCGTGTACGATGTAAATGCGCGAAATATACGAACACCAAACGTTCCATGTCCGTTATCATCCGTTAAACGTCCACTGTATTCTCTCTGCATCCTCTGGGCATCCTCGCAACTCACATCCGCTCCAGCTGAAAACGGAAAGAGGGATGAAAGATAAGGTACATGGAACGTCTATACATCGTTAGTAGCGCGGAAATAGAAAGGATGTAAGCGTATGCATCTCGTATATAAAGTTTTCAAAACGGACAAAGCGTTTGTATCTGGGATGTATCTGGTATATTGAAGGATGTCTGGAGTTTGCCGGAGCTGTCATCCACTTCCATCCGCTTTCATCCGCTAGGCTTCCGATGAACATCCATTTAACATCCCCGCTACATACGTCCCACGATCGTTCTATTCCGTTCTGTTTTCGTCAATTTTGTCCATTTCTGGAGCGGATGAAAACGGATGGAGCCACCCCGAAAGTTTGTTCGTCCGCTGTGTCCTTTTTGCATACGTTTTGTGTCCATCGGCCACTGGGACCGGGCCTTTAGGGGCATTCTGGTATTAATCCACACTCACGTTCATTGAACGCAATAATACAAGTTCGATCATAAAGTTAACTGCAGCTGAAAAAGGTCTGAAGAATGCCGTTGATTTCTATCTGCCAGTGGTTCAGCATTCTGTACATACATCTGAACACGGTCAGAAAACGACCATAGAATTTGACATTTGAGAATAATATACGTTTTTTTAAAAAACCGAAATGTCCAAAAACCATGACTGATTGACCGAAATGAAACATCGACAATTTTGGTAAATAGTTACATACATATACATTCGTATATTATATCATGGTGTTTATAACTTATGATTTTGGAATAAAAGAAGGTAAATATGGTGTTTATTCATTCCAATACGGTAAAGGAATCAGCTGATTTGCGGCTCAATGTCCTTCACCGAAGCCCCTCGTCCAGTGTCCCAGAAAAACATTACGGTCTTGGCAAATCAAAATGCAGTATGTAATACCTGGTCTATATAAGGGCATTGGTGACCTGATTCTTGTGGCGTGATGTCATATCTGCGCGTTTCATTGACAGAATTTCTTGCAATGATCCGGAACGTTGTGCATTATGAATGGGTGAAAGGGCTGTGAATGAATTAAATGTCCGCAAGAGAGCATGACGGTCTTCCGGCGACCAACTACATAAAAGACAGAGCGACCAAGCACAATTATCAGTCGCCACAAACAGCTGATCGACTCGAAGTCCCGAGCCACCTCGACGTCCGCCATACCGTACCTATCCAGAACCGCAAGGTACTAAAGCATACAGGTAAGGCAATGCTCTTTTTTTTCTTTTATCAAAAAATGCAGTTTGTTGTTGAGTTCATAAAACAAGTAGAATTTTATGTATTACCATTGATAACGTAGGATTTAAAGGTCCAAAATTTCAGATGGGTTTTATCTTTGATATTCCTGTTCGTTGGTACCTATACTGTATATCGTTCCAAAGGTTATGCGCAAAAGATGTTGCACTGTTAGTTACTATATACATTCACTTGATTTGATGGTTATCTCATTATCATTTACAGTGTTCATCCTTTATCTTGCTAGTGTTCATGTATTTCGTAAAGGGTTTTCTAGTTTATTGTGCGTATGTCTTTCCTTCAGTATTTTACTAAATCCGTTGTAATAGTATTGTGGGAAAATACATGTACCTTAAAACATCATATTACCGTTACATGTTTTTCGGGGATTTTATTATTGTTTATTCAAATGGGCATATAACGTACGGTTTTGTTTTGTGTTAATTCCGATAACCATGGTTATCGTTTTTTGGACTTGGACTGTTAAATTATTTTAATAAAAGTGGATTGTCTCTATATAAACGGAAAGTGAATGTATCCTTAATGTATTATAGTCCTTTAAAACGTATCTCTATGTTGGTAAAATATTTGGTAAATGTTCTGAACAAAATGTGAGGATTTGTAATACACCTTTGTTTTGTTTTCGTTGATCATTTGTAACCGGTATTACAAACTATGTATATGGAACAAATGTGTACGGTTAAAAATATTTTGAGGAAAGATTCTAAAAATCAAAACGAAAAAACAGATTAAAATGATAATTCTAAATACTAAATTAATGATTCTTTTCCAGAAATGAATTCCCAAAAGATCACCATTACCCTCATCATGGTAGTTTTATTATGCTGCCAGGCAGTATTAGCTGCCCCATTCAAAGCAATGTCTGAGGAAAGATCGAATTCTGGTCAATTGCTGAGATCAATCAGCGATGGTAAGTTAGTTTTGATATTTTGCACTCCACCATGTACCTTCACCCATTATGTTCAATCAAATGATCTGACATCCTTTATGTAAGACAAATGGAAAATAATGTACGAACTATAATTATACTGAAAACTGTGTGGTGCATTCCTAATAAGATCCATTTGAGTTTTTTGTAGAGAATAGCAAAGGAAGTAATATCATAAATTTTCATTTTCTGTACCTTTCAGCTGTCTCCAGCATCGCAGAAGAAGATATGGCACCACTATCCCGAAACAGAAGGTATGTGGTCATTCAAGTTATGGGAAAACTTGCTCAGGACGATCGCCAATACCGAACTCGACTACACCCTCGCCATCACCGCTTTCATCATCGTCACCGACAAACTCAAAACCATATTAAGAAGCAATGAAAGGAATGATTGATATGTGCTTCTGGATGGTCAAATGACCATCATTGTTTTCCATGACGTGACGTTGATCTAGTGGTGACGGTATCGAAATAAATGGCAAAAATAAAAGATATTGAAACAATTATCGTTTGAAACTTGTTGTATATAGTTTGATGCAAATGTTTTGTTCTGAACAATGATTATATATTTGGGTAACAAGGGCATGTTATGCTTATTTTAGACAGCATTGTAGCATAGGAGATGAAAACAAATCCATTAGTCTATTTAGCTGTCGATAATCTAACGGTTGATTATTAGGTGGTGATATATGTCCCATGTGTATGCTCTTTCGTGTAACGACGTATTGTATTCTTTATTTTGCACTGGTTATACTGTGTATATAAAACCCCTTTCAATGTACGTCTAATTTGATATCTAAAATAAAATTAATAAACTAATTTTAAAACGAGTTTCAGAAAAATACCAAACATGCAATTACAATCTCCCCTAAATCATCCACAACGATTCTCATTTAAATCAATTCGAGGGTCACAATCTTCGCACAGAACGTTTTTGGCAGATTATTTTTCTGATATGTCCATTAAAGTTGCAAATATAAACGGCATTGTGGCAGAAGCGGGATAAGGATATAATTCCGAGAAACCATTATAACAATGAAAAGCTAAAATTAAAATTATTGGAAAAATTACGCATAACACATTTCACTCGGAATGGCAACAGGAAACCAGGACAATTTTTCAACGAAGCTATCGACAAATGTTTGGAGAGGTTGCAGTCAGATACAATTCACAAAAACAGCAAACTCCAAAGTAAATCAAGCTGCTGGTTACTTGATCTAACCACAAGCCAACCTGTCTCAAAAATGAAGTCAGTAATCTGTAATGCCCCCCTCCCCACGATGTATTGCCACGAAAGGAATTGGGCGTTAGTTTGTATCACAAATTCTTTTTAATTGCGCAAGGGGCCGCGATAAGAGAACTGGGACTCGGCTAGAAATTAGGTGAAGATAGAACCGATATGATTTTGTTCCTTCTTCTCATCTCTGAAATATGGGCCCAAGTTCCTTCTCATTTGGAGAGCTTTTGGTTACACAAAGAGAGAGAGATAGAGGGTTTAACGTCCACTCAACACAAACTAGGTCATTTCGGGACTAACACATGGTTCAATTTTATTTCAATCATTCGCTTGCGCGTAGGGGTCTTTAGCAGTGGGAGGAAACCGGAGGACCTGGAGAAAACCCACGAGGTTGGACAGGCGACCCTACTCCTTGTCACGTACAACCGGGGAATGGAAACCCCTCCAGTTGACTCAATGACAGACCGTATGATACAGCGCAGCGCGCACGTGCCAACCTTTTGGTTACATGTTCAGCTACCGGGAGTAATGTCCTTCATTTTTAAATTAATGTTTTATATCCCCAAAACTTACTTTCCGCGTTACCACCTGCTTTTTAAAAGTGTGCTATAGTTGAAACGAAATTCTATATCGTTGATTTTCTCGAGTAATAATATATTTCTTTAAAATAAAAATAAATAAAACATTTTAAAATAACTAGAACTTTTTGATTTGAGTAAAAAATGAAACGGCTAATTTAAATTAATTTGGTGTTTTACTGAGTATCTCTCTACTACACCTTAGGAGCAATTAAGATTTTATCCCCATAGGTAAAAGAAACTAATCTGAGTTAACAAAGCATCATATCTAACTGAAATAACACGTCGGATCAAACAATTCTAAAATAATACACAAATCAATTTCCAATTAATATTAAGTAGAGTTCTCTCATATCTGATTGAAATAGCACATCCGGTCAACTCCATTCAACATTTTATTATACGCCCACATTTTCATGTGGACGTATATTGTCGTCGCCCCTGTCCGTCCGGACATGCGTCCGTCCGTCCGGACATGCGTCCGTCCACAATTTGTTTGTGGACTCTCTACAGGTCACAATTCTTGTCCGATTTTGACGTTACTTGAAATATAGGTTTATCTCCAAAAGATCTCGGCTGCTTTCGATATTGGCATGTATCGGATCAAAACTTCATGGTTTGTACGAAAAATCACCTATATAGGTCACAATTTTTATCTGATTTTGTTGAAACTTGACATGTAAGTTTATTACCCAAAGATCTCAGTTCCTTTCGATATTCGTGCATATCGGACCGTAACTTCCTGAATTATGGCCCCTGGATGTACGAAAAATCGCGTTTTTAGCTTGTGGACCCTATAGAGGTCATAATTTTTATCTGATTTATAAAACCGTATTATTACACCTTAAGGAAGGTTGAGTTCGAATTTCGTGAAAATCGGACCAAAATTGCCGGACAAAATGGCCGCCGTTTGTACGCGAATAGTGTAAAAATATGGTAAATCAAGGTTGTTGACCCTGTATGGGTCAGAATTTTAATTCGATTTTGATGAAACTTGAAATGCATGTTTGTAACCTAAAGATCTTGGTTCCTTTCGATATTGTCGCATATCGGATCATAACTTTCTGAATTATGGCCCCTGATTATACGAAAAATCGTGTTTTTAGCTTGTGGACCCTATATAGGTCATAATTTTTATCCGATTTAAAAAAACGTATTATTATATCACCGTTACACCCTAAGGAAGGTTGAGTTCGAATTTGGGAAAAATCGGACCAAAATTGCCGGACAAAATGGCCGCCGTTTGTACGCGAATAGTGTAAAAATAGGGTAAATCAAGGTTGTGGACCCTGTATGGGTCACAATTTTAATTCGATTTTGATGAAACTTGAAAAGCATGTTTATAACCTAAAGATCTTGGTGAAAATAGGACCAAAATTGCCGGACAAAATGGCCGCCGCTTGTATGCGAATAGTGTAAAAATATGGTACATGTATATGTCAAGGTTGTGGACCCTGTAGAGGTCGCAATTTTAATTCGATTTTGATAAAACTTGAAATGCATGTTTATAACCTAAATATCTTGGTTCCTTTCGATATTGTCGCATATCGGATCGTAACTTTATGAATTATGGCCCCTGATTATACGAAAAATCGCCTCTTTTAGCTTGTGGTCCCTCTGAAGGTCACACTTATTTTAAAAATCGTTTGAATATATCACCGTAACACCATAATAAAGGTTGAGTTCAAATTTCCTGAAAATCAAACCAAAACTGCCGGACAAAGTGGCCGCCGCTTGTACGCGAAAGGTGTAAAAATATGGTATATCAAGGTTGTGGACCCTGTAGAGGTTACAATTTTAATCCGATTTTGATGAAACTTGAAATGCATGTTTATAACCCAAAGATCGTGGTTCCTTTCGATATTTGCGCATATCGAATTGTAACTTCATGAATTATGGCCCTTGATTGTAGGAAAAATCACTTTCTTTTTAGCTTGTTCTCTATCCATCTCTCAAAAATGTGGGCGTATCCTGCCTGGCAGCCGCTGGTTTTGTCCGAAATCAATGTGGATTATCTCTTTCGAGTCTAGTAATGCTTATGTAAACAAAATATTTAATATATTTCTTAATACACATTTTAAAAATAAACTGTTTATCTAATTCAATCAAATCTAAAACATTTCATCCAAATTGTTAATTGTAGAGTTACAAATTTATGTGGTACTTTTCTATTTTTGCTTTGTTTCTTTGTAGAGTTACAAATTTATGTGGTACTTTTCTATTTTTGCCGGTGTACGGCGTTCTGCTTATTTATTTGTAGAGGTTTAAAATATATAGTTGGTAAAGTTTGAAGAAAGTGTAATAAATTAGGTAGCGGGACAGTGTTGGACTTTCTTAATAATTTTGAGATTTCCTTTAGGGACTTTTTCATCTGTTTTACTGATGTTATCTTTTAAAGCGAGGAATGTTTATCTTCGATATTTGTAACACTATCTTAGTATAACAGAGATCAGTTTCGTACATATATGGTTTATTTACATAGGAACAGAATATAACATTACTACATCAATACTACAGAAACTAGACTATACTGGAACTAAACTACATCGGAACACATATAACTATATTAAATCCACCATTCTGCCCCTATGCCAAGGCAGCGGCTGAACTCGGGTGAGTCCATGCACTCGCCCAAGCCTCTCTTCTCCACCCGTCTGTGGTCCTCTTTAGTCGACCGCCTAACTGTCAGTAAACTCCTCAATATACCCTCGGACGATAGATAAGACATATGGCCATACATGCAATTGTCTCTTTTATCTCGTCACGACATGCTTACTGACCTGTGCATATACCTTTGAAGTAAAGAGGAAGGTGTGCACAGATCATAATTATGTAGCTTGTTAAGGACATATTGAATTAATTAATCCGTGCCTTAACAGAAGTTTAAAGAGAGGTGAAACGTCAATATCATATATTATCAAAACTAGCAGAGGTCATAAAGTTCTATGCACCTATTTTTATGGAGCTTTCATGGTATAATGCATTTATATTAGCTATAGTATTGGTTGTGACCGTTGACCTACATGGTGAGTGGTACATGCCAAGCAAGACATCATTGGTTTTGGTAGCTTTTTCTTTTTATTAATTTATTAGCATTTCGTTTGCAAGTTCAAATCTGTCCCTAGTCCTAGAGGAGGCTATTTGGCATATTTCCCTTAACTATCTTCACAGCAAAACGCTTCAATCGCAGTGAAAACATCTTTAATGGTGCATTTCATGATAAATGGAGACCCCATTGGACTACCATCATCCACCGTCTTCATTTCTGCAACACGTTTTTCTGTATCGCCTCTTCGAATTTTTTGAATATCGGTCATGTTATTGCTGATAAATTCACATGGAATTGAAATCGCCGTTTCTTTTCTACCCCCTTTCTTTGTTTTTTTTTTACCCTCGTTTAAGCCGCTAGTTGAAATTTGTTAATCGGTTATTTTGTTGGGTTCTTCTGTCTCGACGGTTGTGTGTTTTCAAAATCTTATGTTTAGTATCCATTGCGATTAAGCTCTGCATGATTTTACAAGTAGTATATTTATCCATATTGGTACATGGTGAATATATTCCAATGTTATTCATACTGTATAACCATTAAACTTGCTCTTGGTGTTCCTGGTTCTGGCCTTTTTGTTGGATCCAGGCATGTGATCTACAGGACTAGTCGGTTAGATGAATTTAAGTCTTTTATCTACCAGAGCTTTAACAATGGGGCCCACAACAGTTGAACTTTGATCTTTCACTCTTTTAACGTCTTCACGTCATCAATATGCCGTGCTCTCTGATTGCATTTTTTTTTTTTTTTGTCTTTATTTCTTGCACATTCGTATAATTTCCTGTAGAAATCCGCCTCTTCGTCGGTTCTCTCAACACTACCGTTTATGCAATCATCATTTTCACAATATAGCCTGTCAACATGTCTGAAATAGAAGATACCCCAGAAATAATTAACTAAAGGTTACGGAATTGGAGTAAATTGCGCGCTGTATCATAAGGTCTGTCATTGAGTCAACTGGCGTGGTTTCGATTCCCCGGTTGTACGTGACAAGGAGTAGGACCGCCTGTCCAACCTCGTGGGTTTTATCCGGGTCTTCCGGTTTCCTCCCACTGCTAAAGACCCCTGCGCACAAGCAAAGTGTTGAAATAAAATTGAACCATATGTTAGTCTGAAATGACCTGGTTTGTATCGAGTGGGCGTTAAACCCCATCTGATTAATTGATTAGTATCTATTTATTTTTGGGATTGCGGAGGGGGACATAGGCTAAGTCTCACTGTTGCTGGCTTGTTATCCAGATAGGGGCCGATCAGCCTAGCCTACTTCATAGAAATGTTTTAGAATTTTATATCGTAAGCTAATTAACTCGCACCGATGTCCAGGGGCGGGTCTAACTTTTTATGAGAAAAGTTTCTCGGTCGTGTGCTTTATCTTTTATCGTCAGATGTGGGACAGGATGGGCACTCAAAACACGAGATAATGATATAGACATTATGTGATATCACAATTAATGCTTTGCATCCATGAAATTGAATCACAATGCCATTGTATTAATTCATAATAAAAATTGACGTCAAACGCGGTTTTGAATTTTTCTGTTTAAAAAGCTCAGTGTGTATGTATATACGCCAAAATGACGATAGGGACCATGCGGGAGGGGGGGGGATAGGCCTACATTGTCTCAGGAACCTGGCAAACCCCCTCCTGCAAAAATTCCTGAATCCGCCCCCGATGTCATCCCTCTCAGTGGTTGTAGCAGCCTAGCGAATATTCCCTGATAAATGTACCACAACCATGGACCTTTACCCGATACGTTGATGGTCAACCTGATAGTACATTATGAGGTCCATGCCACAACATTAGGCGGTGATTCTCGACAAGTGTGCCGCGGCACAAAGGTGTGCCGCAGGTGTGCCGCGAGATCTTCCTAAGTGTCCGGCGAAATTTTGAACGGCACACTAAGAAAATTCTTCACTAAAGAAGCCAGCTATTTGACAAAATTCGAAACACTGCAATAAAGTAAGTTCATGTGCTCTTTATTTAGTTTGAGTCATTCTACATTATGTGTCTATGATTGAATAGTCTGTGTCTACGATTGTATTCCGTATATGAATTGCCATGTTTTTATTTTGCAAAATTCAAATATTTTTCATTATATATTTAGCCAGGTGTGCCGCTATTTTTTCATGTGTTCTAAGGTGTGCAGTTGGCAAAAAATAAGGTCGAGAACCACTGCTAAAAGGAATGTGAAGAAAGAAATTTAATAGTGGTCTTATCCCAGAACAGTACTTCTGTTCACGCATGCGCCCTGACATGTTTACCCTAGTGAAGTATAATCTGAATGGCGAACAAAACGCAAGTTGAAGCAAGTATTCGTTGTTCACGGGGGGGATTTCCAGGGTGTATTTAATATTTTTGGAGGTAAATAAAGATAATATTTAATGCAATAATTAAAATAATAAAACTACGGCCATATATTACTTCAGTTCCAACCTTTACCCAACTGTGTTGGCAAACAGGAAATTAAGTCGACGGCATCTAAAAATATTAGATCTTGACAATTGAAAAATTTGCCTTTAACTGAATTAGATTCCAAAGTCGCGATAATTAAAATGATAAAACTACGGCCATAATGTTACTTCCAACATTAATGTTGGCAATAATAATACATTAAACTATGACTATTTTATAGTATATTTATGATGGCATGCCTAGTACTAGCCAGATCTGCAATACCCTAATTATAATGGCTTTAAAATTGTTAAATATTTATTCTAAAGACTGAAAAATTTGGTTTTAAAGGAGCTAAATCGCTAATATTTGGGATCTAGAAATTGGCACAAATGGATTGCAAGGCATATATAATACTAATAATAGCCTATAAATAATGCAATATATTCAATCGTTTCTGTTTTTACTGTAAATTCTAATCAGTCTCAATCGAATGGCAATCTCTTGTCTGGTTATTCCAGTTTACACCGATAGTATTTAATGAGATCACCATTTGACATGACTTGTGCAATATGTCTATCCTCGTTTTTTGAATCCCTTGTAACAAATGGTGCTGAAACGCATTATGGTACCAATGGTAAAATGTTTATTGTGTCTTAAATTATGGATATCAGAAGCCCATCTTTTCCCGGTAAAATCACACCATCAATGTTGATTTAAATTGACAAATATTTCGTGTTATCAATGTCAAAGACTTTGGATTATATTGAGTTAGAGACTTAGTTACTTTAACTGACGTACGGTATGTGTAGATCCCAAAGTTGCAACTTCTGTGGTAAATATATAATTATTTAATTTTAAGGGCAAGATATGCATGTACAATAACTTTAATACGTATGTTGGATGGAAAATAATCACCTTTTTTGGAGGCACCGCCTCAATTCACATAGGGTTGACTACTTACTGCCGAAATTGACAATTCAATTAGCCTTACACAGTTATTAAGATGATAGTGATAACACCATCAGCAGTCGAAACTTCAATCCTATGTAATATATTACTCAGAGTCTGCCAGCAATGTACATACAAGCCTATGAGTATGATGTAGGCTAGCTGCAATATTGTACCCATGTCCTGTCTTGTCCATGGCTACAATTGATGCACTATTTGAGGCTTTGTGCAAGTAAAATTAGGTTCAATTGCAAAATTTTCAACACATACATTAATATCACAGTTTGCATGGAAATAAATTATGTTACAAGAAGTGAAGAGTGGCACACTGAAATCTGAATCTTATCTTACTAAACAGTTTTTCTGTATTTTTGAGGTGACGCGAAATCACATGCGTGTTCTAATTCTGGTTCAGCAGCCATTTTAAAATGTACAGAAATTTCGCATAGCAGTTGGGTTTTTATCAAATCATATAATTTATTATTTGTGCAGTAAGGTTTCACCTATATTTCAATGGGAATTGGTTTATTATATGTTAAGCTATGTGCAGTACAGTTTGGGGTCCTTTTAATTGGAATTAAGGGAGTTATAGGCCAGTAACTTTTTTATCATCAAAGGCCTTATGACGTTCCACTACTGTGGCTGGAGCAAGACAGAAGACATCAGTAGTGGAACCATTTCTAGATGTAGGCTATCATATTTCTCGAAAAATATGCTTGACCCCTCTGTCATATACTTTCTTGAGAATGCTGACATAATTAGCTAATTATCACATTATTTTGAAACAAATTGATATTTTTCAGACAAGGAAGTATAAAAATGAAACGAAGCAGCGAAAAAAAGTTCACCAACCTTCCTGTCCCAAAACAACTGAAAGCAAGTCTGTCTTCACCAACATCTAAGAATAATATGTTAGAATCTGCTAGAACTAAAAGTCCTAGTGTAACTGTTGAAGGGACTAGCGCAATGTCTTCAAGTAAAGAATCAAGAAAATCGTTATCACCATCCAGAGTTCCAGGTAATGGTTAGGTCCGAGGTCCACCATGAAACTATGAGATTAATAATGTATTGTACAGTACTGCCAGTAGGCCTACTGGTAATCTTAACACATTTTTCTGTGACTACATTTAGGCTGCGGGATTACCATATTGCTTCTGTCTGATCTGTAGTTCAATTTGTTTTTGTTAAATTTAGTGTAAACCTTACAGTTGTACTGTTACAGTTATCAGTAAAAAAGAGAGTATTGGAAAGATAATATAATGATGTTTTAAATATAAGTGTATAACACTATAACAGGCAATAACAGGTGCCTTATGGATAGAGGAATGGAATAGTTAGGAAACTCAACTGTCCTCTTGATTGTCTCATTTTGTAATCCAAGGCTGGGTTTAGGACCTTTGGGATTTTTGAAGCCCAACTGGCGATGTAGTTCTAATGGCAAGACTGACAGAAGGGGCAGTGGGGGCTGTGGAGAGGTCACTGCTGTACTGACAAAGGCGGACAGCTGCTTAATTGGCTGACAAGAGTTTCACTGCTGGGCTGACAAGGAAGTATAGTCTAGAGTCTAGTCTAGATGGATCCTAAAAGTATGCGCACTGGTCTTGACTGTGGGATTTTGAAAAATAGTACTAGTACATGAAAACAATGTCGGCAAACACATTGCCATAGTTTAAAGAAAAGCAAATATAAGATTTTATGTCTCAAAATGAGACCGATTCTCACTGATGACAAAGGGACTGACAGGGGTGAGGGTGGGTTAATTGGAGGAGGAGACTGCTGTACTGACAAAGAGTGATGGCTCTTTGCTGAATAGAGGTTGCGCTGCTGGACTGACAAGGAAGTATAGTCTAGATGGGTCCCCAAATACTAAGGTTTGCGCACTGGTCTTGACTGGGATTTTGAAAAATAGTACCAATACATGGAAAAAATGTTGGCAAACACATGGCCATAGTTTAAAGAAAAGCAAAAATAAGATTTTATGTCTCAAAATGAGCCCAATTTATTTTGAGACAGGGGTGAGTGTGGGGGAATTGGAGGAGGAGACTACTGTACTGACAAGGGTGATGGCTTCTTGACTGAATAGAGGTTACAAGGAAGTGTAGTCTATATTTGACCCCCCAAAAAGGTGTGTGCACTGGTCTTGACTGTTGCATTTTAAAGATAGTGCTGATAAATGGTTATAGTTTTAACAAAGGCCCCCCCCCCCAAAAAAAAAAAAAGAATTTAACTCAATATGTCGGAAGTAATTTGCATTGATGACACATTAATACTCATTCATTTGTATAGGTCCTGAGAGTCAAGTTTTATTGGCACATTTAGACCACACAACCCTTTAAAAATAAATTGATGCAGGAGGGCGTTTTTTTTTGTTGTTTTTTTTATTTTGTCAAAATCTAGCTCGTTTTTCATTTTTAAGAAACACAAAATTATTATAAATTTAATATTTATTCATTTCTTAATTAGATAAAATAAAAAATAAGTAAGAATTTGAAATAACGTCAAATAATTCTGTGACTTGAATGACTTCATCTAACTACATTAATGTTTTCAAATGCGTTGGTTTTTATTTTGGCGACCATTAGATCTACGTGGTATCTATACCGTACTCACTGTTAAATCGTGAATTTTGCTGAAATCTAATTCCTTGGCCTCAATCTACCTGCGTATTATATTTTTGGTCATCTCTGTCACATCATATTTCTCGGGAAAGATAAGGCATCTTAATTTGCGAATAATAAATTAACATTCGCTTATCCAGTGCCGTTCGTGATTGTCAATTGTGTTTCCCATGGATACTTGATAGTTGTTTCTACTGTTCATTTCCTGTTATCAAGAAGTCTCCAATAGAGTTACTTTCCTGAAATTATTGACTTTGTTTTTTATTTTTTTTTAGAATAAAAACGTGATGCGGTGATATCTGAGAACCAGAATATTTTTTTTTGTGTGGCCTTAAATGTCTAGTTTAACAATGCAGTCCTAAATTTTAATTTCAGTTCCAATGTATGGAGTAAGATATATCACAGACGATATGATTAAAAAGCAGGCAAAGGAAGAGAATATGAAGCTGATAACCCACCTAAACCTAAATTTGTCCAAAGATATAGGCATGAAAAAGATTAAGGCAAGTTGTAATTTGTAACATGTATCTTTAAATTTATAACAAGGAACTATTTATTGGGACAGACATGTTCTTGCAATGACCTTGCATGTTTGCCACCTTTTGATTAGCTGTTTTATAAGATTCTTACTTTTTGAGGGTCTTATTTGGATTTCACAAAACCTTTTTCTTTAATGTCAACTTTGAAATTGTCTTGTGCTTAAACTGCAACAGCTTCAACACATTTAACTATAATTAGGTTAGATTCATAAACTTTGGTTCCTTTTCATTGTATAAATATATTTTGTTTGTTTTCACAGTATATTGAAGGTTTGGATCAATTACATCAACTACAGACATTAAATTTAAGCAACAATATGATCGAAAAGATGGAGAAAATGGACAAACTACTAAAACTGAGAGTATTAAACCTGTCTTCTAATTGTATCTACAAAATAGAGGGACTGGAAAATCTTATCCTGCTACAGACACTTGATTTAACTAACAACAAAATCGAACAAATTCCATCCTGGCTGCCTAAAAAATTAAAAGCTCTTCGTGTGTTTAGAATTGCTGAAAACAGACTAGATTCGGTATGTTGTAATGTAAAATTGTCTTTAGATATTGAATTTAATATACGGTTTTACAGCGATGTACCCAGAAGAATATTCATGCCGGGCGATAATCTTGGGCAGGGGGTGCACGAGGGGGTTTTACAGTGGTGTGCCCAGAAGAATATTCATGCTGGGCGGTAATCTTGGGCAGGGGGTGCACGAGGGGGCTTCCAACCCCACTTAATAGCAGGGGGAGTTTGAGGGGGTGGGGGGGTATCATCCCCCCTGGGGAGAAAATTATTGGTTTCTTTTTTTTGATCTCTGTACAAAATGACGCTATGATGAGTACGTTTGATGGATGAATGATAGACATGCCCATCTCAATCAGTAAATTGACATTTTAAAGACCATTTATTAATTATATTCCATTAAAAATATAAAGCAAAACAAGCATAACATAACCAAAATATTTGTCAGCTAAACTACAATGATGCAGTGCTGGTAAACAAACTAGACTAATTTAACCAGTCATGCTAGTAAAATCGCACTGATATGAACCGTTAAAAGATTCTACATATCAGATAACTCTTTGCGGCAAACAAGAAATCGAAAGTAATGAATTTCGACGTAAACATACTTATTTTAAAATGTCTATGATAGTATGATAACAGATGTATTATAGCAGATTTCTGTGTCAAACTGACCTCGTATCATTGATTAAAACACAGATCCTATTTTGTTTCGTTTTTATAATTCAAAATATAGTTTTACTTGTCTTTACTACACTAGGATCTGGAATAGTTGTTTTCATTGACGTGTTCCGAATAGTGTGAGGTATTAGCCAATGACACGGTCTGTTACGGCGAGCTGTAGGCGTGTTTTGCACGGAACTGTGGGTAATCCACTAGTAACACTAATGCTAATTGGTTAATCAATTGTCTGACGTCATAGGCTTACTTCCGCTCGTATGACCTCTGTCGTGACCTATTGCAACAACCGGTCAGATCTTCATGTAGTGTAGGCCATTGAAAGTATAAAAAACGAAACGAAATATTGATCTGTTTTTTAATCAGATTGAGTTTGACGTGGAAATATGCTTCAAGATATTTTTGCATGGTGGAAAATATTGGTACTGGACAGAAATCAGCTTCAAGATATTTTTGCCGGGCGGAAAATATTGGTGCTTGGTGGTGCCGCCAGGTAACAGTAATAGTAGGAACATCCCAGGATTTAACAAAAGAAAATCTAAAGTGTAGAATATTATGTTTTGAATATATTATAGATGATACATAGAAATGTGTTCAGGTGATGATGTATCTCATTTAAAAGAATAGTTAAAGTAAATGTTACGTTTAATTTTGATAAACCAGGCATTTCTAGTTTTATTGATATGTTAATGAGTTCCGTCATCATTCCAAATGATTTATGTTACATGTCGTCGGTGGGGAGTAAAAAGGTCATATCTGGGGTTTTCAAAACTGTTCAGGAGAGACAAAAAATTTCACAAAATTGTGACTAAAGACAGCAGAAAGGTCATCTGTTAATATAAACTACATATTTTTGTGTTTATCGTTTACAGGCCGCAATTTTGAATGGATCAACTTGGTACTTGGCATATGTATTTCTTATAACCTAAGGGTGTCAACTATTGATTTTGGTGAATGCCCCAACCCCCAGGTGCAGAGCCATGCCCAATTTTTGCCTTTAGCGCCCGAAGGCCACAATTCTGAATGGATTATCTTGGATCTTGGTATACTTATTCCTTATACCCTAAGGACGGCAACTATTGATGTTGTCATTTCAATAACAATATTTATATTGTTCCAGGGGGGTGGATGGCCGGATGATTAGCACGTACGCGCTGTATCATGAGGTCTGTCATTGAGTTAAGTGGCATGGGTTTTCACTGGGTCCTCCGGTTTTCTCCCACTGCTAAAGACCCCTATGCGCAAGCTAATTAGTGAAGTAAAATTGAACCATGTGTTAGTCCCAAAATGACCTAGTTGTGTCGAGTGAACGTTAAACCCCATTTCTCTCTCTATCACACCCAATTTTTGTATTTATCGTCTACAGGCTGCAATTCTGAATGGATCATCTTGAAACTTTGCATATTTATTCCTTATAACGTAAAGACAGCAACTATTTATTTTGGTGCATGCCCCGACCTCCTGTTGCAGTCACACAAACCCAACGCCTAGCCTTCTTTGTCTCTTACATATTTCGTTCTCTTCATTTTAAAAAATACCATATCAATCAAAGCAGGAATGTGGACGTATATATTGCAGCGTTAGCGATGCCCTTGTTTGGTTTTTTTGACAAAAATTTTACGCGTAAGCTCTTGCGAGAATCCTGGTTCGAATTAGATTCGGAGTTTCGCTTGAGTTTCTAGCCCTGTCTATTTGGTGTCTTTTTTGGGGGGTGTGGAGTTTACTTTTAGATGCATTTAAGCCCAGGTGTTCTTCGTTTCTAAAAGTTATTAGCTTTACGTTGTTATCCGTTCTCTATGTTCCTGAATTATATAATTTTCAAATATAAGGTTTCGTAGTTTCGGTAGTCTCCTCTTTTCTTGCTTTCACTTTCCTACAATGTGTAAAATGTAGATCATCCTCATCCAAGCTCAGATTGGCATGTCCTAGGTCCTTTTACCTTGGCGCAAAACTGGGATCTTTGCCCAAGTCATCTGAATCTAGAGACTCCTCGTCACTCAATACACTGTAAGCTACAGCTTGTTGGGGTGTTAAATCGTCTGTAGTCCATAATCTAGAACTTGTTGACGGGATAAATCGACAACTGTACGGGTACTATTTAATGTAGGGCTGTTTTCCTTGTCATGAAGAACCCCAGATACCGTCGAAACAGATGTGCTTGAAATTAGTGATATTTGGACCAGGCGTATTCCTTGTGAAAGAGTTTTGTCCGTTGACATCATCCACCAAGAACGTATCGTTTTTCCATAACCTGAAACAAAACAAATTGTAGTTAAATACCATGCAGATTACCCTAAATGTACTATATCGTCAATTCAAAATATATTTAGAATAGAACAAATAAAATGCAAAATATCATATTTCTCTAAATTTAGTTTTAGGACTGTGCTAAAGGTTAATATAATTGTTTTAATACCAGATTACTTCATTGAGAGTTATAAAAAAGAGTTAGGTTGGATATTGTAATGCATATTGGGTTTCATATTGAATATTTTTCGATTTTACTGTTGACATACTTATCTGTGATGAAAGTTGACAATGACACTCCACATAAACCCACGTAAGTGGTGCCCCTCCAGTTCAGTAGCAATTCAGAAGAACCATAAAATCTGTATTATATGAAATTTCACCAATAATTACGTATTGTTTAATGGTCGAGAGCGAGACATTAAGTAATATATTGTAACAACAAGAGGACCGTCAGGTCCGAGTGTTTTTACAATATATTACGCAATGTCTCAGCTCGACCATTACAGACACTCTGCACGTGCGTTTACAGTGAAATACGTCACTCGAGTCTAATATTTGACAAGGTACGATTGGCAAGTTGCCCGTACGATTATTTGAAATAATGGTACGCCAACATCAAAGGGTGACATCACATCTGTATTTTAACTGCTGTTATTGTATTTTGTTTTGCTGGGAGCAACTCGTTTGTCACATGGCAGTGCTTCATCAAAATACGACTTGTCATTTTTTTTTATCGAATCAGGGGTTACGAGATATCAACACGTGACCATATGAATAATTTTTATTGGGCTTGATATATGACATTCAGATGAAAAGATGTGCCTTGCAATGCGGTTTCTGAAAAAGAAAAAAAAAATGCATTTCGAAAAATTTGCCACATACAACCTATTGACTCCCCACCAACGATGTGTATGTTCTGATAAACCTGGTATTCCTAGTTTATTAATATGGTTATAAGTTCCCTCATCATAATCCTTGAGTGGCAGTTACCGATTGAGCACAATTTAAAACACAATTCATATGGAAACTAATCATTTGTTTGTACACGTAAACCACAACGTTTTGACAAGTGGTTGTTTTCTATTTAATTTGTGTTGTGGTTTTTTTTTTAGTTGCACGTCATTCCAAATAATTTTAGCTAATCTTTCCATCATCTTTCACAAGTCCACAAAATCCCGAAACAGACTCTACTGAAATACAGATAATTTGTACCGGTATAAGATTATTGTTGCTGATAGATAATATTTGTTTTTTTTCCAGCTGTCAGAAATATCGAAGTTAAAGTCTTTATCTGACTTGCATCAATTAGATTATGGTAAAAATCCTCTAGTAGAACTACCACATCATCGTTTATTTATTATATTTCAACTATGTACTGTCGAATTATTAGACGGGCACCAAGTATCAAGAGAAGAAAGAAAAACAGCACAAGAGAGATTTGCTCAAGGTTCATTAATTTAATTTATCTTTTAGGTCGCGATTATTCAATTGTCTATTTCTCATGACCTGTGTTTGTGAAAAATACAGGCTACATGAGGTAATTATTAATTATTGAGATGGAATTTAAAATTTTTGAGTTTGAAGCCGGTACATGAATTAAATATTGAAAATTTGCAGCTTGATTGATGCACAAAAGTAAAATGTCTAACCCCATTTTATTTTAATATTAATACTAGTTTTTGATATTCTGCTTTGTTATATACAAGGAATTCCTGTTTGATCTTAGGGGTGTTTTTGTTTATGCCAGTTAGACTCTTTTTATTTGAATTATTGATTGTTTTAACAGAAGAAATGGGAAAACTGGAACAAAAGCTAGAAGTAGAAGAAAAGAAGAACAAAAATTTGGAAGAAACTCACCGTAAATCAGCAAGTGAAATATCAGTGAGGAATGCAACTGCTGTGCAATACAAAATGAAAGATAAAGAATCACGAGAAAAAATTAAAGATTTAGAACAAGAATTAAAAGTGAAGGAAGATCTGGTAATTTTTATCAATTATTGTAATAAAGGAAAAGGATATCAAAAGCAGACTAAAATACACCATGTAGTAGAAGGACATAATTCTTTGCTACATTGCTACAAAATAAAATTCAATAGAAAAAGTTCATGACCCACAATTTCATTGTTTTTCTGACAATTTGGAGGCTAATATATGACATATATTTCACACACTGTAAACACAGCTTTCATATCCAACATACCATCATCGATTTAGTTTAAAATTTTAATTTTTTTCTCTCCTTTTATTTTTTTTTATTAGCTAAAGAAGAAAACAACAGATCTTACGAAGGCTAGTGAAAAACATTATCAATTAGAACAAGAGTTGGCCTTTTTCAAAATTGATTCCAAATTTGACAGCTTAGGAAAGAGACCATTGGTTAATGCGAATGAGGTACGTAAAACTATTATGTATCATTATATGCCCACATTCAGTCACACTGTCTGGCTGGCCGTCAACAATTGGCTTGTGAATGTGATAGATGCTACAGTTTTTGATGGTTTCCTTTAAAATTTTGTGTGAAGCATTGCGATCATGAGATTACAAACCCTATCTATTTCTGTTCTGGAGTTATCTCCAGAGTTATACCCCACCCTTTGCCGAAAACATTTTGAACGTGATAGTTGCTCCATTTAATAACAATTTTTTTTTTCAAATTTGGTTCTAGGTATTGGGGTTATAAGAGAATAAACCCTATTGATTTTTAGCTTTCCACGACTTTTGGTTCCAGAGTTATAAAGTTTTTAAAAGATTGGCTTATGAATGCGATAAAGGCTACATTCTTTTCAAATTAATTTTAATGTGAAGCATTGTGGTCATAAAACGATGAACCCTAGCTATATTCAACATTCTGCAACCTTTTGTACCAGAATTAAGCCTCCTTTTCTGAATATGATATAGACTATAGTTTTTAACAAATGGTTTCCAATTTGTTGTTAAGAATTAAGGTCATGAGAGAATGAACGCCATCAATTTTCAACTTTCTGCGAGTAAAGTGTTGTACCATGTTCAGTCCAGTTCCTTAAAGTACTGTACTAATTCAAACTGTTGAAGAAAAATGTTGAGGAAGGACCAACAAACAAAAAGATATGTTATTCTATTATTATTACATCACTTTAATGAAAATACTGTACAATCTAATAAGATACCCGGTAATTGATGATTCCTGTATTTGATTAACCAGGTATTTGTTGCCCACAGACTGGGAAGGCAATTTGTCATTATATACACAATATAGAGTAATTCTTAAACATCACACTTTACATAACATAAACTCTTCAAGTTACTTGTATTGAATATAATTTGTGTCATGTGTTACATAACACAACTATTATTCTCTAATATCTTCTGTCAATAGATTCCATAAAACTTTTTAAATTCTCTGAATTATAAGAATGTTATCAAAGTTTTTTTTGTATCATCTAAAATTCACTTTGAAGATAATTAGATAAAATACTGACATTTGTTTGTTCTTCACTACTACAATGTCTCTATGTCCTATTTACATCTTTGAGTATGGGTTCAGCCAGGGTGCACATAAGTTTATCTATTCTATATGTAGTTAATTGTTACAAGCTGTCCTGTCAAAATTGACCAAATCATTGTACACAAGACCATTGAGTAATTACCTTATCCTGTGTTAGTTTCAAAATAAACTCAGTATTAAACTAAGTTACATTGTTTTTTGATTGAACTACTATATTTTAGCATAGAGTTTTATCTTTGTATTTTGATGACACTGATCAATAGTACTATGTTCTGTAATATGAATGTCAGTATCGTATGTTTTTTTTATTTTTACACTAGCCTGTATGGTAAATGTTTTATTGTCATCAATAAATTTGTTCTTCTTATCCTGTAGTTGATTCCACTTTATCAAACCATAATATTACCACCAGGTTTATATTTAAACATACATTGTCTCACTATAGATTTACTGATATCATTTATATGTAATAGTTTTAGTGTTCAACTAGCTGTAACAGTTTTAACTGTTTCATCTTCTACCCTATTTAGACACAGGTAACACCCTAATTCTGATAGTTCTCTTATCGTTTACCAAGGTTGTGCACCTTCTAAAGGCTCCCAGCCTTTTATGCAAAATGTGAAATAAGTATAAAGTTTTGTTCGATTCAGATGAAACTTAAACTATGTGTTAATGATTGAAAGTTCTTGTGCAGGAGTTACGCCCCCAATCTTATATACTCAAAATGTGAAATACATGTGTGTACAAATTTTGTTGGCTTTTCATGATCAGAGGCCACAATTTTTGTCTGATTCAGATGAAATTTAACAATTATTTAACACATAGTTTAAGGATCAAAAGATCTTGAATGTGTTTGATTTTAGTATGCATCTGACCTTCTGTTCTGGAGTTATACCCATTTGTGGATGATTGAGATATATAGAAAACTATATTATGTTTATATCAAATAATATATTTGTTTTTCAACAGAGTGGAGATGATGGTGGGTTGATAGGTGAAAGTCCATACATTGGGAAGGCTAGGTACAGCTCTAATCAGTATGCACAGGAGTCTTTCATTTCTTCACCACATGTCAATCAAATAACTCGTCAGACATTCAATATTTCAACACCAGATGATAATTTTGGTTTTAATAAACTGCCCTCTGTCGATAATAAATTAGTTGAGAAACAGAAAGAACTGGAACAGGGTAAGTTCTTAATTTGATTGGTTGCAAAATGCTAGAATAGTATTGTTTGTATAATAAACTAGTAATTACATATTGATAAAATGTTTATGTACATGTTTTTGTAACAATTTTTATTTTGTTATTTTTTTTTTGTGTGGGGGGGAAGGAGGTGGATTTTAGTCAGAAGTTGCAGCGAAACTGTGCATGGTGCAAATATTCTGCCATTGTAGATATTGTTCGTTTCTGTGGAATTATTTATCAAATATAAATTGGGTCATATTTGACAAACAGGAAGTGTTTTACGAATGGGACAAAATTGCCCATATCTCGGTTATTTGTCAACAGATCTTCGTTGGGTTTTCATTTTTGGATTCTTTTGTCTTATGACTTTGTACTTCAATGGCCTTTCACTATACATATTAGATTACCTCGGCCTATACTTACAACAAATATCAGAAAGTTTGACCTTGAAGTATAACTACCAATTTTGTTAAGAGCTCAAAATGGCAGGTTTTTCCACGTTAATTAGATGATATAATACTCAATAGTTCATGGCGTATATAGATAGTGAACATAACCTGACGTGACTTTGTCGATAGCACTTATATATACAGAATATATATACTAATCTAGGTAATATTTTTTTTTAAAACCATTGCAGGTAGAAATTATTAATGCAAGGGAGCTAACTACTTTTTATAGTTCCGAGTTCTGAGCAGAGCTGTTTCCTATGTATATGGTACAGAATAAAATCTCTACGCCACGCTTGATAAAGGCTATTAAAGTCTTGAAAATAAAAGTGAAATGATGATGCCACATGATGCATTTAGCCGAACCACGTCAGTACTCTTTCGGAGTTCTACTGTTCTAGTTTAGTCTTGGTTTTTCAAATTAATGGGCAAAAGTGATAATTGATAAAACAAATTGTCCTACTGCTTTAAGTTCGGTCATGACTGCTAACATGTGTGTCCAGTTTTGTTGGTTATTGTATTAAAATGATTGATCATTTTATATTTGTAGCTGACAAGAAGCTAAAAGCTTTAATGGATGATTTGGAATGGACAGAGAAAAAGCTGCTAAGAGCTACAGCTGAAATGAAAAAAATGACAAAAAGTGAGACTCCAGATCACTTCAAAGGAGATGAAAAATTTAAGATTCGTCAAAGATTAGCACGTAAAATGTCTAATGTAAGTATGACAAGAACGATTCTGTCATCTTGGTGTAACCATGGTTCAGATGAATTTATATAAGTTAAGTCTGACTTGTTTTCAAATCCCATAATTATATATTGTACATTATAATAATATGTAAATATTTACTGAATAGATAGTGTTAGAAAAGAAAAAAAACATGATTCAACACAAAACAGTATTGAGGATTAGCATTTCTTATTTGAGTTAACATATAGTCATCCAGAAATCAAAAGCTATTGTGCTGGGAATATTTGACTGAACTCCATTTGAAAGAGTCCTTCATCAATTTTTTACAGAAATATTTCCCATAAAAACTTGTAATCATTCAAAATGTTTATAAGTGAGTTACCACCCATGTGATCGAAACCTTTTTTATAACAAAAGATAAGGGTTCTGAGATTATTTTTCAAATTTGCTGGGATTTTGCTGGAATTAGGTATTTAAAATCTTTAAATGGGTACACCTCTATGAAAAAAACTTAAACTACTAACTTGTGCTAGGTGAATGTTCTGTTGCCTTGCAATCCATGTTTTTTTGGTTTTTTTGTATAGGTGACAAAATTACGAGATATGGCAACGCAAGTTGAATCAGAAATCGACAGGAAACAGCAAAAAATTCAGGAAGATAAAAAACAGCTAGGGAAGATAATGGAAGAACTTGGGAAACAGCCTAAAGAAAATAATCAGAATTATGTAAGTGTTATATATTCTGAAAGTATATTACAGCACTATATATTAGCTACAGCTTTTAACAGTTTGGTGTGTGAACGTAATAAAGGCTACATTTTTTGATGACTTTTTTTCAAATTTGCTAATTACTCGGATTATGAACCACATGGCCGATTCTCACTTAGGTATGACTGTTATTGTAGCCGACAAACAAGTTGATTGACTACTTAATTAACAAGTAATAATTAACCCGTTGTAATTTAGCCGAAAGTAGATTGATTTATGATACCATAGTGGCTGGTTCATTGTTTTACCAATCGGCTTGATTGAACAAACTCATTTCACAAGGTTTTGCTGTTGAAATGTCGTTTATTACCTCTACTTTCGATCCAAGGGGGAGGGATTATCGATATATTATGTCTCTTTTTAGCATACACTAATAGAATTTAAAAAAAAACTCTTTTTTTTTTTTGAATTTCCATGAATACCCGACTAACCACAGTCTGTAGCTAAAAATTGTCCTGTATCTTTTTTGGAATTGCAATCAGCATTGTTCGTGCCAAATTTGATGAAAATCCATGCAGACATATCTGAGAAAATTTGACTTTTGTTGTCATCAGCACCCTTTCACTGAGAAGTAGCAATAGTGTTTTTTGTATGGTCCATGGTTATAGTAGTCAACGTATCGATGAAACCATTCACTAAAAACAGAGTTCTGGCTAGCCACATCAAAGAATTTAGGCACATAAGTATGAAAAATACAAATGACTAGCCACACAAATAGCCATTTGTAAACACGTACGGACACACAGACGGAGAGGGGTGATGAAATAATACGTCCATATGACAATGTGCGCGTATAAAAATAAAATTAGTGAATATAATCCTTGAGCGGCAGTTAGCGATGGAGCACAAAAAAAAACAAAACACAATTTATAACGAAAAGGAATCACTGGTTGTACACATATAACACAACATTTCAACAAGTATACTCTTATCATGTGCTTGGTAAGATAAAAGAATACTTGTTGGAACTTTGTGAAATTTATTATAAGATTATAAGGGAAGAAAAGAACATTTTCCCTTATGCTTTGACCTTTAGATTTGAAATTTTAACTTTAAGACCTATTTATCAACTAATATAAAAAGAAGATCATTTATTCTATTTATTATTATTATTACTGGATATGATGAGTTACAGTATTATTAGATAGATATATTTTATTTTTATTATTATTTTTACAGACGCATGATGTGTTAGTAACACAGTGTTATAGTATTTAGATAGATATAACACATTTCTAATTATATTTACAAATATGATAAGTTACAGCATTTAAATATTATATTTGTTATTGATGGGTTACACTTACAGTTATATTATATTTGTTATTATAATTAGACATAATGAGTTACAGTATTATGTATTTCTAACTCTGTTACTTTTTGACCATTTAAGGAAAGAAAGCAGGCACTAAAGGTTGACAAAGAACAGCAAATAAATGAATCTAATGAAGTCTACAAGAATCTGAAAGTTGAGTTAGAAGATATGATGGATAATATAGATAGAGAAACAGAAGAAATAAAAAAATTAGAACAACAACTTAGAGAAGGTAGGCCTAAACTATACAGTTCTAACAAACTTCTATATTTTGTTTACTCAGCAGAGGAACGTAAGTCCCGTTTTAATCAATTTATTTTTCTGAATAAATTTGTTGTTATACTTAATTAATATAATTACCATGTATCTTTTTACATTTTTTAAATGAAATCTACATTTTCGAACTGGTTATAAAAGTATTTGTTGAACATTTAAAATTTGTAATCATTAGATAAGAAATTGATAATCAGTGTATTATCACAAGGGTGTGTCTTACATATTCAATTTTAAGAAAGATAGAATTACAGTCTACTATTATATCAAATTCCAACTGTCAAGGGTTCTTTTATGTGCATGCCAATGTACACAGAAATGATTTTTCATCCCATCTGAACGACTATACATTGTCCGTTGCCAGGCCCTTAGTTTTGCATCCCTGACAAAGGGGAACCATCCCGGAAAATCCTGATAAACTTTCTCAGTCAATACAGGGATAAAACATGTGACCTCCAGGTTAGCGAGCCAATGTCTTACTTATTGACTCCTGCTTGTACAACCCCCTCTTCCTCCATTGAAACAAATAGATAATTATTAACACACAGTATGAAAAATATAGAATATATATAGGAATAACTATAATTAATTTGTTTTTTTTAAAGCACCATAGATAGAATATCGGAAAAATATTTGGTAAACCATACAATAATAAAATTGTTTTGTGCAATATTTTTAGATCAGATTGAGAATAATGAAGAAATGAGACAGGAATTAGATGATGTTGTTAATGGTTTACAGGATTATATACAGAACATACAGGATCAAACTGAACTACAGAAAAAACAGTGTGATGATGTCACAAGAGAAAAAAATAATTTACAAGACAAAGTGAAACGATTGGAACAGGAATTAAGAATGTTAAACATACCAGACACTTCGCAAAAACACATGGTAAGTTCTATTGGAAAAGATATACACTGGGATTTGACTATAACAAAACTAATGTTTGGGTTCACTGACAGCACCTGTATTATAGCCATTCACATACTGATAAAGGGTGTCTTTGGTTGGGTTTCACTATAACCCTGATATTGGGGTTTTCTTACAACAGCCAATTCAACCCACCATATATTAGATTGAACGCTATTACCATATCGATTAGTGTATAAGACTGGGATTTACTATAGCCTTGATGTTTTTATTTGTTTTGTTTTCAACTGACTACACTAGTGTAGCTAGTCTTCCATATACAAGAAATTACCCACATCATTGTTGGCAACCATTTTGATTCCCCTGCACCGCAAAATGTGATCTCATAGTCCCAATTTACATGTACATGTTGGGTAATATTGGCACTATTTCTTCACCTACTTGAATGCAGTTATCTTTTATTCTGTTTTTCCATGACACTTTCATTAAAGATGCATTATGTAAGAGCTAAATCTGCGTATTGCAGGTCTTTTTTTTTTACTTCAAATTCAGATGTTATATGAATTATTGATTAAGTATTTATTCACATGCCAAAACCATAATCAACTCTCTAGAACTTCAGATGGTCCTGATTTTCAATAGATTAAAACACAACCACCATTTAATAATTTAATGGAAAAATGGATAATTGAGACTTGGTTTATTATCGTATTCACTGGTATTTGACAATCAAGGCTATCTTGTTAAACCTTCAAACATTCATAACTTCGCTCAGAATAAAGTAATTTGACTGAAAGTTTTAATTTATTCATTTTTATTATCTATTTTTGGACTATTATAGGTACAACGGCTAGCTCTTTACCTAAATCTTACATAATGCATCTTTAAAAGATCTTTTAACCTTTTATGTTGTTATTATTTCAGAATGAAGGAAGGTTAAATGAAAGTTTAGAAGTTAGAAGGCTAAATGATGAAATAAAACGACTTCAAAATACTTTAAAGGAAGAAAAGAGGAAGTGCCTAGAGGTGGTATATTTTAGGATATTTTGGTGATGAAGAGGTTGGGGTGGGGGGGGTAATGCACTTTATATGACTTATCGTTTTTTATACGCCAACATTTTCATGTGGACCTCTAGAGGGCACAATTTTTATCCAATATAAAAAAACATTTTAGTATATCACCGTTACACCCTAATGAAATGGAATGAAATGAAATTGGGTTTAATGTCCTACTTTTCTGCTCCGAACTGGGCTAATGAAGACGGGCATACGCCATACAGTGTGCTATGAGGGAATTAGGCCCTATGCGGCACTATGGCCTACTCTTATATCGAATTCCAACTGTCAAGGGATCTTTTACGTGCACGCCAATGTGTACAAGGGACCTCGGTTTTCCATCCCATCCGAACGACTAGACAGCTGTCCTTGTCAGGCCCCCTGTCCTGCATCACTGACAAGGGGAACCACGCCGTAAAATCTGGATGAACCTTCTCAGCGAATGCAGGGATCGAACACCTAATGATGCTTGAGGTCGAATTTCATGAAAATCGGACTAAAACTGTCGGACAAAATGGCCGTTCTTTGTGCGCAAATTGTGTATAAGTATGTAATGCAAAGGTTATGGACCCTCTAGAGGTTACAATTTTGATGAAACTTAAAACATATCTTTATATTCCAAAAATCTGAGTTCCTTTTGATATTTGTACATTTCAGACCATAACTTTCTGGATTATGGCCTATGATTGTACAAAAAATCGTTTTTGTTTTTAGCTTGTTTTCTGTCCATCTCTTGCAAAATTTGGGTGTATCCTGCCTGGCAGCCACTGATGGTGAAATCAAGTGGGTTAATAATCTTTTTTTTTTTGTTAATATTATATACCTTTTAATATATACAAATTCTAGGCTGACCAGTTAGTAATGGCATTACAAAATCAAACAAACAGAAAAGAAAAAGTATTATCCAATAAAATAGGAACTCAGACCAGTCCACAGGTGAGGTTTAGTTTTTAGTTAAAAAATTATAAGATATGGAAGTTGTTATTTTGGGGACATTTAAAGCTCGGGCAGTCCTATTATTTATAGTAAGTACTACTACAGGCATGATTGTTTTCCAAATATCCCCAGTCATTTCCCATTTTTCTCAAATCTGGTTTCACATGTTTGTTCAGATATTTTTCCACTTTATTCATGCTTCTTGTTTCAAAATTAGAAGCGTAATTTTGAGAGCACACTAATGTTATCAAAAATCATTAATAATTCTCCCGACAATGTCAGCGATATAAACATAAATAGTACCATTGTGACACAAGATGGCCATGTGTACAAAATCTTTTTGATTTCTACGGTATGGCTAAAGTTAGTCATAGATTAAGACTTTGACATGAAAATCTTAAACCCTCAAACTTTTTTTTATTCCATTTTTTTTTTAAAAGGCTGAAGTCATATCTGGTACCATTCGACAAACATTTGTTTTCAGTTCCATTTTCACAAGTTTCGTATTTTTCTGATTAAATGTTTCTGAGAATTCCAGTTTCCTGAAATCGATTAAATGTTAAGTTCTGGAATTATGACATAGCATTATTTGTATTTGTATTTTTAGAATGAAAGAAGATTAGATAATAGTTGGGAAGTTAAAAGACTAAATGATGAAGTTAGGCGACTTCAAGATAGTTTAAAAGAAGAAGAAAGAAAAAACATAGAGGTATAGGTTCCAAGTCGACCATATAGTCCGGTCGTAAACGGTGGTGTTAAAAGTTGACCGAAATGTTAACCATTTTTCACTCATGGCTACAATTAACCTGCGCCTGTTGGAAACATTCGTTGTGCATGCCGATTGAACCTGAATAACCTATAAGTTTGGTCACCCTACAGATGTCTTCGAACTGTGTGACGATGCTCGATTCACAGTTCGGAACGTCCCAAATTGACAGAATTGCAATCGAGTGACGCGGAAGTCAGTCCTGTCACAGTTCTGTTAGTCCCGACGACGGAGGTGGTGTGAGTAGAATTGTGACATAATTAAACACGACGAACAGGTTTCAGCTGCGTGGTTGGATGAGATATTTATATATCCAGTCGACGCATGCGTTGTAGCCCGATGTACCCATTTTCACTCGATTGTCAATATTTTTGGGATTGAGAGAATTCAATTCCGGAACGTTCAATCGAGTGCGCCCAATTATCAATGAACACGTGATAGCAAAGACAAGAGTGTGATCAACTTAAGACGGCGAAGAAGACAAATTAACGACAGATTTGACCTATTCAAAATGCCTACGCATGTTAAATAAAATAAAAAGTAATGTAATAAAATTTTGAATGTACAGAAAGGTTTATCATTTTTAAAGGGAATAACATTCTGGTGATTCGAAGTTCTATTTTCGAAGCTACATTATAAGTTCCAATTTTTCCGGTTTTGAGAAAACTGGGTATTCCGACACTCTGTGTAATCCAACATATTGTAACGATCCCATACGATGTCGGATGTGACAGAGTGCACTGTATATTGATCTCTATTTCAAAGTTATATAATCATAATTATAATGAAAGCTATTTAAATAGTTGACAGGCAATATTTTGATAATAAATAAGATGTTATTTCATAGATTCTTAGTTTAATATAGAAATTTTGATGTACACCTATAATGGGAAGTGGTGTTTAGACATGTGAATTCTCGATTACCGTACCATAAACAGATACATGAAAAATGAATGTACTGCACAAAGTTTCCGATAGTCAAAATTTTGAATTGGAAGCCTTGCATAACGATTATGCATTAGACATTTACAGTAAAGATGTTAAATTTTCTATAATCTAACATCTGTATATTTTTGGTCAAGTTAAATGTGTATGGTTATGTTTCACAAAATGATAATTTCAGGCTGATCGGTTGGTAATGGCTTTAAAAAATCAAACAAAGAAGAAAGAAAATGTATTGTTAAAAAAGACAGGAACTCAAACTGATGAACGGGTGAGATTTTAAATTTGTTGGTTTGGTTTTGAGATGCCTAATGTATATTTTTTGTTCAAATTTACATCCATCATTGTTACGCCTCACCTGGCCTCACTGGCTGTCATTATTATTTTCCAGAAGTTTGTTTAATTAAATATTAAGGTATTTGATTGAAATTTGGTACACTGCAGAGGCAGGCTACAGATCAAGTTCTTGTTTGTGGGATTCCATCAATTTTTCACTGAATTATGACCCATTGTTGACTTAAATGTACAATAAATGAAAGTTCTGTTTTCCAGAAATAGTTTAGGTTAAACTTTGAGGTATTTTATTGAAATTTAGTACACTGTTTTACATAGCTTTGTTGCAGTCCTATTAAAGTGAAAATTCAGTTTTATAGAATTTATTCCATCTAGACGTATTTGGATTATATATTCAGAGACATGTATAGATGCATATATTGTACAATTTGTTAGGGGCCGGTAAGGGACATGTATTGCTTCAGCAAATATTAAATGCTTGTTCACAATTGTCTGTTTTTCAATGCCACATTTTGCAGATTATAAATATTAATGTAAATTAAGATAATATTGTCAGTCATCAAAGTTGATAACAGAACATACAACCAATACATCCAATGCACAATGCAGAATTAAGATATATATTGATCACTGCACAACACTATTGAACAGGTGTAACACTATTGGTGTACAACAGAAGATCAGTTTTTCGTAAATATAGGATTTATTTATATAGGGAACAAAGTAACAAAATCAATCAGGATTAACCAGAGCTCTAATGTTACATCAGAACGGTCGAAATGTACCACTCTCAATTGACTAGTACATAACAGAATATTGCAGAGAAACTAATTGTGTGATAGCAACAATGTAAAAATTTTCATGTGGACATATTTTGCCGTTGCCCATGTCCGTCCGTCCACAATTTATTTGTGGATACTCTACAGGTCACAATTTTTTTCCAATTTTGATGAAACTTGAAATATAGGTCTATCTCCCAAATATCTTGGTTCCTTTGAATATTGGCATGTATCCACCATAACTTCATGGATTATGGCCCTTGATTGTACGAAAATCACGTTTTTAGCTTGTGGACACTCAAGGTCACAATTTTATAACCCAAAGATCTTGGTTCCTTTCGATATTTGGGCATATTGGATCGTAACGTCCTGAATTATGGCCCTTGATTGAACGAAAAATTATGTTTTTATACACCCCACATTTTTATGTGGACGTATATTGTCATCACCCCTGTCCACAATTTGTTTGTGGCCACTCTACATTTTACAATTTTGATTACATTTTGACGAAACTTAAAATATAGGTCTATCTCTCAAATATCTTGTTTCCTTTCGGTATTGGCATATATCAGACCATAACTTCATGGATTATGGCTCCTGATTGTACGAAAAATCACGTTTTTAGCTTCTGGACACACTAGAGGTCACAACTTTCATCTGATTTTAATGAAACTTGAAATGCATGTTTATAACCCAAAGATCTTGGATCCTTTCGATATTTGCGCATATCGGATCGTAAATTCCTGAATTATGACCCTTGATTGTATGAAAAATCACGTTTTTAGCTGTGGTTCCTCTAGAGGTCACTATTATCCGATTAAAAAAAAAACGTTTGAATATATCACCATTACACTGTAATAATGCTTGAGTTCGAATTTCGTGAAAATCGGACCAAAACTGCTGGACAAAATGGCCGTACCTCATACGCGATTGGTGTAAAATTATGGTATATCATGTTGTAGACACTCTAGAGGTCATAATTTTGATCCAATTTTGAAATACATGTTTATAACCCAAAGATCTTGGTTGCTTTCGATATTGGCATGTATCAGACCGAAACTTCCTGAATTATGGCCCTTAATTGTATGAAAAATCACGTTTTTAGCTTGTGGTCACTCTAAAGGTAACATTTTTTATCCGATTTAAAAAAACAACCTTTGAATATATCACCGTTACCCCCTAATGATGGTTGAGTTCGAATTTCGTGAAAATCGGACCAAAACTGATGGACAAAATGGCCGCCCCTCGTTTGCAAATGATATAAATATATTGTATATCAAGGTTGTGGACCCTCTATAGGCCACAATTTTTATCTGATTTTGATAAAACTTAAAAAATGCATGTTTATAACCCAAAGATCATGGTTCCTTTTGATATTCACGCATATCGGATCATAACTTCCTGAATTATGGCCCTTGATTGTACGAAAAATCACGTTTTTAGATTTTGTTCTCTCTAGAGGTTACAATTTTTATCCGATTTAAAAAGGAACATTTGAATATATCACTGTTACTCCCTAATGATGGTAGAGTTCGAATTTCGTGAAAATCGGACCAAAACTGCCAGACAAAATGGCCACTCCTCATACGCAGATGTATTTATGGTATATCAAGGTTGTGGACACTCTGCTAGCAGTTTTGATCCAATTTTAATGAAACTTGAAATATATATTTTATAACCCAAAGATCTTGGTTCCTTTTCATATTTGCGCATATCGGATCGTAACTTCCTGAATTATGACCCTTGATTGTACGGAAAATCGCGTTTTTAGCTGGTGGTCCCTCTAGTGGTCACAATTTTTATTCGATTGAAAAAAATGTTTGAATATATCACTGTTACACCCTAATGACGGCCAAGTTTGAATATATCAAGGTTGTGGACCCTCTAGGAGTCACAATTTTGATCCGATTTTGATGAAACTTGAAATATATCTTTATAACCCAAAGATCTTGGTTTCTGTCGATATTCGTGCATATCAGATCGTAACTTCCTGAATTATGGCCCTTGATTGTACGAAAAATCGTTTTTTGTTTTGCTTGTTCTCTATCTATCTCTTGCAAAAGGTAGGCAGCAATAATTGGTACACAGTTATAGAATTTATATTGGAGATTTGAGTAAAAGAATTTTCGTTCCAATAATGAGTTTCAGCTATGGCCAAATTTTCCTACATGTATATGCGAGAATCAATGTTTGTTCCCGATGCATCCAAGGGTAAAGTTTTTCTTGAAATCAGCACTAACAAACACTAGGATATTTTTTAAAGAGATTACCCTCGCTGGTTAAGTCATGAAAATTCCCTATATTTTACTCGGGAGAGATTTGATCGGAGGATGAGACTGGAAAGCTCCGTCAAAGACTCAAGTTTACAGTCTCAGTACAGCAATAGAGAAGGATTTCTCGGGCCATTGCTTTAGGAATATGCGTTATATATAGAGTTTATATACCAAAAGCTATCATATGAATTTATCTGACTGGCATAGATGTTACACAGGTTTTATCTACATACTATTAGTGTATGTAGGATTTATTTGCATCGGGAAAAGAATAGGAAACAGTAGTATAAATACAACAGGAACATAAATCAAACAGGAACTTCAATAACATAAACACGGTACATCACTAGTTTAATACAATCATTCCGCTCCCCGCCCCCTTCGTGTCACTTCTACTGAAAACACAGGGTCTTATATACCTTCAAACAGGTGAGAAAATGGATACTAACATCTTATAAGGAACTGGGTCTAAACACACAAGGTCATCATATGAATTTAGCTGACTGGCATAAATGTACACAGATCATAGCAACATTGTCAATAACATGTGAGATTAATTAAGTCTGTAATTAAAACACAACGAATACATGCTTATGATGAGGTTTCTAGCATTTTGTCACACGCGGTCTTAGAGACCATGTGTTGTGTATAAATAATTTTATATAATAAATTCGGTTTATCACTATCTGTGCTATTTTTAGAATGAAAGAAGATTAGATGACAGTAGAGAAATAAAGAGATTAAACGATAAAGTTAAACAACTTCAAAATAATTTGAAAGAAGCGGAGCAGAAACATAAAGAGGTAAGAGTGATAAGCATTATTCAAGAAGTAATGGTGTCCCACCCCAAGACAACATCCTCATTTTTTTCTAACATAAAATGATATCTAAACAATTATACATTGATGATTATACCACCATATTCATATGGGTCATTCCACGTCATTTTGACCAGCGGGGGAACCCACCGAAAGTGATTTTGCTCATAATTGTTTCATTGAAGTGTTGATTATGAAACCTCTTGATCCAAAATGTTGAAGATTTTGTAGACATTTTTCTGAGGTGAGGTGTTTCTAAACCGCTGTGCCCAAATAAATTATTTTTAATTCGAAAACTAGAAAAAACACCCCCTTGAATTTTCGATATGTTATAGTACACCTACTCATTAACCAGCAATAAAAATTTCAGTCGAATCTATTCAATTTTTATATGCCCACATTTTCATGTGGACGTATGTTGTCGTCGCCCCTGTCTGTCCGGACGTCCATACATCCGTCCACAATTGTTTGTTGACACTCTACAGGTCACAATTCTTATCCGATTTTGACTAAACTTGAAATATAGGTTTATCTCCAAAAGATCTTGGTTGCTTTCGATATTGGCATGTATCAGACCGAAACTTCATGGATTATGACCAATGATTGTACGAAAAATCCCATTTTTAGCTTGTGGACCCTATTTGATCTGATTTTGTTGAAACTTGAAATGTAAGTTTATAACCCTACAATCTCGGTTACTTTTGATATTCGAGCATATCGGATCATAACTTCCTGAATTATGGCCCTTGATTGTACGAAAAATCGCTTTTTGTTTAGCTTGTTCTCTATTCATCTCTTGCAAAATGTGGGCGTATCCTGCCTGGCAGCCGCTGGTTGTTTCCTTTAAAAGATAGCTTTAAAAAAAAGATATTTCCGTGCATGCGCACTCAACAATACATTCGAGCGCTGATTTGAGACCAGATATGGAATCGGCGTATAGGTTTACATATAACTACCAAATTTCAGCTTGGAAATTATTGATTTTTTTTTTCATTTTAGGTTATACAAAACATTACAGAAAGTTAGGACAAATCTTAATTCGGCAGTTAGTCAATTCACCATATGTTTTAAGATTGAAAAATTCGACTATGCTATTTTTGTCTACCTCTGTAGGTCATCATAGCCATTGAAATGTAAATTTTTCTGATGGTGGACCTAAAAAAACACCTGTCGTTTCTGCGTGTACATCATTTTTTCTGGAAATGCCCTAAAAATAGGTTCCCGCTTTCCCACCACAATAGGTGAAAGTTAAGATTGCTCGTTTTAGGTAAATTGAGATATTTTTTTGTAATTCTAGAATGAAAGAAGGTTAAATGACAGTTCAGAAGTAAAAAGATTAAATAATGAAATCAGACAACTTCAAAATGATTTAAATAAAGAAGAAAGGAAACAAAGACAAGTAAGCTATAGTTAAAAAATCGAAATTCGAGTAGACCAGAGCATCGCTGCTGTTCATGCAATAGTTCTCTCATCATAGCATGCTAGTTGGCATATGCCCATCTTCATTTCCCAATTGTTGTAGAAATGTCAGATATTAAACCCCATACCATTTATAAAGTTTCAAGTATGATTTGTTTTTGAATTTGTTAAATGAATTTCATTTTTACACAGGTGCAAGCCAATAGTTGTACATTATTATATTGAAACTATACCCAAAACTCCTTTCAAAATTTTTTTTATTTTTTTATTCAGAATATATCTGCATCAGGAAAAATACGTGCATCTTGCTCTGAGAGTAGTGAGAAAAGTTCTTTATATTCTGATGAGAAAGAATTATATGAAGAACTACAGAGAGAATTGATGGAGCTAAAGAGATTTATGAGAAATAAGATGCAAGAAGATGAAAGACATGTAAGAACAATCAAGTTCATTCTAAATTGAGTCAAATTAACTGATGTTCTATTCTTTATACATACTCAATTGATATTGATCTGTTTTGCCACCCTGTATGTCAGAATATTTGTCAGCCCTGTATGTTGGAACATTTGTCTGAAATTCTTGTTAACACACAATACAAAATATAGGCTTAGGTCAGAAATGTGTTAAGAAAATATTTGAATTCTTAAACATACATTATGCAAGAGTTAAATCTGCCTACTGCAGGTCTTTCTTTAGACCAGAAATGTTATATAAACTATTAATTAGACATTTATTAGCATGAAAAGACCTTAACCAACTCTCGATGCCATCTTATATGGTGGAGTTTCACTGGATTTGAATCCTATTTGCTGCTCAAATCTCATTGATGAAAAGACCTTAACCAACTCTCGATGCCATCTTATATGGTGGATTTTCACTGGATTTGAATCCTATTTGCTGCTCAAATCTCATTGATGATTAAATCCAAAATGGATAATAGAGACTATGTTTTTTATCGTACTGACTGTAGGAATAATGATCAAGGCTAGGCCTAAAGTTCAATCGCTAATATCTCGGTTCAGAGTGGAGCCATTTGACTGAAATTTTTAGCATATTCCCTTTACATTATCTAGTTAATCATTATAGTGAGAACTGATCAAGGCTAGGCCTGAAATTCAATCGCTAATATTTCGGTTCAGAGTGGAGCAATTTGACTGAAATTTTTAGCATATTCCCTTTACATTACCTAGTTAACCATTATAATGAGAACTGCCAGCTCTTTATCTAATCTTCCATAATGCCCCTTTAAGGGGATAAACATATTAATTTTTTTAAAGAACAAAAATAAATGAATTCTTAAAGAACAAAAATAAATGAATTCTTAATTCTGTAAGAATGAAATTATATGAATTGAAATGAATTTAATGTATATCTTGTAGAAAATCAATAATCAGTAGGCCTGGATATAACAGATACTAATCAACTAGTTCCTGAAATTTCAACTAAGTGTCAGACATGTATTAAAAATATCAATAAAAACGCAGAAAAAAAGACAAATTTGTGTCGGATAAAAAGACCAGTGCCACAGGGATTCATATAACAATGTCTGAATTTGTGCCTGACAATTTCTGAATTTGTTCCTGACAATGTCTGTGACAGGTGCCTTATATCCAGGCTTGATAATCAATTTGATTTTGATAATATTTGTAAGTTTTAGACTGAACAAAGTAAATAACCCAGGGGCATTTTTATACACCCACTTTTTCATGTTTGACATATTATGTCGTAGCCCCTGTCGGTCTGTGTGTCTGGACATCTGTTGACACTTGTTTGTGGACCCTCTACAGGTCACAGTTTTTATCCGATTTCAAAGAAACTTGAAGTATAGGATCTCGAATGGGTTCAGGATATTGATCCATAACATCATGGATTATTGCCTGTGATTGTACAGAAAATCAGGTGTTTAGCTTGTGAACCCACTAAGAGTCAGAATTTTAATCTGATTTTGACAAAACTTTAAATATATCCCAAAGATCTTAGATGAGATTATATTAGACAGTAATTTTCTAGATTCTTGACTCTGATTATACAATAGCTTGTGTACGATTCAAATATATCTGTGTTACACTAGAATCACGGCTACATTCTAACTTTAGGAAAATCGGAATGAAACTTCCCATCATATGGCTGCTCCCCTTTATGCACAATTGTTGTCCGATTTTGATGGAACTTAAAACGTGTTAAGAAGAATCAAAAGATATTGGATGGGTTCAATTTTGGTACACAATGGACCGTCCGTTCTGGAATTATGCCCCGTGCCTTTTACACAAAATGCAAAGGCCACAATTTTTGTCTGATTCAGAAACAGGTCAAGGAGAAAAAGATCTTGGGTGAGTTCACAGGTCTCTGTTCATAATTCAAAATCTAGGCCTTTTAATTCTCTTGTGTTAAAATTATGTATTTTAGTTAGCTGATATGGAAACTGAGGCTGCGAAATGGAGGTCCGAGGTACATGATAAAGAAGAAGAATTTAAAGCAGAAATAGAGAGACAAAGACAAGAAGCTGACTTACTATGGGTAAGTCTGATCAGCTTTTTGATGCTTTACACTGTTATCAAGATATTTAAAACAAAAAGTGAATTTATATCTATTGACATGTATAAATTAACTAACCTCATGATTTACACTGGGCTAGAGATAGTGCAAGAGACATAATATGGATAAAATTCCTTATACACTACTATTTGGAGTAACCCTACCATAATAACTGATGCTAAAAAATGTGTATATTATAGGAAAAACAAGAAGCAAGAATTCAAGTTATAGGAGATGATTTAAAGAATGCTGAAAGAGAGGCTGATCTATTACAGAAGATCCTGGACGCCAAAGATCAACATCTACAAAATGAAACACAAGAAGTGGATCTCTTTAATAAAGTTTCCAGTAAATATATATTCTTGTTGCCAAATTGATTGTATAATTTTATTATTTAACTAATTAAGAACAGTTATGAAAGTTTTCTCTTTAATATCTAATTAAAATGTTAAATAGATAATCTAAAAAATAATTTTTTTTAAATTTGACACCCATCTATATGTAAAGCATTACCCCATTAAACTCTTTTAACCTAATGATAAAAAAAAAACAATATTGTATAAATTTCTATTCAGCTAAACAAGAAGAAGAATTGGCTCGTCTTTATGATATATTAGAAAGTCAAAGAAATGAGATTGAAAAATTAAATGCATTGTTAGATAATTTAGCCCACAATGGTCCAGATAAAGGTATGTAAAGAGAATCTTGAAGTCAACCATTGGTTCCTCTAAATAAAGTATACTACAAATATTTTACTGATTAAGAAATTAATATTTTCAATAAAATGTTGCAAATATTGCAAATGGTAACAGTTAAATTTCTGAAACAGGATATTGTTTAATTTGAACATTTGAAATATTTTATAACTAAAAACATTTATATATGGCCACATTGAAATGTGTATATTGTCATCACCCCTGTCCATCTGTCGTCCAAAATTCCTTATGGATACTCTAGAGGTTAAAAATAATATCTGATTGATTTATACACAGTGTTCAAGGTCATGAGGCGAAGAATCCTATTGATTTTCAAAGTTTTCCAATAATTACTGCCAGAGTTATAGATTGCCTAAGTTATGGTCCTTGATCGCTTGTCATTTGATTGACTTTAAGGTCTTGAGACGAAGAATCCTAATGATTTTCAATGATTTCCGATAACATAACAGCTAAATTCATGATATTAAATGTTTTGTATACTAAACATTAGCATGGGGCAGAACTAAAACCCAAACAAATTCTAATGATAACTGAGTGATAATTATTTAATGGGTTGTTACTCTTAATTAAATTTTTAGTGTGTTGTAAATGTTTTCAATACAGAAAAAATAAAAAAGATACCTTATTCACTGACAATTTCAAAGTGGAAGTCCTGTCAGCAACCCTTGTTGACTTCCCGAAAGAATTAGCTGCTATGGGTTATGTTTATTGCCTGGCAACCTATCTTTAGGAAAATAGCTGACTGATATTTTAAGCATATATTTTGGATTGAAAGTTCTGTCAAATTATAGTCACGATAGCAACCTCTATTTAAAACATTATTTGAATCTTGAGTGTATTTGTTTTAATATATGTAATTTTTTTTTTAGTTGGACCTGGTTTTGATGAAAAATTATGGCAAGTCAGGCAACAGGTTAACGATTTAAAGGAAACTCTGGCAATGCAGTCAGCATACATACAGAACATGGAAAAAACTGAAAATGTAGAATCTGGCATCCAGACAGATTATATCCCGCAAAATTCAGGAGTATCAGTAAGCATTTGCATCACCAACAGTACTGAGACTCGGATTATAAAGAATAATAAACCTACATATTGAACAAGAATTTACATAGATTATTGAGCCCTATTGACATCAAATTTAATTTGTTTATAATTTTGATGAAAGGGTGTTTGTGTTGAATTTTCATAATTGTTGATACTTGTCATGAGTCTGACAATGAAATAAGATTAGATTGATACTTGTTTCTCAATAAACTTGATAATTATTTTTTTGTAACCATTCATATGGGTAATAATTGAATATATTGTATTTTTTTTTTTTAGTTACCCATGTACAGTAAACAGACATCGAGACCACAGGAGGAGAATCTGATAATCAATAATATACCAGGCGCAACATCATCTCCGAAACACATTCCATATATCTCTATGTCACAACCATTCTCTGATAATCAAACTTATTTACAATCTAATTCCCTTATACAACCTAAACAAATTATGTCTTCTTCCAAACCTTTCTCTCAACCACCAGTTTCACCTACAAGACATCGCTCACATCAAAAGGATATGTATTCACCTTTACACGAGCCACAATCAAATTCACCTTTAAATGAGCCACAATCAAATCTTTCTCATGCTCAGCCATTGTTACATCAACCAGTCTCATCTACTAGACATCATCCACATCAAAATAATGTACTTCAATCTGTATATGAGCCCCAATCAAACTTAGATGAGCCTGACCATACTAGTAAGAGATCGCCACTGAGACCTAGTCAAGAAACATTGTTACCCTCACAAGAAATAAAAAGGTCTCCAAACCGAGAATTATTCATAAACCCTATTCAACAACAGGCAATTAATAATGGGTTTATTAAACAAAATAAAGGTAGATCTATCAGAAAATTGAATTTTCCACCAGAAAAATCTGCTTCAACACCAATATTTAAGGTAATCAGGTTTCTTCTTATGTGGAGGGTGGATGGTCTAGTCGTATAACACATGCACGTGAAATCACAAGGTCTGTCATGGAGTCAAGTGGCATGGTTTAGATTCCCCGCTTGAACGTCAACAAGAGTAGGGTCACCTGTCCAACCCCGTCGGTTTTCTCCTGGTCGTCTGGTTTCCTCCCACTGCTAAAGACCCCTACGCCCTAATGAATTATTGAAATGAAATTGAACCATATGTTAGTCCTGAAATTACCTAGTTTGTGTCGAGTGAAGAGTGGATGTTAAACCCCATTTCTCTCAGTCTTCTGTATGTTAAATTCACTGTAATCCATCCTTCCAATGTGAAAGTCCAATTCACTTATAAAATATATGGCAGGTTATTAACTTGTAATCAGCTTATTCAGCAATTCCTTTAGTTATTAAATTGTCATAAAAGAAATCTTGGGTCATGTCATCCAATCTTCAGGTTACCTTTAAATCTAGATATTGAATTGTGGATTGTCCCAGACACATTAATGGGTTGTGTTGAATTATCTTTAAAAATATTTAAGTAATTATTTTGTTTTATTTAGAGTGTTAATGAATATCCAGTGACACAAAGAGAAGAAGAAACCAGAGAAGCAGCAATAAAACTAATGAATAGTAAACAAACTGTTATGATATAAAATCTGTACTTCACTCAGTCGTTACTGAATTCAGCCCAATTAGAGCCACTGAATATAGTTACCAGTACCCTGATTTTAGTTTCAATATATTTTTGAATCAGTAATAAAATAATACAGGTGTTCAATACTATATTAGATATCATACATTTAATATGAACTTTTTTTTAGATAATTTTTCTTTTGCTTTTCTTAATGTAGTTAAAGATCATGAGAACAGGCCACTTCAGTACATCAGCCAACCAAATCTTTCTACACAGTCTGCTTTTGAACGTGTTCATAGACCAGCACCATATAATCCTATACAGAATGTACTATCTCCTGGGGTAGAAACAAGTCATATGATACCACCTCCTTCACCACACACCCCATACTATCTTTCTCATCCATCTGCTAAATCCGTTTCTGGAAATCAAGAAAATATTGCTACTAATGATGACTATAGGCAATATGTTACACCTGCTGTAGCTGGCTACCCTATTAATCAGCCACTACAGTCACCACACCATTATGGATACCAGGTTCCTCGACCTCAAAACTATGTTTTACAACAAAGATCTCGACAAACAAATGCTTTTCACCCTATACCAAAGGATCAAGCAATAAATGAAAATTATAATCCTGAAATGCCCTATCCACACTATGTATCGGATAAAGTATATTATAGTCCTCAAGGTAATAATACTGTGTATGTCAGGCATAAAAATAGTGGTAGAAGAATAAAGAAAGATCATTATATGGAAGAATTAAGACCAATAGCTAGTGGTACACCTATAAAATATGGTCGACCCCATATTGTATATGAAGAAAGTTGGACAAATCCACCTAGTCCTATTCGTAAGTTTACGTTTATTTTATGTTTAAACATACATTATGCAAGAGCTAAATCTGTCTATTGCAGGTCTTTCTTTAGGCCTGAAATGTTATCTAAATTATTAATTAGACATTAATTAACCTATCCAGACCATAATCAACTCTAGATGGCATTGCTAGCCTGCGATCTTTAGTGGATTGTGAGCTGATTTACTGCATGACTTTCCTTTACAATTTAACGATTAAATGGATAATCGAGACTATGCTGTTTATTGTACTGACTTTAGTAATGATGATCGAGGCTAGGCGGAAATTTCAATCGCTTAGTTCTCGGTTCATAGTGGATCAATTTGAATTAAATTTTCAGCAAATTGCCTTTACATTATCTAGTTTTTAACTATTATATTGGAAACTGCCAACTCGTTATCAATCTCCCATAATGTATCTTTAAGCCCCTCTGGAACAAACTACCTCAAAATATTAGAGCTTGTTCATAGTTGAAATTATTTCAGAAAACATTGAAAACTCAGGGGCTTTTTCACGTTAATACATCATTCATTAAAGTTTATTTGTTTTATTTGTAAATTTAATTTTCTGTACCATATTTTGTAAAATGCATGTGAGCACTTATATGAGAGTATGTTGAATTCACTGTAATACATCCTTCCAATGTGAAAGTCCAATTCACTTATAAAATATATGGCAGGGGATTAACTTGTAATCATTAAACATGTGTGCTATAAAAATGTATAATAATTAAAATAATATAATGATAATATAATACTAATGATAATAATATTAATGCTTGAGTAAAACACAATTTTTGAGGTATGTGAACTTATAAAGTCAAAAAGTACACTGTATTTCAGATTTTTGATGTTCCTTTGTTTCCCATTTGACAATTCTTGATATAATGCACTCTTTGTGTCTTTCAACATTCTATATTCAGTCAAGAATGATTGAGTCTAACAGGGTTGTGTCCAAGAATTTAAGCAGAGGGGGATCCGGAGTTGACACATGGTCCAGTTAGGCGTAAGTCTGGGGGGATTACAAGAAAATTTTAAAAGTCAGAAGCTTTGGGATAATATTTCTGTTCATTTAGGTGCATACATGTATTGTTTTAGAGTAGTGTGAGTCCAAAATGGTTGCAATGCTTCACACATTTGTTTGTTCACCGTTATTGTGATGATTATAGGAGGAAAAAATATTCTCTGGACAAGCAGGGGAGGGCCCGGACACCCCCACCCCACTCCTTCTGGACACACGCCTGGACTAAATATATGCAATCTTCAGTCATTTCTTTTGAGTGTATTTTTTCCAGAAAGATTATCCCATTTTTCCACCTATTGTTAGTCTTTATGGTCTTATGTAATTGATGTCTGATTTGCCATTTGTAAAGAAAATATATATGGTAGATAGATATTAATGGTGGTAATGTTTTTTTACAGGTAAAGTAATAGATACTCGACCCCATGAAGAAGTTATTACTACAAGTTATGATGATGAGGATCATCTCTTCTGTAATGTATCAGAACATCATGAACTAGTAAGTTTATTAAATTTTGCAACAAGACTTAAAAGGACAAACAAAGCAGCAATTGTCAACATTATTTTAATATTTACACCCAGACTTATTGGGCTATTTTGAATTCCAGTTTGCCAAACCAAAATTCTAAGAAAACATGATTTTAGTCTTTAATTATTTTTACAGATAGTTAGCCAAAAATGCCTTTTTATTTGCCCACATTTTAATATGGTTGTATATTGTAATCACTGTTTCCGTCTGTCCATACTTTCTTGTCAGCTCTCTAGAGGCTACAATTTTTATTGGATTTTTATGCTCCCACATTTTCATGTGGACGTATATTGTCGTCGCCCCTCTCAGTGCGGACGTCCATCCATTCACAATTTGTGAATTACTTTGTCTTTTATTATATGCCACATTGTATATTACAATCACTCCTTTCCGGAATTTTTTGTGAACACTAAACCGACTTTATTACCAAATCTTTTTTAAATGTAGGCCGTATATGTATATTGTTAGCATATGCATTATTCAAATAGTGAAACAAAGAATCCTAATAAATTTCTGCAGTGCTTTAATTACCTGGAAAATTATGACCATTGTTTCACTTTGTATCAGCTCATCCAATCACTCCGCATGCAATTGGGGGGTTGGGTGGCCGAATGGTTAGCACGCTCGCGCTGTATCATAAGGCCTGTCATTGAGTCAACTGGCGTGGTTTCGAATCCCCGGTTGTACGTGACAAGGAGTAGGGTCACCTGTCCAACCTCGTTGGTTTTCTCAGGATCCTCCGGTTTCCTCCTACTGCTAAAGACCCCTACGCGCAAGCGTATTATTGAAATAAAATTAAACCATATGTTAGTCCCGAAATGACCTAGTTTGTGTTGAGTGGACGTTAAACCCCATTTCTCTCTCTCTCTCTCTCTCTCTCTCTCTCTCTGCATGCAATTGATAATCATTATTAGAATTAGTGAAACAGAAGCCTATTGAATTTCAACAATTTCCGTTAGTTACTTCTAAAATTATGGCCGTTGTTTCCCTTTGTAGAATCTTGGGGGGGTTGGATGGCCGAATGGTTAGCACGTGCATGCTGTATCATACGGCCTGTCATTGAGTCAACTGGCGTGGTTTGGAATCCCTGGTTGTACATGACAAGGAGTAGGGTCGCCTGTCCAACCTTGTGAGTTTTCTCTGGGTCCTCCGGTTTCCTCCCACTGCTAAAGACCCCTACGCGCAAGCGAATTATTGAAATAAAATTAAACCATATGTTAGTCCCGAAATGACCTAGTTTGTGTCGAGTGGACGTTAAACCCCATTTCTCTCTCTCTCTCTCTCTTGTAGAATCTTATGACAAAAGTTATCATCCAATCTGTCTGCAATTAGCACAACGCCCATTGATAATTAAATCAAAAAATGGATAATCGAGACTATGTTTTTTATCGTATCGACTTTAGTAATCAAGGATAGGCCAAAACTATTACATGTAGTGAGAACTGTCAGCTATTTATCTTATCTCCCATAATGTATCTTTAAAACATATTTTTATATCCCAGAGATCTTGGTTACTTTCGATATTGGCATGTATCAGACCATAACTTCATGGATTATTGCTCCCGATTGTACAAAAATCACGTTTTTAGCTTGTGGATCCTCTAGAGGTCACAATTTTTATTTGATTGAAAAAACTGTTCAAATATATCAGTTACTCGTCGAATACTCGATAATTACAGTTGAGTTTGACTTGCAAATCAAACTGAGACTGTCTGACGAAATAGACGCTGCCCTTTACGCAAATGGTGTGATGGCTATCCAAAATAGCTACAATGTAAACATTTGGTAATCACCGGGCACGTGGAATCTTTTTTTACGCCCACATTTTCATGTGGACATATTCTGCCGTCGCCCATGTCCATCAATCCATAATTTGTTTGTCGATACTCTACAGGTTACAAATTTTATCTGATTTTGACGAAACTTGAAATATAGGTCTATCTCCCAAAGATCCCGGTTCCTTTCGATATTGGCATGTATCAGACTGTAACTTAATGGATTATTGCCCCTGATTGTACGAAAAATCACGTTTTTAGCTTGTGGATCCTCTAGAGGTCACAATTTTTATTTGATTTTAAAAACTGTTCAAATATATCACAGTTAGTCGTCGAATACTCGATAATTACAGTCGAGTTTGAATTTTGTGAAAATCAAACTGAGACTGACGAAATAGACGCTCCCCTTGACGCAAATAGTATAATAATCATATAATATCAAGTTTGGGAACCTTCTAGAGGTTGAAGTTTGTAATCTGATTTTGATGAAACTTAAAATAAATGTTTATTATTTTTAAATCCCAAAGATCTTGGTTCCTTTCGATATTATGGCCCCTGATTGTATACAAAATTGCTTTATTTAGCTTGTTCTCTGTCCATCTAATGCAAATGTGGGCGTATTGTGCATGGAAAACCTCTTGTTCGAGACAAAGCTGCTGTGTGGGCATATTCCACACTTTGCAAGACAATCTTGTGTTTAATATATGAAAAATATTCAAAATGACTTTTGTTTTAGGAAGACATTCAGCATGACCTTGAAGACAGAATAAAATCCCTTAAAAAGAGGATAAAAAGTCTAAAAAATGAGGTAAAAATAAATCTGTAACATTCATCTGCACTATGTCAGTAATAAAAAGGTAGTGACAGCTGGTGATACACATATTATGTAATATTGGTTTAGATAACAAAAAGATCAACTTGGCTGCAACAAAAAGATCACTCTTACTCCCTACTTAAAGATGTACGTAGTCTAACTAACTACCCTTTACTATTTACCACATAGTGCCTTAATAAAAGTTTCCAAACACCACAAATTGATCTTGTAAATGAATTTCTAATGACTCAATGTATTTTGTATTTAAATTAATAATTAGGACATTTATAACACTTCCACCCCATGAAGATGCATACTCAAAGCTTTACACTGAAACATTTTTAAAAAAAAGGTTATTTCATTAAACATACATTATGCAAGAGCTAAATCTGCCTATTTCAGGTCTTTCTTTAGGCCTGAAATGTTATCTAAATTATCAATTAGACCTTAAGTAACTTATCCAGACCATAATCAACTCTTGATTATAGCCTGCGATATTTACTGGATTAGGATCCCATTTGCTGCCGAACTTTCATTCATGATTTAATCATGAAATGGATAATCGAGACTATGTTTTTTATCGTACCAACGTTAGTAATAATGATCGAGGCTAGTCCCAAACTTCAATCGCTAAAATCTTGGTTCAGAGTGGATCAATTTGACAGAAATTTTCAGCAAATTGCTTTCACATTATCTAGTTTTTAACTATTATAGTGAGAACTGTCAGCTCTTTATATAATCTCTCATGTCCAGAATGACGTCACATTCAGAATTACATTAAACTGTAATGACGTCCCCAGTAGGCAACCACAACTTTTGTAAAAGAAAAAGAAAGAAAAAAAGCCAGAACCTATGATGAATTTTAACATTTTTGGTGGTTTTTTTTTTTTTATAATCTGGTAGTACAGTGTATTTTGAGATTTCATGTAGTTACAGAATAAAAAACAGAAGTCAATGACCATTGAATAACCCAAGCAGTATTCAATGGTCAATGAGTTCTATCTATATATAATATAACATTATGTTTTGTTTAAAGGGTGTGAAAGAAAGGCAGTATTTTGAGGAAGATTATCATCTTATCCTTAGATTACGGAGAGCATTAGAGAAAAGTAGAGATGAACTCATAGATCTAGACAAGGCTATTGGAAAGAAAAGGCAAAACTTGAGAGAGATATGTAGAGAAGAAAGTCAATTGAAAGAAGATAGTGTATCTGCTAAAATAGAGCTGCAATCTCTGAAAAAGAATAATGATAGAATGTAAGGGGATATTTGATTGTTCCTGAATTGAATTGTCTGCATTGAAGGTTCTCAGTTGCGTAAATATCAAAAAATGTGTCAACTAAATGCATACTATCTCAAACAATCACCATAGTTTAAATGGTTGATTACATCACGCTTCAGCACACACCACATGAGTTTACCCCCCCCCCCCCCCGAAATATATTACTCATACAAACGATAAACACGGATGATGAGATCATTCAATAGCCATTTCTGTTCATAAACAATATAGGTATTTTATAGTGTTGTATGGCATCTGCTGTAATTTTCAGACTCAGATGTCATATAAATTTCATTACACTTTATATGTATCTTAATCATTAAAATTTAATGATTTTATAGTATCTGGTATTATTAAAGTATTAATTCTTTAGTGAAATTTCCACAAATAAACTAACACATTTTTTATATTCTATACTGCTACTTAATTAGTTCCAAGAATAGAAAAATAAAATTCAGAATATTATTTCAGCCTCGCTAAGGAGGAGGAAAAAGCTACAATGGATAGACTTCTTGCCAAGAAGTCTCAAGTTTACCTACAAGAGGAGATTAAGTGTTTGGAAAAAACCTTGATTAAACGTAAAAGTCAGCTACATGAAACGCAACAGTTGCTGAAAGAATATCAAACTGATTTATTACAAGCTAAGGAAAAGGTATAGTGTTTTGTAAATTTGGTAATATTTTATCACCAGTTGTATTTTTATACGCCCACATTTTCATATGGACATATATTGTCGTTGCCCCTGTCCATCCGTCTGTCTGTCTGTCCACAATCAGTTTGTGGACACTCTACAGGTCACAATTCTTATTCGATTTGACGAAACTTGAAGTATAGATTTATCTCCAAAAGATCTTGGTTCCTTTCGATATTGGCACAATTATTTTATCCGATTTAAAAAAACGTTTGATTATATCACTGTTACACACTAATGATGGATGAGTTCGAATTTCGTGAAACTGGGACCAAAACTGCAAGACAAAATGATTGCTCCACGTATGCAAATAGTGTAAATATATGGTATATCAAGGTTGTGGACCCTCTATATAAGTCGTCTAGAGGTCACAATTTTCATCCGATTTTGCGGAAACTTGAAATACATGTTCATAACCCAAAGATCTTGGTGCCTTTGACTATTATGGCACTTGATTGTTCAAAAAATCTCATTTTAGCTTGTTGATTCGTATCTAATGAAAATCTTAACAAAACTGCCGGACAAAATGGCTGCCTCTCGGACAAAATGGCTGCCTCTCGTACACAAATAGTGTGAATATATGGTATATCAAGGTTGTGGACAATTTTGATCCGATTTTGATGAAACTTGGTTCCTTACGATATTCGCGCATATTGGATAATAACACGTTAATAAAATTGAATTTGAACCATGTTAGTCCCGAAATGACCTAGTTTGTGTGGAGTAGATGTTAAAGGTTAAACCCACCTCTCTCTCTCTCTCTCTCTCTCTCTCAAAACTCAGGTATGACCTGTTGACTCCCCACGGATGATATGTGAACTTTCCTAATTGTAAAACAATGTTCTTTACAAAGTGCTTAAATGTCACATTCTCTCATTGTTTGACTGAGCACATCAAAGCTATTTAAATTATTATTATTATTACATTATATATTATTCCTATAGTCTGTTTTATTTTCTATAGCTTGCTGAAACCGATGAAACACGCAATAAAGTAGAAGATAATCTGAAAGATACAATAAAAGAAACTGATGAAATAGAAATAAGAGCTAATCAAGCTGGTGCAGAACTAGTAAAAATATTAGAACAACTCGCAGACACAAAGTTACAACTGCAAGATTGTAAACTACAAAGACAACATGAAGAACACACTCTTAAAGATATTAAAAAGGTATTATTTCAATGTTTTCAATCATTCCTTGTCTGAAAAGATAATAAATACCTACAAATATGGAACAGAGCTGGAGAGATGTTTGTAATGAACTCAATTTTGATACTACTGTGTCGGAAAAATCTGTAATGTAATCAGTACTGGTACATGTAAGCAAATTAAGACCATAAAATTATCTAAAGTGAGTCTAGATAGAGTGGCCCACAGCCTCAAATATTTGTGCTTTATAAACTGACCTGTTTTAACAGCCTGTTGCCACTCCGATGAAAACAGCATATATGAGAAAAGTTCAGTCATGGGTTCGCTGGTGCACTCCAGGCAGCAAACATTCAGCCAAAATAGACATTCACGTGACAATATTCATTCACTTGTTTATCAATGAAGCCATTAAAAATACTATTCTTTACAGGTTGGACTTTTAAAAGTATGTACTGTCTGAACCTTCGTAAATTTTAAATGGATTTCTTCGATTATGAACAAACTACTTGACTTTGGTTATTATAAACTTACCTGTGTGTTTGAAATTACCTCTGGTTAAATAAAATCCATTGTACAACTAAATATCCCAGCGAATAAAAAAGTTCTCTCTTGTAAAATTGAACTCCTCACAAACTTGTACATCGAAAAAAACAAAAATAGAAGCTAATTACGTCACTTATCGGGACAGATCATTTCGTATAAGGGGGTCTCAGCAAGGCTTGTTTATCATAACGGTGTTTGGCTCTTTTACGACAATTCAAATTTTGTGTATGAATAAGCTATTGCTCTCGGACCCAGTAATGAGTTTGGGCGTTTACAAACAAATACGCCCGTAGTCCGTTATTTTGTTTCCGTCTTGTATTAATTATTTGGTTAGAGAGTTGGGTGGGATTATTTCTTTTGAACACAGGTGCAGAACAAAAAGAACGACATTTCTTTAATATTTCCTGTCAATTAACCTCGGCAATCTGCTGGAGCCGGGGTAAATCTGTAAATGTCGATGTATTTTACATTTGCCTCTGCAAAATTAATGGCCGAGGCCATTGAATCATTGAATAGGTATATAACATTATTTTTTTATTTTATAAATACCAAAAATTGTTATCAACAACAAATCATACCGCACATAATTATCGGCAGATAGTTCCATGTCTTTCCATTTCTCTTCGAATATTATTTCCGTTGTGCAAAAACTGTTCAGAATTTTGCGTCTCGGTAACACAATTAATTTCTGAAAATCCCGGCTTCGTTTTGAAATTCACAGGGCAATGTATCGATATGAATGTAGTCTCAGTCTCAGTTATTAATTCTACAGGTCTGTATTAATCACAAGTACAACTCCATTTTGATATCCACAAAGAATGGAATTTTCTGATGGTATTTCGTAGATCGCGATCATGCCTCAGCCAATCCACGCTTTGAATTCTATTGTATGCTACACAGATGCAGTGAAAATGGTTAAATTTAGCGCGAAACTTGCCTGAGTTTTTCCCTGTTATTCTTTGCATGTGTCGTGTGCGCTGTTTTGAAGTGTATAATTTTTATATTTGTCTGTGATATTTATTGGAAACATAATAGGATTATCATAAAGAATATTGAACATCTACAATATGAGTACGGCAAGCACTCTCTGCATATTGCGTTTTTAAACCACAAAATTCCCTTTTATTAGAAAGCTTTAACTGTAGTCTAGTGCATGTAAAGTTTAAAAAAATCAGCCAAAAAGCTAACTGATAAAAATACACGACAGTGTTTTCTTATATTTGGAGTTGTTTATTTTCCTCTCTTTCTATAATGTGACCAAGAAACTTAACTCTCTGGACATAAAATCTACCGCTGTAACGCTGCATGGGGCGATCAACTTTTGAACAAGTTACACGAAACACATTCAAATTGTTATATCACACAAAAATCCAACTTAGAAATAGTTTAATTGTTCATGAATGATGTTTTTAATGGTAAGTCTATTCATATGTTAAAAAAAATAAGCCCCAAAATCGCTTCTGTATTGTATTTTTGTATGAATCACTCTACTTAAGATATTTTGATGTTTTAGGATAGTGTCTACAACATTGAGTAGTGTATTTATGTCCATATATTATTTTATATCAGATAATGAGTATTAAAGATGGGGAATATAAAGATCTTCAAACTAAAATTGAACATTCTACACAGGAGTAAGTAAACGCTGATTTCTATTAATCTGTAGTGATGTTTATATTAAAAGGACAGACTTCTTTGGCCAGTATTGTAAGAAGGATATTGTTCAACATTCAAAATTTAGCTCTGTAAAATGATAAACACTTCTAAATCATATTTAGTTGGCTATTATTTCTAATGGAATAAGAACATCAGATCAACCCAATTCAACAATTTATTTTGATCTCATCCATAGATTTTCTGCTATCTTATTTGTCAATTATTTTGGAAAATAACTGAACAGAGCTCGATTTGGCCATCAAGTGAATGTACATATTATCACATCATTTTATAGCCAAAAATCAAAGTAAAGCCAGTTTATTGAAAGTTAACTTTAATCAAATAGTCACTTCAAGTTGGCTTTTCAGATGGATGGTGTATTCCCCATTTGTTTTCAAATGTTGACTGTTATCTTCCAGATTCCATAAACTACAGACTGATCTGATAACTGCTACAGAACAGGAAAAAATTGTTGTAGATACATTAAAAGACAGTGATGATTTACTAACTAAACGAAGAATTGAATTATCCTGTATGAATGACCAGGTATTTAACCTCATTAATCCACGCATTTGGGTTCCCATTCATTTTGTCTTGATGGTTTGAATGTTTTCCTATAGAATAATAGATAAGTCATCCCCAACAAATGAAATCCATTATTTTGTCTTTTATTATATGGCAAATATTGCTGTCGCTTTTTTCCGGAATTTTTTGTGAACACTCTACAGACTATATTACTCAATCTTTTTTAAAAGTATATATATGTTGTTAGCATATGCATTATTCAAATAGTGAAACAAAGAATCCTAATCAATTTCAACAATTTGCTTTAATTACCTGGAAAATTATGACCATTGTTTCAATCAGTCTGCATGCAATTGATAATCATTATTAGAATTAGTGAAACAGAGAAGCCTGTTGAATTTCAACAATTTCCTTTAATTATTTTTAGAATTGATTATCCTTGTAAAAGTATTTATTACCAATGTCGTGTATACTCTAGAAGTCCCAATTTTTATCCGATTTTGATGAAACTTGAAATGTATGGTTATAATCCAAAAATCTTGGTTCCTTTCGATATTGGCACATATCGCACCGTAACTTCCTGGATTATGGCCCCTGATTATACGAAAGGTCACAATTTTTATCTGATTTTGAAAACGTTTAGATATATGTTTATATCTCAGAGATCCTGGTTCGTATCAGACTGTAATTTCCTAGATTACGGTATTGCTCCTGATTGTATAAAAAATCTCGTTTAATGCTTGAGGGTGTATCTATCATGGCAACCGCCTGTTTTTTTATTTCAGTTAGAAAGTCACAGGTGTGATGTTGAAAGTTTGAATCATGAGTTATGTAAAGTCAGCACAGAATTGAAATATATAGAAGATGAAAAAGATCGTAAACAATCAGAATTTACCAAAGTGTTAAAAGAAGCTGACATACAGTTAGCCAATAAACATATAGAAATCAGGGTGAGACTACACATTTATTGTTGTTACCCTTGTCCGTCCAGATGTCCATTCACATTTTGTTTGTTTACACTTTTTATCCTATTTTGACTAAACTTGAAACATAGGTTTATATGCAAAAGATCTTGGTTCCTTTTGATATTGGCATGTATCAGACCATAACTTCATGGATTATGGCCCCTGATTGTACAAAAATCACGTTTTTAGCTTATGGACACTTTAGAGTTCACAATTTTTATCCGATTTTGATGAAACTTAAAATGTATGTTAATAACCCAAAGGTCTTGGCTCCTTTCGATATTGGCACATATCGGACCGTAACTTCTGGACTATGGCCCCTGAATGTTAGACAAATCACATTTGCATGTGGACGTATATTATCATCGCCCCCTGTCCGTCTGTCCACAATTTTTAACTGATTTTGATGAAACTTGAAATATGGGTTTATCTCCCAAAGATCTTAGTTTCTTTCGATATTGGCATGTATCGGACCATAACTTCACATCCATTATGTACGAAAAATCATGTTTTTAGCTTGTGCACACTCTAGAGGATACAATTTTTATCCGCTTGATGAAATGTAAAATGTATGTTTATAACCCAAAGATCTCGCTTCCTTTTCGATATTACCGCATATCAGACCATTACTTCCTGGATTATGGCCCCTGATTGTAAGAACAATTACATTTTAGCTTGTGAACCCTCTGCTAGAAGTCACTATTTTTATCTGATTTAAAAAAACATTTAAAGATATTACTGTTACATCAATTACGGTTGAGTTTGCAGGCCCGGCGGTGTGGGGGGGCTAGGGGGGGTTTTAGCCCCCCCAATAATTTGTTCGCTAGTACTCTTTTCTCCAGGTTATTGCGACCCCTGGACCCACGTCTATAAGGACCTAGGATGAAAGCCCCCCCAATCAAGAATTGCTTCCGCCGGCCCTGGTTTGAATTTCATGAAAGTCAGATCAAAACTGCCTGACAAAATGGCCGCTCCCTTTTTGAAAATAGTGTAAAAGTATGTAATACCTCGGTTGTGGACCCGCTGTAGGTCACAATTTGTATCTGATTTTGATGAAACTTAAAATATATTTTTATATCCCAAATATCTCAATTTCTTTCTATATTACTATATTGGACCGTAACTTGATTGTACGAAAAATTGCGTTACTATTTTGGGTCGTAACTTGATTGTACGAAAAATTGCGTTTTAGCTTATAGACCCCTACAGATTTGATTTGATTTTAAAAAAACGTTCATATATATCACCGTTACACCATAATACCTTGGTATTACATGCTTTTACACTATTTGCGAACAGGGAGCGGCCATTTTGTTGGGCAGTTTCGGTCCGATTTTCACGAAATTCAAACTCAAACGTCAATATGGTGTAACGGTGACATCTTTAAAGGTTTATTTTTTTAATCTAGAGATCACAATTTTTATCTGTTTTGTTGAAACTTTATTCAGATGTTTATATCCCAAAGATCTTGGTTAATTTCGATGTTGGCGCATATCGGATCGGAACTTCCTGGATTATGCTTTAAGCTTGTGGTCCCCTTAGAGGTCATAATTTTTTATACGCCCACATTTTCATGTCGTCGCCCCTGTCCGTCCGTCCGTCCGTCCGTCCACAATTTGTTTGTGGACACTCTACAGGTCACAATTTTTATCCGATTTTGATGAAACTTGAAATATAGGTCTATCTCCCAAAGATCTCGATTCCTTTCGATATTGGCATGTATCGGACCATAACTTCATGGATTATGGTCCCTGATTTAAGAAAAATCACGTTTTTAGTTTGTGGACACTCTAGAGGTCACAATAGAATGTACCTCAACGTATTATTTAACATTTAATTAGATATGCATTATGTAAGATTTAGATAAAGAACTGGACGTTCTTGCTATAATATTTCAAAAATAGATCATGCAAAATCAATATATTGAATATTTCATTCAAATTACTTCATTCTAAACGAAGATATTACTGTTTGTAATTTTGACAAGATGTGTGCATTGATTGTTTAATAATGTTCGATTTAATTGATGTTCAGAGACTTTAAATAGAATTGTTAAATCATGTAGTGAACTTTTTTATAATTTACAGGAAAAGTCTGAACTAGAACAGCTAAGTTTTGAAATAAGACATAAAAGTTCAGAAGTGGAAAGATTGCATCAAATATTAAGTCAGAAAAGAGAGGATGTAGAACGTTTGGCAAAAGAAAGAAATTTGATACAAGAGAGAATTAGTGCTTTAAAACAAGAAAAAGATATGATGTCTGATAGCTGTAAAACTTTCGATGAGAAAATGAAACAATTAAAAAGGTACCTGTACATTATTTATTGTCTGTTATCTATTTATTTTTTCCATAAACGACCTCTAAATATTATTCCGGGCAATTTTGCCCATAAAGGGAGTCATATGGTTGCCTGGTTAATGTGGCACTTGCTTACGAACCAGTGTTGGAAGAGAAAGTTCTTTAGGGTTTTCGTGCTTGGTTTTCCCTTGTCCTTGGTGCAGGATGGAGGGCGTAGAAAGGGAAGTCCTCTAGTGTATATAGAAGAACCTTTTACTTACAGTTGGAATTCGATGAAGAGTAGGCAGAAACACAGTTATCCATGCAAAATTTCCCTAATACCAAACTGCATGTCTATGCCAGTCTTTATAGCCCGGTTGGCTAATGAAACTCAAATAAATCTAAACAAAAATTGGAATTAATTATTTTTAGAAACCATAGTGATATGGAAGATAAAATCGAAGACAAATCAAATAGATTAGATAGCCTGGATAGAGAAATACAGCAGAAAGAAAAGGAGATGGGAGAGTATATTAAACAAAAAAATAGTTTGATCAAAGAAACACAAAGTCTTCAACACCATCTTAAAGGTAGATAGTATATGTTCTTGAAATTTATTTTGATGGAAATTTTGTGAACATGTTTTACGTGGCCTAAATAAATCAGTAATTGTTCTTCCATAAGTATGTGTTATAGTTTATAACTAAAAATCTCTTCCCATAATTTCCATCTTTTTTATACGCCCACATTTTCATGTGGACGTATTATGCCGTCTCCCCTGTTTGTCCGTCTGTCCAGACGTCCGTCCACAATTTGTTTGTGGACACTCTACACAGTCTACAGGTCACAATTTTTATCTGATTTCAACGGAACTTGAAATATAGGTTTATCTCCCTAAGATCTCGGTTCCTTTCGATATTGGCATGTAACGGACAGTAACTTCATGGATTATGACTGCTGATTGTACGAAAAATCGCGTTTTTAGCTTGTGGACACTCTAGAGGTCACAATTTTAGTCCGATTTTGATTAAACTTGAAATGCATGTTTATAACCCAAAGATCTTTGTTCCTTTCAATATTCGGGCATATCGTATGGTAACTTCCTGAATTATATGTTTTTAGCTTGTTGTAGAGGTCACAATTTTTATCCGATTTAAAAAAAAACATGAATATATCACCATTACACACTAAAATCTTGGTTCCTTTTGATAATCGCGTATATCCGAACGTAACTGCCTGGATTATGGCTCCTGATTGTTCGAAAAAATTGCATTTTTAGCTTGTGGATTCTCTAGAGGTCACAATTTAAATATTTCACCATTCCACCATAATGATGGTTGAATTCGAGTTTCGGGAAAATCGAAATGAAACTGCCTGACAAAATGGCCGCTCTTTGTACGCAAATTGTGTAAAAGTATGCAATACTAGGGTTGTGGACCCTCTAGAGGTCACAATTTTTATCTGATTCAAATGAAATTTAAAACATATCTTTATATCCCAAAGATCTCCGTCCCTTTTGATATTTGCGCATTTCAGACCATAACTTTCTGGATTATTGCCCCTGATTGTACAAAAAATCCTGTTTGTTTTTAGCTTGTTCTCTGATTGTAGCCGCCGGTTAAATAAAAAGTCAAAGGGTACTTTATTTTATAGTGTATTTATTTGATGTGGAGTAGAAGTCAAATTGTTGTGTTTACTATTTTCCCAATCTTATAAATTTGTTGAAGATATGTATCAGATGAATGATTTTCAACTCCATGGCAGTCTTGTGTTTAATCTTAATACTGACCATAAACACATACAAATTGTCAACTTTTTTTTTATTACTGATTTATAGAATCAAAAGAAGTTATGAAAAAAATGCAAGAAGATATTGTTGTTATGAAGGAGAAGTTAGATACATCAGAAAAGGTTTGTAAAGTGTATTATAAAATGTATTAAAAGTCTAAATTTATTTCAAAAGTTCCTTAAAAAACAAATCAAAGTTGAGAGTTAGAAATTCATTTCATTATATCTATACCATATTTAGGATATGATTTGGCCAAACAATTGTCTTCAATGTCATAATGTGAAGTGACTTCTTAGTTATAAACTGTATTTTGAACATTGTCAGATTAATTAGTTTAATCACATACAGGATTTAGACTATATGTACCAACAACAAAATCTGGCCAGGAAAGAATTAGATGTATTAAATAGGTCTATAAAAACAAATAGAGCTGTTAATGATGGTTTGGTGTTAAAAGAAGCCAATGAATTAACTGATTATGAAGAACAGTTAAAACTAACAAAAGAGGTAAGATCATAAACTTTATTTGGTATTCATGACAGAAATTCAATAATAATCTTTGTGTTTCAAATCCATTCACACTTCCAAAAATTGCATTTTAATTATTTTACATATGAAAATGATAAATGATAGCTTTTGTTTTTTCACACTTATTTTCTGCTCAGTATGCCATTTTACACACATTTCTTCTACATAAATGTTTGCTTCTAGTTCTATATTTCAGATCTTTTTTTTTTTCTCATAGTTATCAGAAAGAATATCCGACCACATTTTATGTGGGAATATATGTATATTGTCGTCACCTCTGTCCATCCATTCACAATTCTGTACATCCTCTACAGATCAGAATTTTTAGATTGTTTTTTTCAAACCAGCTGGGATTGTTTAGCTAGTCAGAAAGAGTAACACTTAAAGGGGCATTATGTAGCTATAATATTTCAAAAATAGATCATGCAAAATGAATATATATTGAAAATTTCATTCAAATTACTTATCTTGAGCCAAGTTATCAATGATTGTAGTTTTGACAAGATGTGTGCATAGATCGTAACCACTGCTCTGGTTATTCGATTCCTGGCCTGGCTTCTCCATTTTTAAATCAAATCATAAAATGGCCAAACCGTTCTAATCTACTTAAAATCTAGCGATCTGATATTCAGATTTAGCTCTTACATATTGCCTGTTTAACAAAATTCAGAAATGCATATCGTTTTATGCAATGTTATTGATCTGTAATAGAAACCTTTTATATGCGTTCACATAGATCATTTTTGAGGTTTTTTTATGTTGCCTTGTCATAAGGCTGAACCATATCAAAATTCATAATCATGCATTTAATTTTTGCAGAGTTATTGCCCCTGTCACCCAAACTGTGTAAGCACTCTGAATATCCTTGTTTTTAAGATTTATTTTTTTCAAACTTGCTTGAATTTTTCATCTATTTTTAAGGTTGCATCTTATTGAAATTCAGAATTGCACAATAATTTTATTCAGAGTTATTGCCCCTGTCATCGAAACCATGTAAAATGAATAAAGAGGTCTATTTAATTTTTATATCCAAATACATATATATATATATCCAGAAATATTAGCACAACCGTAAAGCTGCACTACTCTTTGTTTCACTTTAAATGATGAAAAATATATATATAACAAGACTTAGCTTCTTTTACAAAGCTGCGGGCGGGTGAATATTCGTTGCCTGACAGTGCTAGTTTCTGTATAAGTTTTTCTGCTTTGTGATTTTATCTGTATTTATGACATGAGCAAAATGTGTCTCTTTAACTCTTGAGACATTTCTCATTTTGTTCATGTGTAAAACTGTTTATCGAATCTCGCATGTCATTTGAGACTGGGTTAAAAATCAAGTCTGTCATATTTAAATGAAAAACAAACATGATTCTGTTTGATTGATTTGAAATTTTGCTATTTTATTTTGAATAATTTCATCTTGTATTTCACTTCAGTGTATGTACAGTACTTTAAGACATTTTTCATAAAAATTTTAATTTATTTGAGGTTTGAAAAATATTTTAGGAATACATTTTGTGAAATAAGTTACACTACATTGTAATTATTGGTTATCTAGTTCTCAATACATAATTTATACTCCATCTTCATTAGCCCAGTAGGCACAGAACAGTAGGACGTTAAACCCCATTTCATTTTCATAATTTATATTTTCTGTAGTAAAAGAATCTGACATAGCTATTTCCATCATAGCATGTCTAGACAAGCACATGGGTTGATGCATTTTAAATCTCCATTTAATGAGCTAAAAGCCTTTACTGTGATAAAAAAAAAATGAAATTGGAATATTAGGCTCTCAGATAATCCTGTGTCATATGACCCATTTTTTTTCATTTTTTTTAAATGAAAACTGTCTCATTAATAACCACATGTAAATGTTTTATCACAGTTACAGGATGTAACTCTATACATTTTTTTAATGAATCAAGAAATGTATGCAACACTGATAAATATTACTGACAATCATAAATTACTGACAATTATAAATTACTGACAATCATATTCTTTTAGCCAAGTATTAATCCTTTGACAAAATAAAAATACAGAAATAAAAACCTCCCTCCAGCTTCAGATTATTGCTAATGATTGTCTGAGAACCAGAATATATTTTTTGTATGGCCTTATGCTAAAACTTTGAATATCACTATAGACACTAATAATAATAAATGCCCAAGATTGTGTATGATGGCACTAAACATCAATGTAACTAGGAAATTGTATAAAGATCATATTTATTTTTTATAGTTAGAAGATGAGAAAATGAAAAGAACCGCAGAAAAGCTCACACTATTACAGAAACAAGTTCGAGAGTTAGGTTAGTACTCAATATCTTGACAAATTTGGGCAGATTTTATCTTTTGACATTTATATTACTTTGATTTCGGAAGATCATTAGAGGATCAATCAAATGAAAACAAAAATCAGAATAATTTTAAGGTCACCACCTATCTCCATGAGAGCAACAGACACTCAGTGGGTGAGACTGGCTCGCTAACACTACAACTCGAGTATCATTTGGTTGGGTTGTTTTAGCAGGAGTTTCTGTATTTAATGTTTAGTTTCAAACCATTGTTGGAAAACTGTTCAAATCCATTGGAAAACTGTTCAAAACCATTGGGTTTCTACTGTTGTGTAGTTTAAAGTTCTGTCTAGATTACATGTTGGATTTATAACTGTTTAGTTTCTTAACACTGCTCCAGAAACTAAACAGTTATAAATCAAACACTCGTGTAATTTTTTTTTTCCTTTTTGATTTTGACGAAGTTCACCGGACTCTTGTTTTGTTTACAGAATCTGAATTGAAAGAGAGAAACCAAGAAAAAAATGAACTGGCTAAAGCACTAGCTATGTCATATGAGGAATTACAGAAAGCATGGAAAGTCAAAGCTGAGGTAAGAAATGAATCTTGTATATTTACACTCTATTTATTGTCTTTTTTGGAATCTTTAATAGTCAGAATTTTTGGAAAATATTTTGGATCGAGAGGTTTCATATGGCAACGCGTCCATGAAAAAATTATGAGTGAAATCGATGACAGTGGGTTCCCCCACTGGTCAAATTGACGTGGAATGATCCATGTACATAACATAGGCTGTAAAGGCCTTCACGTTTGAGAAGAACAATCGATCTAGCTCATACTGTCATACAAGCCCCCCGCAGATTCAGTTTGAAGTTTTAATCATCAATAGACTCTTAAAAATTTCAAAATTCTACCAAAATTGGATGATTATTTGTTCTAAATTCCTTTCGAAGGCACTAGAATATCTAGACAGACATTATCAGCTATAAAACCTTGGTAAAACAGCATGTTAAAATTTTATGAACTTTTTTTTTGTGAATGTCATTTTGACTCAAGCGGTCCAGCCTACATTCAGAATTCAGATAAGTTTTACAAAGCTGTACTGTAATTTGTTTGTTAAAACAATTTTGTTACCCAGTGGTAATGATTGCACAAGTGCTTGTGTCTTTTTAAGATGTCGAACTCGGATATGTAGAATGTAAATAATATGAGCATGCATTTGACATTCTGATTTCTATTGCAAATCATAATGATCTAGTCAGTAAAAATGGTTTTTGGTCATAAGGAATCTCCGCAACCTGGAGTTAATATGCATGTACCACTCTATATCAAGAGAGACACATAAATAAAATGGTTTAATCTGAACCCTTTTGAAATAGGAAAACCAAACTCAAGATGACAAAGATAGATCTATACATACTTCTTCTCAAGACAAATGGAAAAAACAGGCTGTTAAAGAACAACAAGAACAAGAACAGGACTATTTAAGGGTAAGACTTTACTATACACAGAACACATATCTGGCAAAGGAGGGCACTCTACCATTTTTTTTTTGTAAGAAGAGTACTTTTATTGTGTATGGTCTTTTATTGGATTATATTTTTCATTTATTCTGTTTGAAGTTGTCCCTTTACGAAAATTTTGCTTGAATGTTATGGGAACGTTATTGAAAAGGCACAAAACTTGGCAGTGACATTTATTGTTTCATATGCTAAAACAGTCATAACTTTTTAGGATCTGTGTAAGCTGCAAAGTGAATATTTTATTCAAAAGATAACTACCATGATAAGTATGATTTGAAGTTTATAGGTACCGTGATTATGCTAAGTAGAAAAATGTGCTAATATATGGAATGAACACAGCAATAACTGTCACTTTCCAGCAAGTTTGGTATCTGGCTGGATTGTAAAATTCACTAATCAATCTATCCATCAAAGCAACCATGTCACAACAAAGGATTCAATCAAACCATGCTTAAAGATACATTATGGAGATAAGTTAAAGAGATGGTAGTTCTCGCTATAATAGTTAGAAACTAGATAGTGTAAAGGTAATTTGCTGAAAATTTCAGTCAAATTGATCCACTATGAGCTGAGAAAGAAGCCGGTGAAATTTTTGCATAGTCTCAATTATCGTTACTAAAATCATTAATATAAACAGCATAGTCTCTATTATCCGCTTTTTCTGATTTAATTATCTTTGGCCGTTAGCGGCATATAGGAATCTAATCCAGCCTATATCGAAGGCTAGCCTTGACATCGAGAGTTTATTATGGTCTGGATAAGTTAATTAATGTCTAATTGATAATTTAGATAAAATTTCAGGCCTAAAGAAAGACTTGTAATAAGCAGATTTTGCTCTTGCATAATGCATGTTTAATATATGTATCTTTCAAACAAAATGCCTACTTTCAACTTTAGGGCGATTTTGTAATGAATATCAATCCTAAAAATAGTAAAATAGAGCAGTTTATGCCATTAATGAATTATATAATTGTACATGTCTAGGATTGGATTAAAACAATCCCTATCTTGATCTGATATTTATCATTTATCACATGTATAATTAATATAATAGTATTTTTTTTATTCATTAATTATTACTTACTACAAATAAAAATGCCTACTGTGTTGTCTGTTTAATTTATCATCTTTTGGTTCTCAGACAATCCTTTTAAAACAATTGATGTGGGGAGGGGGGGGTAGTTTTTCTTATACACTCACATGGAAATGTGGTCGTATATTGCCGTCGCCCCCGTCTGTCCGTCCGTCATCCACAATTGCTTGTGGATGTTCTAGAGGCTAAAGTTAATATCCGATTGACTTTAAATTAAGACGAACAAGCCTATTGATTTTCAACAATTTCTGATAATTACTGCCAGAGTTATGGCCTTTGATCACTTTGAAAACTCTTGTGGGCTCTCTAGAGGCTAAAGTTAATATCTGATTGACTTTATATTTATACACAGTGTTAAAGATCATGAGATGGAGAGACCCATTGAGTTATGGCCCTTGATATTAAATACTTTGAAAACTAAACGTTACTTTAGGGCAGAACTAGAAGTCAAATGGTTGTTACTCATAATCAGATTTTTAGTGTGTTGTGAACGTTTTTATTTCTGACAAAAGAAAAAAATATACCCTTGTTGACTTCCTGGGTGACTTAGCTGCTGTGGGTGTATGTTTGGTTGCCTGGCAACCTATTGTTTTTATTTTATCAATATCTAGCTCATTTTTCATTTTTAAAAAACATACAAAATTATTGTAAATTTAATATTTATTCAACTCTTAATAAGAAAAACAAAAAAATAAGTAAGAATTTGAAATAACGTCTGAATAATTCTGTGACTTCATTAACTCCTGGGAAAATGTTTTCAACTCCGTCGGTTGCTGTTTTGGCGACCATAGTAGATCTATATGGTGGCCCATGGTCGCAATAGCGTTTTTTGGGTTATTTTTTGTATTTCATTTAAAATAATTAAAATATTAGTAAAAAAAAAAAGAAACAATTTTATTTTTATTTTACAAAATAAAAAAAAAATCTTTTTAAAATTAAAAAAAAAAAAATTTTTTAAAATTGAAAAAAAAGAAATCTTTTTAAAATTAAAAAAAAAATCTATATATATATAAAATAATAAAATATATTTAAAAATAAATAAAAAAGAAATAATATTAAAAAAAAATAAATGAAAAAAAAAATCGAAAAAGAAAAGATAAAAAATAATTCCCGACGTGGCCCATCGTCGCAATAGTGTCTTGAGTATCCAGACCCAGTATACAGCTATCATTAGACTAGAGCGACCAGAAACATTTTGTGGCCCATTGTTGCAGTAGTATCTCGATTATCATGTGTGGGATCTATGAAGAACGTATAGACTCGAACGACAAGAAACGAGTCTGTAGTTATCTCACATCAACATGTGAGTGACGGAACTTTTAACTAAAGATAAAATCCAATTTTAGTAGATACTTCAATTTTGATTGGCTAAGCACTAAAATAAATCTAATAGTATCTATTATCCAATTAAATACTAAAATTTGGATTTTATCTTAGTTAAACAGGCCCCAGACGAAGTCCACGTAGGCTATCATGCTCTATTTTGTATTTTGTGCGCCATCGCACTTTCGCACCTCTTACCAGTTCCTGTGGTCGTAGCAATGACCTCAGAGAGAGCAGGGGTTTCACAAAAACTGAAACTAAAATCACTAACATAGTTTTTAACTAAAATCAAAGTGAAATTTTAAATTTACGTGTTTCACGAAGATCGATTGTAACTTAAAATTTAATTTTAATAGATTTTAGATAAAATTACTTGTGCCTTGATGTGAGATAACTATAGAATCGTTTCTTGTCGCTCGAGTGTATACGTTCTTCATTCATAGATCCCACACAGGATAATCTGAACGACAGAACCACGAGGTTTGACAGGTCACCCTACTCCTTGTCACGTACAACCGGGGATTCGAAATCACGCCAGTTGACTCAATGACGGGCTTTATGATATGACAGGCTTTATGATACAGCGCGCACGTGCTAACCATTTGCCCCCCTCCCCCGGCTACTTAGTAGAGTAGGCCTATACTTCGAGGATTAGTTTCAAAGTTGTTAACTACTTTTGAAATTCGACAGTAATTTACAGTCTATCTACAGTTCGTAAAACGTGACAATTGCCGTTGGTTGAGTCGTACCTTATCGCTATGCTCTGTCTAATCATCTATTAAAAATATTAATTATGTTTTGTAAATTCCCGAAGAACACCCACAAATTTCATGTGTGACAATTCTCAATAGTTTCTGTCATACAAAATACTGCAATTTGGCACCGTCTCTGGCCGTAGGAGATGTTTAGGGGGAATAGTGAGAATCTTGATCTCAGGGAGACCAAGTGTTTTAAAAACATTACATAAGCCTTTTGAGGGGAGAATGGGCCTGCACTAGTAGTAGTAGGTCGAATGGTATCATTAAAGTCAATGACTTTATGTATGTAGGCCTAGTTCTAGTTAGACTGGATAACCTAGTCTAAATGACGCCAGGCTTCTATAGTCTATATTAATTATACATTTCTATTGACTTGCATATGTATAAATACATGGGTGGAAAATCGTGTGTCACGTGTTGGTGTCTGTTTACTTTTTTTCCTTTCGGAAGGGGAGATAACTACAAACTCGTTTCTTGTCGCTCGGGTTATGCCACATAGGATAATCGAGACACTATAGCAACAATGGGCCACGAGGTATTTCTGGTCACTCGAGTCTAATGATAGCTGGTTACCTGTTAAATATCGAATTGATTTTAAGATTTTATTACTTACTTTTAAATGTTTAAATAATTTAGCTCCTGTTTACCTCTCAGATCTTTTAGAACTTTATACACCTGGCCGAACATTACGTACATCAGATAAACTACTTTTAAATCCCAAAACTGTTCAACTAGTCTCTTATGGTCAGCGCTCTTTTAGTTATCATGCACCTGTTTTATGGAATAATCTACCATTTAGTTTAAGATGTTGTACATCTTTATATTCTTTTAAAAAACAACTTAAAACACATTTATTTAATCAGGCTTTTAACTGACTCTGTATGCAATCGTTAACATGTCCATAATCTTGTTTATTTATGATTACATTGTCACTTTGTAAAGTGCCCCTGAACATGTTATATGAAAGGGTGCACTATTAATATGCTGTAATAATAATATTGATACTGTACTCATTGTTAAAGCATAGATGTTGCTGGCGATTTAAATCAAAGTCTGCACCGTCAGTCTACCCGCAGAGAATATTTTTGTAAAAAATAAAACGATGACCGTAAAAAAAATTGTCACCATCTTTGCAAATGATAAATTAACATTCAATTATCTAGTGCCGTTCGTGATTGTCAATAGTGTTTCCCATGGTTACGTACTTGATAGCCGAGTCTAGGGTTCATTTCCTGTTGTCAAGAAACTTCAATTGAGTTATTTTTTTTGGTGTAATCTAAATTACGAGGCCTAGTTAGTAAGATTATAGATGGTATTTTCATGTATATAATAGCCTATACAAAGCAAAGCTGCTAAATGAGCATATATAAATTCATGATTGGGCCTATACTAATGATTGAATTAATGGTAGAAAATTATTGAAAGATATATACATATGTCTTTCCAATATTGAAATCATATGACTGAAATGTGTTCTTTAAAGCCACAACCATTTTTATTTAAGACTCCTGTGCAAGAGGCCCACTGTTTAAAAATAAATTATAAATTTTGAGATATTCTAGTGGTTTTATTTCATTTGAAATGAAGTAGGTCCTACTGGTAAACAAATGATATTGTGACACTAACAGATTATTGTGATACAACCTGTCAGTACTGTAACATAAACATTACTGTAGTTTATTGTCAAAAATCAGTTCTCTGCCTGAAAAGTGAAATGTTTTACAAATCTTATTCATAATAGATGTATTTGACTATGTTACCTGTGCTGCCAAAAAGGTTTAGTGTGTTATATATCTTATTTGTGTTTCTTGGTGTGTTTGTGTCTGGAGGGGTGGGGGGGGGATTTTTGATGCAACTTGCTGACCTAAAGTTATCTATTATGAACATTAAAGTGAAATAGGCCTATTTAAGGCATGATATCAAAATCAAAATGAAGCAGATTTATTTGATTTTATTGGACAGTTGAATAAAGGGGCATTATGGGAGAATATGCTGAAAATATCAGTCAAATTGCACCACTCTGAACCGAGATATTAGCAATTAAATTTAGGCCTAGTCTCGATCATCATTAATAAAGTCGGTATGTTAAAATACAGAATCTCGATTATCCAATTTGACATTAAATCACCCATCACAAAATGTATACAAATCCAGTAAATATCGGAGGCTAGCGATGGCATCGAGGGTTGATTATTGTCTGGATACGTTAATTAATGTCTAATTAATAATTTAGATAACATTTCAGGCCTAAAGAAAGACCTGCAATAGGCAGATTTAGCTCTTGCATAATGTATGTTTAAGAATTTAGAAAAATAAAAGTAACACCAACCTTGGTATGACTATCTTGTTGAGCTTATATAACCATTCCTTTCATTCAAGTTTTCTTTTTTTTTCTCCTGTTTTAAAATTTTGCTTTCAGTCCTAAACAACCAACACTTCTTCATGACACAGGTGACTAGGCAAATGACTCCTGTGCAGGCACATGTAGGCTAGCAGACGCCAGTTTCAATGAATTGTATAAGGGGGGCAACTCTATTTGGCTTCTGAATGAGCTTGATGGACTAGACCAGTAATTATTTTCCAGAAGTTGCTCCAATCTTAAAACCTTTATAGGTTTGCCAAGTTTATTGCTTTTAACACAAAGTGAACAATTTCAGCACAAATCCACAGGATTAATAGTTTAGTCTGCAGTACATCAAAAGATATTTGAATTTGCTCATATCAAAGACAGAACAAAATGTAATTTGAGTAGTTTTACAGACTGATGACAATCTAATTTTATCTATGCCAATTTTCAGTACCAGTTACGACAGCAGATGCTACGATATGCCGATTCAATGGAGAAAACTCGTCTTGAATCTGAAGTAACTGTGAATGGATTAAAACGGAAACTGAATAATTTACAAGAAGTGCTCTTCAATTCAACAGAATTAGATGATATTCAGATAACAGAAAGAACAACAAAGTCAGGGTCCTATAGTCCCTCAAGATCACCTCGTTTGGTAAATAATTTGTTATGCAAGTAATTCGAATTGCAGTAATCTGAACAATCATAAACAATGCCAATGGTATAGCTTTTCATACTATTTTCGCCCAAGATCCCATTTCCTCTTTATGTATAATTGTATGGAAAATAAAATGGATAAAATTGATTTCAGATGGCAAGAAGATTACCTATTCAGTGTGATGATAAGCAGGCACCTCAACCACCTGAGTATTATGATCAATATCTACAAGAAATACATTACGTGAGTAGGCTATATAATCTATTTGTTAAATCAACAAGCACAAAGTTTATATGATACTACCTTTTTGTTATATAATATTGATTACTCTTTAATTTATTTGATTGTTTATAGTAATAATGCCTCTTTCAAATTTTGCATCGATTGTGACCATTGCATACATTGAAATGATGACTTTCTGTTAACAGTGATAGGCGGTAGATAATTATGGATCCAATGGTACCAAAGATAAACAACAAGTTCATCTAGTTCTACTTGCTCTACTACATGTGCCGAAGAGAAAAAAACACAACCATCAACAGACTAGTATAAAAATCATTAAATGTTATTTGTTAACTAAAACAAGTTGCAAATACATTGAAATTAGTTTAGGTTTTTGTTACTATACACACATAATATATAATCAGGGCATAGTTAAATATATAGACTGAACATAAAATTGAACCAATTGGGACCAACTGAAATAATCCATTCCAATAAACCATTATTTGTTTAAAATCAATTATTTCACAAAATACGGTAGTTTTTGGCATCAGTGTTTAGGTTGAAGAGTAGGGTCAGGGCTCACGCTCACACTGTCGGTCGCCAAAGTCGCAAGTTGCTTTAACAATATGAAAGTAGCGATTAAAATTTGATTTTGGCAATAACGTTTTACGGTACTGGCAGAAAAAAATCTTAAAATTATAATCGTATTTATCCTGGATTTACCATTACATTGAGTGTCAATCACGTGGCGGAATACTATAAATTAATCAACTGGCTGAAAATCCTGATTGCGTCAATGTGTAATACTAGTCTGTTGTCTTGAATTATTGATTAGTTGATTAATAATTGCCAATGATGTATATAAAGCCTATGATGTATATAAAGCCTATCTCGTCATTATTTACTCCTAATGGTTAATCCAAGCGGTGATTATTCGTCTGTAAGAGAAAAAAAATATTTTGATAGTTGAATTCTGTTTACTGTGGCTTCATACGACAGGTAAAATATACAAGCATGCCTGTCGGATATTATTATTTTAAATTATATTATCATCACAGGTCGGAAACGTAAGAACGAGTTGAATAGCGATGATTCTTGAGCGAGAGAACAGTTCGCCATTTGTATCATATTACTGTATCCAAAATGCTCTAAAAGTGAATGACGAGTATAATTGTAAGCATCTTATATCATTCTATCAGGGATTCAGATTCTGATACCTTTACGGTACCTTAAAACATCAATATGCATATTGTACACGCAAAACATAAATTTATAGAAAATTGCCAATCCATGGATGGGATTTGACATGTAAATACTGAAAATATATTATGTAGTATGGTGTGCAAATAAACTTAAGTCACCAAAATTAAAATCTAATCTTAGTAAATCAAAACTGTGCTAATGTATTATGTAAAGGCAAATTTTTTAAGTTGATGTATATTGTAATGTATTATTATACATCGGTAATTGTTTTAGAATAGGCCTATCTGAGACATAAAATTGTTACATGTTGTCTATTTTTAGCACAGTTTTGAAAGATAAAATATTACTGTTGGTGAAAAAAAAAAATATAAACATATTTTTATATAGAAATTATCATCCATTTTGGCGGGAAAAAAATTGAAAGCCAGTGTGAGCGCTGAGAAGGGTTATAAACATTGAATAACTAATGTTAAATTATTTTCTATATATTTATCAGTTGTATTAATTATCATGTTGTATTGTTATTTTCCTGTCTCAAATGTTCAAAGTATTATTTGTCTGCTAATCTTGTATGTTTGAACTATTATTTTGGAGTATTTTAAAGGTAAAGTCCCAGTTTTCCTATACAAATAAGGCACTTAAAATGTAACAAATTGGCCTGTTACCTTGTAAAGAATTTACCTATTTACCTTGTTTGAAAGTTTTGCATTCAAAATATTAAATTGTTCCGAAATGATTTGCAAAACAAGTTAGGTTTTTCATCTCCAGTATTTTGTAGGGAAACCTGACAACACTGGCTATGAAATACAGTGTGGACTGTAAACTATTGGAAGAGTTGATTAAAATGCAGCAATAACCTACAATTTCTAATACCACTGTTATGCTGGAAAACAACAAAAATATGAATGAAATGGGGTTTAATGTCCTACTGTTCTGCTCCAAATGGGCTAATGACGTTGGGCATACACCATGCTATGAGGGAAATTTTGCCTGGACAGCGGCACTACGGCCTACTGTTATATTGAATTCCACATGCCAAGGGTTCTTTTACATGCACGCCAATGTGTACACAGGAAAACACCAAAAAAGTTGGTAGTATAGGGAGAAGTTGCCATTGTACACACGCGTCAGAGACATATCCAGGTATATCCAAATTGATTATAGCCAAGAAGCTAGTCTCCAACTACCCTGTATGTTTGTATTTCTTTGAAAATGTATTACAGATTTTTGAATCATTGCTTGGGATTAGAACGAAGAGTTCTAAGATCCTTCCACACAGTATCAACCAGTTTTATCACTAAATTATGTCAGGAATTTCTCCTTTAACTACCATAATACATGTGTTGAGGACAGAGGCTTTTACCTTTACAAAAATTGTTATTTATGTTTACGTTATAAGCTTATCCTTTATAATCTGTTTTCAGTTAATTTTAACATTTATATTTTAGATGTATATTTCCATTATTAATGATATTTCCTCATCTGTGATATTTTTCTCTTTGCTATACTCTATATTTATATTTACTTGCATATTAAAATTGTATTGAAAATTGTGTATGTCTGTAGCTCATGGTATAAAACTTGATATTAGGTGCACATCATGCAAAACCACAAGCAAAGGCAACCTGGGAAACAGAAGACATTGTAAAATGTCACACAATTATGGCAAAAAGAGAACAAATTCAAATTTCAGATTAAAGATTCACAGCAATCGATCTAGCGGTGCGAGGGCGGAGACTGAGCTATTCCTCAAACTTCTCTGTGAAGTTCCACTTGGTGATCGGTCTAGGCTTCTAGCGGCGCGATGGGCGGAGACTGGTTGAGTCTGCAATCCCTTAATCTTCCCTGTGATTGGTCAAAACCTGTGACGTAGGCGATTTCTTAGCAGCTTTCCCATAGACCCTCACTGCAGTCACGGTCACGCACATGACAAACAATCTGTAACAACCCAATCCAGTGATTTCACTTGTTATAACAGTTCCCCGCCGTTATATGTCATTTCCGCACATTGTACACCATTCGGAACTGAATAGATTTTGTACCTAATCAGATATTATGTAATTATTTTTGTATTTAATTGTGTGTTACGCATGGGTGCCATTCAAAAGGATATGAAATAATCTTTTTGTCGTGTTAGGGGCCCCGCTCTAATTAAGCTGGGCTTTGGGTTCGTCGTTCACCATCCTGACAAACTATGTTTTATGGAGTTAAATCCCAAAACATTTTAAATGCTCTTTCTTCAGGAAGCCTGGCAACACTGTTTTCGAACAGCTACAAATGCCGTACAACTCTCCCCGTCTTCATTAGCCCAGTTGGGAGTAGAACAGTAGGACATTAAACCCCATTTCATTTCATTTCTGTTCAACTCTCAGCCCCTAACTCTACACGTTTCTAGCCATATGCTTATATTGATGTTGATCGGATCATCCAATTTGGCAGTCATTTGTAAGATCACAAATCATGCACAAATTAAGCTTCTAAACGTTTCCATAGATGTTGTTATGATCATCAAATTTGGAAGGAACATAGGTTCTGGTATTTGCTGATCATCAATTGCAAAATCAAAATCTTCTAGCGTTTGTTTTAAGTCCACTGGGTTCCTTGGTGAAGTTTGGTAGCTTTCCTACCCCAATCCATTGCCAACGGACAGATTATCTGTCTCTATAGTAAAAGTTTAGTATAAACTTGAGGATCCCAGGCAGATTGTGGCGTTATATATTTGCTACCTTTGTGGACATAAAATAGTGCCCTAGTATTTTACAATCTTTCCTGAATACGCAAATATCGCATTATATTGGAACTATTCAATGATAATTTGCTTTGGGTTTATATTTGTTGTGTGTGGATGGTTTCACTTCGAAATCCTGCTTGCTTATCTCAGGGCTTTTACATCCTCGTTTGGTACTCGTCTGAATAATTCAACTGAATATTTTGCTTGGGAGGGACAAAGTCTGCTTACTATGGCATACTCCAAGATTGCTGTCAAGGTTTTCTATTACTTCTTCCCAACTGTGGCTCTGAGTAAGTTCCAATAGTGTTATCTCCATCTGCCGATTATGTGTAATTATAATTTTTCTATCATTATCCCCTAGAGGTGTGTTGCAGACAGTTCTTTGTTCTTCCCAACGTTTTTATGCGTAAGTGTGCGCTTAACCATCCTATAGGTGCTTTCCGCTTTTTTGTTATTAATGAACACGAGTCGGGTCAATCAACGAGGCTGTGCCATAGCGTATATCATTTCTAAAAAAAAATGTAAATAGCGTTAATTTAATGGAATCTTTTATTGACAGACTTGCCAGGGTGACAGATTAGTTCCAGTTTGTTATCTCACTGTCAAGTCTCCACTCTGCAGTGCTTCGGATTAACAATCGATATTCCACAGCAAATAAACGCCCCACAGGCTAGACTTTTGATATTATCTAGCCATTGTCTTTTCTGTGGAGACGCATAGTGCAATGGACCTGGACTTAGTAGACCAGAGCATTAGGGGGTTGGTTGGGGGAGAGGGGGGGGGGGGGTAATGTGGCCTCTATGTGGAAAAATACGAACACACTTCTGGAAGCATCTCCACGGATGGTCAGACTATGTAACAGATGCAATTATCTGTGCAGGATTCCTTGGAAGTGGACGTTATCCATGATCCAGATATAAATTGCAATACTCCGTGAACAATCCTTTACAGTATTTTTCGAAAATGCTTTGGATTCTATACTCGGTATGTCATTTCTAGCCCGTACACCCGAAATTCCAACTTGTGGACTAGATCAATATCGAAAATATCGAACACTGACTCCGGATAGCAATTAATATGATGATGGAACCAGTAGCGACCCCCCCCCCCCCCCTTTAAATCTGGTGATGTGTTTTGGTAATTAATAGCTTCTACGGTGATTAAATCCCACACTCCCAGTCAGTCATAGTCTTGCACGTTGTAGATCAAGAGTCCTAGTGATTTCTTACCAAACCCATCCTGCTGTCAACCTACTATAAACAGTAACACGTGAACCTTGTTAGAAGTTTTGGGGTATAGGTTCAACGCGGCGTGAATACTCATTCACTTTTATTCACTGGTCAGATAACTAGTGACAATTGGCGACAGGCGGTATCTGGTCAGCTCCATTTATCTCGACGACCTGAGCCTGAAATACTGCCAGACTACAATATTTTGTGGACAGTCAACAGGTTACAAATGTGATTCAGTTTTTTATGAATCTTGAAATGTATGTTTATAACCCAAAAATCTCGGTTCATTTCGATATTCGTGTATGTCGCCATCGGACCGTAACTTCCGGGATTATGGCCCCTGATTGTACGAATAATCGCGTTTTTAGCTTTTTGTCCCTTTAGATGTCACAATTTTTATCTGATTTAAAAAAACAACGTTCGCATATGTCACCGTTACACCATAACGGCGGTTGAGTTCGAATTTCGTGAAAATCGGACCTAAACTGCCTGAAAAAAATGGCCGCTCCATGTACGCAAATAGTGTTTAAGTATGTAATATTAAGGTTGTGGACCCTCTAGAGGTCACAATATATACTCTTCAAAAAAAGTAGGGGATATTGAAATGCAAATACCTATGCAGGTTGTGATATGATAAATAGTCATGGACACTTGACATGCTTTGAGAGTATGTTCACAGATGAAGAACTTATCACCCCAACAGAACCACTGAGCTGGACTTACGACACGCAATAGCACCATGCACGTGGGAGGGGTTCATTGTCAAATTTGACACTTCAAGGAAGGGTTGATGAAAACTGCCGCGTGCTGGTTTATCCTATCCATGTTTGCTTTCCTATCGGTTCTTGCATAAGATTTACTGTTTAGCGAATCTTTGCTTTAGTGTGTTACGTTTAATTTGCAATGAGACGTCTTCAACATGATGAACGTCTACGTGCTATCGGCATGCTTCAAATTGGTTCTACACAGCGAGCAGTAGCCAACATGCTTAATGTGTCACAGTCTGTGATTAGCAGACTGTGGAACCGGTACCAACAAACACACAATGTTGATGATAGACCTTGTTCAGGTCGTCCTAAAGCCACTAAACAAGCCCAGGATCGATACATTCGTACACAGGCCCTGCGAAATCGAGGACAAACGGCCAATCAGCTTTCTGTAAACTTGTACCAAGTTACAAAAATTCGAGTTACACCCAAAACGATTATAAATCGGCTAGATGCAGCCCATTTGCATGCGCGACGACCGCGTGTTGTGCCTCCATTAACTCACCAGCACATAGCAAACAGGTTTCAATGGTGTAGGTAGAATTTGGGGTAATCGTCGATGGGCGCGTGTAATGTTCTCAGATGAGTCCAGATTTACTCTGGATTTCACAGTAGGCGTGCTCGCGTTTGGAGGCGTGTAAATGAGCGTCATGCTAACGTTAACGTCAGACAGCATAACAGATTCGGGCGTGGGTCTTTTATGGAGTGGGGAGGAATCACCATGACTGGCAGAACGGACTTGCATATTGTTCAAGGAAGGGTCACTGGTGTGTACTACCGTGACCACATCCTGGCACCGATAGTTCTGCCCTTTGCTCAACGTGCAGGTCGACGTTTCATCTTTCAAGATGATAATGCCCTTGCCCACCGCGCTCGTGTCGTGAATGACTACCACTAGCTTCACCATATTGTCCATATGCCTTGGCCAGCCATGAGTCCTGACCTTTCCGCTATAGAGCATGTCTGGGACATGATCGGGAGACCTGTTCGTCGACGTCAACGTCAACCGACAACACTGCAAGAATTGGCCGTGGCACTGCAAGAGGAGTGGGTCAGATTGCCCCAAATCGTGATTGGACGGTTGAATCGGAGCATGCCACGACGAATTGCTGGATGTCTGAGGATTGGTGGAGCAATTACTCATTATTAAGACAAAAATCAAAAACGTCCATTTTCACTTTTGACAGTGTATCTTCTTTGCGAGTGAAATGGGGCCGTCAGATAAGCCGCCCATATGAACTGTTTATGTTCATGTGTAGGCAATTGGCCTTTTATTAACATACACTGGTTACCTCTAATAAAAACAGCAGTGCATTTCCGCAGTTTTGTATTGTTTCTGAATATCCCCTACTTTTTTTGAAGAGTATATTTTTATACGCCCACATTTTCATATGGACGTATATTGTCGTCGCCCCTGTCGGTCCGTTTGTCGGTTCACAATTTGTTTCTGAATACTCTACAGGTCACAATTCTTATCTGATTTTGACGATTTATCTCCAAACGATTTCAGTTTCTTTCAATATTGGCATGTATCGGATCGGAACTTCAAAAATTATGGCCGTTCAAATATATCACTGTTACACCATAATGATGATTGAGTTCGAATTTCGTGAAAATCAGCCCAAAAACTGCCAGACAAAATGGCCGCTCTATTTTGATGAAATTTAAAACGTGTGTTTATGTCCCAAAGATGACGGTTCCTTTCGATATTTGTGCATATTGGACCAAAGGTTCCTGGAGTATGACCCCTGATTGTACAATATTATCCGATTTTAAAAATCGTTTACATATATCGCCGTCAGTGGCGGATTAAGCTCCACCAA